CCGACAAACCCTGGTATCGATCCTCAATCCCGCATTCACTAAAAGAATACCCCTTGAAATATGTAGGAAATATATCAAGACAAGACCTGATTAAGACTATTTCGTCCTATCCATTTCTCCCTTATAGTAGTACAAATGCAACAATCACATCTCACTCCACTCGACACCATCTCAAGCATAGAAAGCTTGAAAATAAAATAAAAGCAATCCATGCATTCCACTAGAACCCGAAAGAAGTTCTCAAAAACTAAACTCCTCAGGTTAAAACAAGAACAAGTTCGTTAAACACACCACTCCCAATACCACAAATGAAATCCTCACTTTATCAGAGTCCGCCGAAATGGTAGTTTGTTGCGCCCCTGTTGTCCCATTGATTCCCGTAGCTTCACTTGATATTCCAGTGCTGGAAGGTGGATTGATATAGAGTGTCGATTTGGATGTGCTTCCCGAAGCAGGGGTCGCAGTGCTGAAAGACAAGACGGAGGTATCATAAGCACCTGCAGTGGTCATGGCTGAAGTTTCTAAGGCTGAAGTTTCTAAAGCTGCAGTTCCTGTTCCTATTTTGGTCGAGTTATTGTAAGGGCCGACTAGAGTTCCGGTTCCATAGTAGCCTGTGCCTGCTGAATAACCGGATCCGTAACCAGTGGCATACGCGCTCCCAGTGGAGGCATCGCATGTCACAACGGTGAGCCATCCGGTCGTAGTGGTCCATACTGTGGAGCCGCTGGTCTTGGTTTGGACGGTTGAGGTGGAGTAAGTTGTGAGAGTGACTGATTTATCAGAGGTAATTTGGATGGTAGTGTGGGAGGTAATGTCGGAGGCATATGTTGGAACAATGGGGGCCGACGTTACAGCGGTTCCCCATGTGTATTTAGAGGAGGTTTTGGCTCCCGTTCCCCATGCTGAGGCACTAGTCCAGCTGGAAGCTACGGATGTATATGCATGAGCAGATGAAGCTACACCAGAGGCAGCTGAATAAGTTTAGTGGCTAAGTTTGAAAGAGAGGATGTGGGCAAAGTTACCTGTTTCTGATGCTGGAGGCCACCACATAGAATTTGATGAAATTGAGCTAGCTACTTCAGAGACAACAGAGGCACCACAATCTCCAGTTGCAGTCTCTGTAACGGTTACAGTCGAGGGTCCAGCTGCTGGAGCTGTATATGCTGCCGGAGCTGAAGGTGCTACCCAGCTTGATGCTTTAGATGTGACTTCCGATGCCACGCTTGCAGTAGATACCACACTAGCCGCATAACCGGAAGCGGTCGTTTTTCCTGGACAATTTGTAACAGTATCTGCGCAAGAAATTATGGTTGATGTATCCGTGATTGATACTACATCAGTTACCACTTGTGCTAAAGAAGGTGTCAATTGACCAAGGATAATCGACCCAAGTCCGAGTATATATGTAGCTCGAGCCATTCTTGTGACTTTATTGAGGCTGACTATAATATAAGCCAAGAGGTATATTTGCGATCTGTTACTTAAATTTTTGACGTATAAGGATGACAAAAGGAAAAGAGGAGAAGGAGCGTGGGAAGATACCAAGGTTTGTTAAAAGCAAGAGCTTGAGTATACTAGTCAGACAGGTTATCTAAAGCCTTTCAAGGCTTGGATGATACGATAAAGACAAACAAATGAAATGTTGGTGGTAAGATATAATAACAATGCTAAATAAAGACAGAAAATGGAGGCTTAGAAATGAGTGGCACGAGTAAGTCAGAACAAACTTATGCAAACAAAAGCAAGGCAGATGCAAAGAATGTTGGCTTGTAATATGTAGACGTTCTTATGTTAGTTGGAGGTCTAGAATATGGAACAGTGATCCTACAAGTTCAAACCTTGATGAGGACACGAATTTGGTGGAGATTTGAGGTCTGATAACCCTTATACCATACGCCTAAGCCATAAGGTCCATCTGCCTTTCCGACGTTGGTCATCTATTTCTTCTTCGTATGATGTCTATAAGGCCGGATTCCGATAAGAAGGAATCACAGCCCTATTTAGGCGCCCAAATTGAGAAACGAACCAATAATTTGTTTTTCCTTCCACGGGACGACGTATGATGGAAGATTACAATCTTCGCATTCGATACTAATATATGAAGACTTATCATTGTCGTAACCTGCATCATAGTTTCTGAGAAGCATTCTGCATTCTACGAAGCAGATTCTCCATACTAGCTGCCTGCATGAGAGCAATAGGACGATCCACACCCTACTGCATCGATCGTTTCAGTATCTCGGAGGCTGCAGACAAAACATATTATTCCCCATTAAAAAAAAACCTCATTTATATAGCATATGATAAAAACATTGGTTTCGAATATCTCATATCTATAGAAATGTGGATTTTCATGATCACGACAAGGTGCGGCTGTGAGGTCCTTTGAAGTAGGCATTGCAGCCGCGCGTTTGCAAACTAACCCAACCGGATACACCTCGCAGTGACCGATTATCATATTCCTACAACGGGGAATTTTTTTGGGTGACTGGAGTCGAAAAACCAGAATTTCAAATGAATTATTGTAAGGGCTTTCAAGACATCTTTTGATTCATCATTCCCGTGAATTCAATGTAACAAATAAGTTGGTTCGAAACTAAACCACAGACGAGAAAATATAATGAAATATACAGAGGTGCAGATTCTTTGGAAACAATTAGGGTCGCAAGTTGGGCTAGTATTGGATTAGGCAAAATCCTTCGGTACATGACCAATGGCCATTCGAGAAATATAAGTTGCTACAGCTGCACACACCTCGAACAGAAAAATGTGAGGAGCCGTCTAATTGACAGCAAGTCATCTACCTAGCTTGGCCAGTAATCGAGTGATATATGAAAAAATGCGGGGGAAAAAATAACCCGGTGCGGCGTGATAAGATACATAGATGAACAGAGAAAGTCTTCATGAATTTTACTGATAGAACAGAGAGACGAGTAGATATAATGACTAGGCATCAATTGATTATCTACCTTGACTAGGACTTCAATTTTCTTGTCTCTTTAATGCCACATGCAAGGGGATTACCTCAATGAATGACTCATGTTACCTTAAGCAAAATTAAAGGTGAACAGATCAATGAGGAAGTTGTGAATCGATACGTGAAGCAAACTTATCTCAGTCCATATCATGTATCAACACTTTATATTCGTGAACATGATCTTTTCGCTTGTTGCCAAAATGTAATTGGTCCTTGAAGTAACAGAAAAAACGAATGCTCTGAATTTCTTAAAATTCCAGTAAGTCCATGGTTGCTGAAACAACTCACTAAGAGCGACCGTAGCCCTAGAGGCAGCTATTGGAAATGTGACTTCAGAGCTGGTTTCTCGTCTCATAACGGTACCCATATTGAATATAGATAGCAAGACGTTCGACATAAACAATAGAAGAAGGTAAGAAAGGAGAAGCAAACCTTCTCTAGCCCGCAAGTATTATGAGGAATATTGAGGGGGGGGGGGAGTTGAGAAGACAGAATAAGCAAATGTAACGGTAGAAATTTGCACCAAAATCACATACATGCATGCACATGCATTTCAACCACATCAAGTCACTCAATCTGCACCCAGGTCGACCCGGCGATTCGTAATCTTCCCACCTCAGGATAAGCTCAGCTTTGCATGCTGACTTCAGCATGTGGTAAGATACACTCGCATGTACATCGGGTCCTTCGTTCATTGCTGCTGTACTAGACCCAGGACAATACTGCATCGACGTTCGTAACAGAACTCAATGAGTTCTTGGCATGAGATACATCTATATTCTGCGTGTTATTCCTTGCAACTTTGAGGAGTTCGCAAAGAAACTTCCCGTGTATCACAGCAAGACCCTTTGCATCCTCAATCTCATTTCATTCCAAGGATCCACCGCCACGCTGCATGAGTTTCAGAACCTCGCTCTGGGCCGCGTATTCCACGTTTTGTACATGAGTCGAACAAAAGTCAAAACCAACATCAAGAAAAAGCCCTATTGAAAACAAGGTGGGTCAAAGACTTCGAGATGCAATGCATTCCCTGCTGCATACTGCATGTACTATTGACATCTTCCACGCCAACTCAATAAACCATTTCAATTATCAGCCTCTGAGATATATATAATCCCCAACCGTTGGAATTAGAAGCTATTACCAACGCCACGAGGTCCCTTCATGCATTGCACAACGCAGGTCCCGGATCCACATCTATATCCATATCCACCTTGATCGCCCCTCCTATCCCCCTCCTCTCTCTCCACGCGATAGATGGATGGGATGAATAATACACTAAGATGAATTCCTAAACATGTTTAACCCTGAAAGGGTATATAATTTCAAATTGAATCCGACCATCAAAGAGTACGGCGAGGTACCTCGATTGTGATGTTTCCCGATGTCTAAGTCTGAAGTTCCATTTCAAGATTGGATAAAAATTCGAAAATTAGAACGCGTTCAAGGCTACAAGTATTTTTAATCATAGACCTAGATTTAAGCATTGAAGAATACTACGAGGCCTAGACAGTGAGTATTTTCGATTTCAATGTGCGGTATGCTTTGTCCGTCCATCGCGCGCCATCTTCATCTTTCATGCTGAGGAGTATCTTCCTAGAATTAGACCCCAATCTCGACTCACACTCTAAATTAAGGCTCTTCCAGGTTCTCACAGACTCCAAGTCTACCCTTAACCCACGTTGCCTACTCCTCCCTACCCGGATTATGTCTCAACTATTTTCTCACCCTTCCGCTTTCAAATTTGATCCACAACCCCCGATTCATAATTCGCAATCGCTGTCCCCTACTCTATCCTAACCTACCTCGGCCTACCTTTTATCTATTTCCATTTCCCTTTCCGATTCCGTTCAGTTGACGTCTCGGCCCGGCGCGGGCGATTCTAGGCACCTATTAGCTCTCATGTAGCATTGTACTCGGGCCATACCCGCTCACCTTACCCGCATCTTTATATCCGCATATGTCCCCTACCAACCCTATATACCTAGATACCAGGCTCCCCTTTCCAAGCCGTAACATAAGCTGACATGACATCAATGGCTTCAATTTATGCAGGGTCTGAACATGAAGCCGTGGAATATATTTTATCACAATTCGGAGAAGCTTGCCGAATACGGCAGGTTTCTGCACTCGCAAATTGGGAAATTTCGAAAACACAAAATTCTGAAGGATATCTGATTATCGGGTTCGCATTTGGACATTGCAAGCATGAATCTGACTGTCAGATCGAATTTGAAATCAATTGGAACGGTGAATTGCACTAGAACGATAAATGTATCGAAACGTAGCGAATAATTGAAAACTCGATGCTAGGATTCTGCTTCTCCTAGTCGCGAGTCACCATTAGTGACATACTTTTGCAAACAGCAAATTGACACAGTGAATCATGTAATCATACAACACGCGGAAAAAATTGACGGTCTATTTTACAGCTTTGATTTTGATCTATCAAATCTTCCGCCGATCATTCATCACTCATCCTGCCTTCCATACCACCATAACTAAATTTTTTCCTTTCCTCATCACAACGTTCAAAATACAGCTCTCCCAGGCCCACATGCTAAGGGACAAAAGAATAACGAGGAAATGACCATGATTTTATTTTAGCTATTGATTTAGACGAAGCTCTTGGTGAAAGAGGTGACAACGTCCTTCAACTTGGCCTCAAGGTCCTTGCTGAGAGCACCCTCCTTATCAATTGTTGCCAACAAGTCTGACTCGTTGGTCTTGAGATGTGAGATGAAGTCAGCCTCCCATTGGAGAATCTTGTTGACTGGGACGGAGTCAAGATGACCGTTGACACCGGCGTAGATGAGAGGAACCATTTCGTTAACAGCCATAGGAGAGTATTGCTTTTGCTTGAGGAGCTCAGTCAACTGTAAAAAATTGTTGTTAGCTTATGTAATTTGTATGAATTTGTTCATGAATAAAAAACGAAGGACCAATGTACGACCATGAGCCGAACAAGAACAAGGAATTGAATGTTCGAAAGCAAGCCAAACAATGATAAGTAACAAATATTCGAAAATAAGCCAAACAATGATAAGCAATCAATGTTCGAAAACAAGTCAAACAATGGTAAGCGAATCAATGTTCGAAAATAAGTCGAACAATCATGAGCACATCAATGTACGACGACGAGTCGAACAATTATGAGTAGACCAATGTACGACAATAAGTCAAACAATGGCGAGTATGGGAATGTAGTTGGGAATGTAAATGCGAATGAAAAACTTACTCTTTCACCACGGTTAAGAGTTTGCTTGGTAGCAGCATCCAAATCGGAACCGAATTGTGCGAAAGCAGCAACTTCACGGTATTGAGCCAAGAAAAGCTTCAAGGAACCAGCGACTTGCTTCATTGCCTTAAGTTGGGCAGCAGATCCGACACGGGAGACAGAAAGACCGACGTTGATAGCTGGACGAATACCCTTATAGAAAAGTTCGGCCTCCAAGAAAATTTGTCCATCGGTAATAGAGATGACGTTAGTTGGAATATAAGCTGATACATCACCACCTTGAGTTTCAATGATGGGAAGAGCAGTCAAGGATCCACCACCAAGTTTGTCGTTCATCTTAGCGGCACGCTCGAGAAGTCGGGAACTATTGGAAAATGTTAGTTTTTTTTTCTGCATCTCATGAGGGGCAACAGGAAGACAAACTGTAAATAGAACACGTCGCCGGGAAAAGCTTCGCGTCCCGGAGGTCTGCGCAAGAGCAAAGACATTTGTCGATAAGCAACAGCCTGCTTGGAGAGATCATCGAAAACGATCATAGCATGCTTTCCGTTGTCTCTGAAGTATTCGCCAATGGATGTACCTTTTCGAATGTTAATGATTGTAAGAGCGATGGAGCCAGAGTAAAGAGAAGAAAATCAACGGTGGAGGTTGGAGTTTAGATGTTTCTGGAGTCTCTGCTTGGAACCAAATGCATGATCATGAACTACGCAATAGAAACGCTTGTCATCGATGTAACGCTGGAATCGTGCATTCTGAGTATGAATCTTGGGGGTGATGATTCGCTCGACACCATTCACCTTATCCAGGTGTAAACGACCACGTCGATGACGGGCAAGACCAGAGGGAGAGGGGAAGTTTTGGTCGCAAGGATTGCAACGATAGCGTTTTTCACGCTTGGCTTTCTCACGAGATGCAGCAAGTTGAGCCTGACCTTTGAGACGATTCTTTTCATACCACTTTGCCTTGATATTGGCTCGGTGAGCATGATAGCCCGGAACAGTCTCAACTTGCTTATAATACCAGCTAAGCTGGCGTAAGTTTCGCCGCGCGATCCGACGTTCTTCAAGAGCATCTAGCTCTTCGGAGCTAAGCTCCATTTCTCCCCGGACCATCTCGGAGAAGGGTAAGTGAGTGCCTAAAGACACCCAAAGGAGCTCGGAGCGAGCCCACGGCATAAAGCCGATCCAGTTCCAGTCCATGGCGTAATGCCGAGAGGCGAAGAACAAACAAGTAAATATACCCTCTAGGGCAATGATTCGTAAGCGGGTCCGTGGGACGAGGGAGGAAGGAGGGACCGAACACCAACAAAGGCAGCCAAACTTGGCTATAGCATAGCCATGCTTCAAAGCACGGCGAACACCAATTGGCATTCGAGCAGTTTTACCACTCAGATATGTCTCGCAACGAGACTTATACCCTCCGGCAACGGAGGTTCCACTCCCCACATATAACTTTGGGGCGGACCCCGCTTTCTCCATCAAAACGACATAAACAGCCCAGAAAGGACCACGGACGATTGGTAAAGACTTAAAAAAAGAAAGAGAGGGGGGGGAAGGGTCGGAGAGGGTTTCGAAAAGGTTAGGAGCGAACTCCAACTTCATTGTACTTTTTATAGTACGATATGTTTCTGTATTTTTCAAAATTACAGTAAAAATTGGATTAATGTACCACGAGGGCGCACGTATGAGAAGGAATTTTTGGATGAGGGAATCCAGCAGGGTTTCTGCATGGTGTTCTCTGGTGACGGGGTCACCGGTGGCAGACATCGTGAATGCTAAAGAAAAAAAAGGAAAAGGAAAACAGAAAACAGGGGGGATATCTACTATTTATTGGATTCATCGACATAGTCGATGAATCGCACTCATTTCATACTCATGAAAAGTAGAATGAGCAAAAGGGAAAAAACGGCACGAACGGCAACATTGGGATACAACTTATCGCCATTATGAACGATCGCGAACGATTTTCAGATTTTCAAGTCTCCCGAGTACACTTGCTGCCTGGAGGCAGATATGCAACAGAAGGAACTTAAAGCACCTTGATGGACAATATCATGAGTGTCATCGGCGATGCGATGCTTATTCATCAATACCCCTCAAGATTGCTGTTTAAAGGTGAAGAAATCGATGCACCAAAAGAAAAATTATGTGTAGTGAGAAAAAAAAGGTGTGTGAAGTGAAAAAATGAAGGTGAAGTGAAAGAAAAAAGGTGTGTCATGTGAAAAAAAAAAGAAGAAAAAAGGTGTGAAGTAAACAAAAAAATATGTAGTGAAAAACATGGTGTGTTGAATTTTTGTATGTGCAGTAAGGAAATGTATGTGCGAACAAGAAAACAAGGGGTGCATCGAGGCAATGTATGTGCGAACAAAAAGGCAGGATTTGCATTACGGAGAAGATGTGCGAATGATAATAACATAGGTAGTCATAGGTAGTAAAGAAATGGTGTGTTGGAAGAAAAAGTATTATGTACGTACCAGTGAAAGGAGCAATATATTGAAGAGGAGCAGCTTCAGAAGCAGTAGCTGCAACAACAATACAATACTTCATGGCGTCGTTCTCCTCGAGGGTCTTGACCAATTGGGCAACAGTGGATCTCTTTTGTCCAACGGCGACATAGACACAGTAGAGCTTCTTGGTCTCATCGTTTCCATCGTTCCAACGCTTTTGGTTAAGCATGGCATCGAGAGCAACAGCAGTCTTTCCGGTTTGACGGTCACCAATGATCAACTCACGTTGACCACGTCCAATGGGTACCATTGCGTCGACGGACTTAAGACCGGTTTGGACTGGCTGGTTGACGGATTGACGTGGGAGAATACCAGGAGCCTTGAGTTGCGCACGGCGCCTCTCGGTAGTCTTGATAGGTCCCTTGCCATCGATTGGGTTTCCGAGAGCATCAATGACACGGCCGAGCATCTCCATTCCGACGGGAACATCGACCTGTACCTCATGTTAGTATTTCGAAACACAATTTCAAGATGGTCAACTAACAATCTCTCCAGTACGCTTGACGGTCTCGCCCTCCTTGACCAAACGATCAGAACCGAAAAGCACAACACCGACTTGGCCAGCTTCCAAGTTCATGCACATGCCCTTGACACCGGATGCGAACCTTTTTCTCCATCAGTACCCCAGATAATGATAGTCGAATTTCATAAACTTACTCGACAAGTTCCTCTGCTTGGACATTGCTCATACCATGTACACGAGCGATACCATCACTGTCATAACACAAATCAGCACTGCGCCCAAATAATCCATAATTCCGAATATCCACATCGACGTAATATGACTGCAGCATTTTGGACCCGAGTATAAGAATCTTGTTGGGGGAACCTACCCAACGGACAAAACACGTCCAGTCTCGGCGAGACCGGACTCCTCTTGAACACCTCTAATTCTTTGCTCAAGAATAGAAGAGACTTCGGTGGGGGATGCCTTAGCATCTGATGCGTAGCTTCGAACTGATCTTGATGCTGCGTTGAAAGTTGCTGGAACAGCAGTTCGCTGTGGTGGAAAAAACGTTTACGTTAGCCGAAGTCCGAAAAATCCTCGTCAACAAAGCTGCTAAAGCTTCCTTGAAGCTCGAAAGCCTCAACACCATGGCATCGCAACGTCAATTGACACTATAAACAATATCTGAATAGAAAGATATCGATAGCGGCGAGGTATAATAGTGACATAGTGACGTGAGAAATTTTGTTTTGTTGACGTACCGTGGCAATTCTGCCGGAAGCAGAAATTGCGCCCACCGTCCTGCTGGACTGCTTAAGAGCGTTTCTGAACATCTTGACCGACGTCTATATTTCGAAGGGTATTAAGGAGAATCAATTGCTACAAATGTGCAACTGATGGAGAGGAGATTTAAAATGGTGGAGGTAGAGTGGGTGGTATCAAGACCTTGCTGGAGGAAATTGGAGATTGTACGGAGTACTCTCAAACAATCAGGAAAACTGAACTAGCGCGAAAAATCACGTGGTATTTCTCAATTACGCCCACCAACCCACCATCCGTGTTATTTCGGTGTCGGGAGAAACCGTGGCATCGTGGGAGCGTGGGTGAATAATAATGGAGTAATGGAGCTTTGGTAAGAGGAAATGTCAAATTGCTGACGTTGATATCAACCGTCCAATCAACCATCCAACTTCTTTTACATATACTGACTGACTGAATGGGATAGGGTCTAGGGCAGTGGATTCGAACTCTCATCTGTCTGCTCCAAAGAGTGGTGACCTACCCCAAGTACTCGAGTACCCAAGTACCAACGTACTCAAGTAGCAAAAAGTATCCCTCAACCCAAGTATCAGAGTACCCACAGAACAAGGAGTATACTACTCGTACCGGTACTTCATCTCTTTTCAGACTCTTCCTCCATACCTACTTACCCACATATACATATACATTCATCACACTACTACTACAAATATCAAGAACCTCTCCTTTTTTGGTACTACTGTATATCAAAATCCTCCCCTTGATTATTTCGTGCATCATACTTTGAAACATTCTCAGGCGGACCCGAATACTAACATTTATTAACTTTCTCTTCGATTAACTAATTCTTGATATATCACACTTTTTCATGAATTCATGAATTCATGAATTCATGATACTTTTAGATCCCCTTGCCTCGGAGGGATCTTCTGGGGGTCATCTGATGAACGTCTGATAGGTAGCAAGATAGCAAGGGTAGAAAACTACTTTCTGCTTTCTGCACTATTGCTGCTGTCATCGCACATGTAACTGCTTCGTACAGCTTCCACAAAACGAGGACCAAGCGGGCCGTGGCTGTTGCCAAGGTGCAGAATCGGATGAAGATTGCACCCATGGAGACATTCAAAGCTACCTACCTTACGCTTTTCTGCTTTCCAACAATATGGTCCATCAAGCCTCAACTGGAGCTTATTCACGAAAGAAGCTGTCAATACTTCGGAACTACCTAATTGGGGGCGATTTGCATGTCCTATTATACCATTTGAAGCGAGGTACAATGTTGATTTTATTTTTCATTGGTTCTACTCCACAAAGCACATGTATCTCATCAATTATCCAAGAAAAATGATGAGATAAGATGAATCCTTTCCATGCATATACCGCATTTTAATATTCTTAATTTATACTTCCTATTAAGTTTTTTTTTCTGTACTACTCGGGGCTTGCTTAAGTACAAGCATTATGCGAAGTATCATGCGAATACCATGACCCATCCAAAATTATCGTAAGTGTGTTGTTGAAAAGTGGCGGATCTTTCAATATCGCCGATAAACGTTTAGAAGCCCTTCAACGTCGAAAATTTAAGTGCTGACGCCTTTGAAATTATATCATTTTAGTGACATGAGAGACTACCCAATGTAGTAGCACATGTAGCTATCTTGTCGAAACAGGTGCAGTACCTCGTCGCCATGCCGCCTCATCCACATAAAGTAATCGGTAAAAATTGGAGGCTTGAAGCTGATCCTTCCTCCGCTGTTCCCAATTGAGGATGGAAGCTTGTTCCTTCTGTTGGTCGCTACCATGTAATTGAACGCAATTATATTTCCGAAGGCTAGAATTGCAATAACCATGTTCATCTTATTACGAGGCGGGAGAAAGCAACAGTGTGGTGGCTTTGGTAGGCGGTAATATTGTTTAGTGCAGATGTTGGTATTAAAGTTGAGCAATATCCTCTTGGAAATCTTGTTCTGATGGAAGTTGTCAATGATCGCCCTTGTTTGCGTGTTTTAATGCAGTTGCAGGTGTCGGGACGCTCCTCATTTGCTACCAGGGCATGATTCGCGCTTGCAAAGGTTGTACAGCACTGCATTCAACATACACCTTCTTTTCTAGAATCGCCAATATCGATTTGTCCAATAAGGTCGTCCAAATTATTCAACAGACAACATAACTCACTGCAGCCGGGCTTTACCTCCGCACGCATCACAACTTCCCCGGCCGGAGGCCCAAACTGCTGGGAAGATATCTTTGCACATATTGGAAAGTCGAGGCACGAATTTCATATCGACTGACCTCAAAGAATCTGCTAGACTGTACGACCAACGAAATCTCTTGCATCGGTCACATCTACGCACTTACGAATAAACGCATGCACAGTTCGATAGGCAACACTGTAGTGGGTCCTGAACTCCAGAAATTTTCCTATTCTCCTGGGTGTTTTACCAATCAAGGGCGTCTCACGTCACATACTCATACACTGTCCAACGTGCTCATCTTTAGAGCCAATCTTCCAGTTCAATTGGGTCAGCTGGTTGTTCGAGGCTCCGAGCATAAATACCCCCCTTGGGTAGTTATATGTTTGAGTACAGCATAGCAGTACAGCTTCTGGGGAGAGAGACCTGCATTTAATATAATTGCTTGCTTCCAACATTTTGCCTCGTCACCTGACTTTGCAATCAGTCCATAATTTTGATTCACCCTTGTGTGCGTGGATTATCTTTTACATCGAGATAACAATATTGTCTCAAATTAGAAAAATACGAGCTTGTAAGTATTCACCAACTTTCATACGCAGTGCAACCTTGGTGGATGTTTGCCTCCGTGTGAACCACCCCCAACAGATTCCTTCAGTTGGCTTGACTATTCTCTATAAAAACCACCGCTAAGTCTATCCTCGCAAATACTGATCAAGTATAGAACGCAAGAAACTTTCACAAGCACTTCTCTGACTTGGAACTCACATTTCAAAATGCTCGGAGGAATATCACGGACAAAATTTGCCCCAGCGGCCAAAAGCTGCCCCTTTATTTTCACAAGATCAACAGGGGTGAAGAGTGATGCAGTACCTCGGAAATGCTTTCACGTCGCTGCACGAAATTTATCTTCGAAGCCTAAAGTACCTCTTATCTCAACAAGGCAATTTCGATCAAATGCGTCAGGTCGAGCAGCAGTAACCGACCTCCCTATGTTCCATGATGGACCTGTCCCAGCACCATACGAACCTCCAAATACGGCAAAAGTGCCTGGATTACCAGTCTACGATGTTTCTCTTACTGACAGGGCCGCGTACTGGCAAAAGATTCCTCGCTGGGCAAACATCACAGAAGCCCAGTTCTTAAAATACAAGTTTCATGTAAGTACCTCAGCCCTATGGTTGTATAGGGGTTGCTAATACTGATACTTTTCTGCAGACAATCCATACCATATCTACTATAATGCAGTTGGAAGTTTTCATGTTGGAAGTTTTGCCCCCGGTCCTTCGAAGACACCCCGATTTTCCCGGCATTGTCACTCGTGAGGACTTCATCGAGGACGTCAAGGAAGGGATCAAGTTGGCGCCTATGTCGATTCGCTTGCCACCTCATGTTCTCAGTATCATCGACTGGAAAAATCCGTTCGAAGATCCCATTCGTCGCCAGTTTATACCTATGAAGTCAAGTAAGCTTGAAGATCACCCTAAAGTTGAGTTGGACTCATTGCATGAGTCTGATGACTCTCCAGTGGAAGGCTTCGTTCATAGATATTATGACAAAGCTTTATTCTTAGGTAAGTCTTCCTCAGCTTCATAACATTTATTATGACACTAAGTCTTTTCTAGCAACATCAACATGTCCTCTATACTGTCGTTTCTGTACTCGTTCATGGTCTATCGGGCCTGATATGCAAAACGTTAAGAAGACCACATTTAAGCCTCAAAGAAAACGCTGGGAAGACATTTTCACTTATATTGAAGACACCCCTCAACTTCAAGATATCGTTGTTTCTGGGGGAGACTGCTATATCTTAACCGCTGATAATCTTCATCTAATCGGCGAACGACTTATTTCTATTCCACATATCAAACGATTTAGATTTGCCACGAAAGGTCTTGCTGTTTCTCCTGCGCGGATCCTTGACGATAGCGATGGATGGGCAGCTGAGATGATTAGACTCTCAGCATTGGCTAAGAAGGCAGGAAAGAGTATGGCTATCCATACACATTTCAATCATCCTAAGGAGATGACCTGGGTTTCAAAAATGGCACTCCAAAAGTTACACGAGAACAATGTTACCGTGAGAAACCAAACTGTCCTACTCAGGGGTGTCAACGATGATGTGGCCACCATGAGTAGCCTCATCAAGACTGTGGCTGACAACAACGTCATTCCCGTGCGTATATCTTACCTAGTTCATCTTTTCTAAGCCGGGGCACATGCTAACATTACCTAGTACTATGTCTATCAAGCCGACATGGTACAATACGTGGAAGATCTCCGGACACCACTCTCCACAATTCTTCAACTCGAACGTCATATCCGCGGTTCGATTGGTGGTTTCGTAACACCCAACTTCGTCGTGGATCTTCCTGGTGGTGGCGGTAAACGTCTTGCCGCATCATACGATACCTACGATCCAATTACTGGACGCTCAACCTTCACCGCACCGGCCGTCACCGGTAAAAACAAGGAGAACAGAGTCTACGAATACTGGGATCCATTACATTCTCTCCCAAAATCAAACTCATCCTCCTAGAAAAGAACATAATTTCATCAAGTAAGGTAATGGCTGGTAGATAGATAGTTATTTGCTTTGGTGGCACCTACGGAGTTATCATTTCGCTCGTTGGTACTTGGTACATATGCCGAGTTTTCGAACTTTTCGCGAACGCATGCTTTACAGTCCAAAATTTTCTGTATCTGGATATCATCTTGATTTGGTATTACACGAGCGCGCGAATCTAGGTACCGGCTCTATGTTTGATTTTGTTCTCTATTATGTTTGTTTTGCGGTGGCACGTTTGACACTTTTGGGACATATGGCAACTTCACAGTACATGCTTCTTTTTTGAATGCTGATTTGATTCGATTTTGCTTGTGCACGGATTCTGAGTAATGAATTAGGCTTGAATTCTGGGGGTTTGGATGGTTGTGGATGATACAAGAGTGATTGGAAGGGAAGAAGGGAAATACAGCGATACCAGCTCAAATAGGGCAAGAATTGATACTGAGTCATTTTGTGATTTTTCCTGACTCTATCCTTAATGGTTCATATGGGTGGAGACTTTTGCTTGAGAGGGATTGATGAGAGGGGACGTAAATATCCGGTCATTAGTTGCCTTACCTACTCGTTCGAATGAGAATCAAAAGTTATCATTTCTTCTAATATCTTACGGTGATCATGAAGCTATCTTGTACTACATACGCAGTAAGATCTGAGCCTACCTGCTAGCTTAAACTTGAAGCGGTAGCATCATCGAATGTCGAATCTGGAGTCTCCTCCGATGTACTGGCTGCTTATTTAGCCGGCCGTGCCAGCCGTACACCATACATACATGCCAAGTTTCGCCAACCTCGTTTACCCTATAATCGATATTCGTAATCGCTAGATCTCAATGTCAGATCAGACGAATGACACAATATATCTTTCAGAAGAATTAAAATTTGCTTGGCGCCTCTTGCGCCCTTATTCACTTTTCTGCTTACCTCCCTCCATCGAGGCTCAAAAAGTGAAGTCTCAGACAGCACTTGTGAAGACCCGATGACCCATCCATCGGGATCTAGGCACGTCGACTTGCTGTAAGATTACGTTATGAGGATAGCCGTTTCGCATTCCCATTCTCGTCTCGCGTGCCGTTCTTATCAATATTTGGGGACCCCAATATCTCAGACGAGAATAGTAGAAACGGAATAATATCTATTATTTCGCGAGCCGCAGTCTGCGGGATTACTACTTCGGGTTGGATAATATGTTGAAATCCACAATATTTTACGGAATATATCTTGGAGAATGAGAATTTAGTAGATTAAGTGGATTAAGACGTCGAAGATGTGTCTGATTCGTATCATTGCATTTTGCGGAGGGGATGTGATTAACATATGATGCCGAGTATGACGCTTTATCTTTTCTGGAGAGGGGTTATTGGTGGGTCAGTCCCAACAGCATTGAAGTTATGGAATTTTATAGATGTGGTTTGAATGGTTGAGAGCGACTTGAAATTCAATATGCGCGCTTACGGTATCCACCCTCCAAATGGACGAACAAAGCCATACACTCAATTACCCGAATAGATCCATTCATTGAGAACAGTTATATTGCAGTTTGGTTTTCCATACTATCTCTCTTTACATTGAGATCTTAATGATCAAGACTATATATTGTATTAAAGCGTATCAATACCTATACATGATCGATCTTTGTATCAGAACAATGATTGTCTGAGTTGATATCGACTATTGAAGAGAATAAATTGTCCAGTTTTCCGTCCTGCTGAAGCCACCTTGAGCAGCAACTTCGAACCAATTTTCTCATGTATACAAGAAACTGATTTGCTACACATTCATCACTACTAGCCTCAAATGCTGTAGTATAAGATTTCTGGCGTGCGTGGTGAACGATACAAAAGCGCTACGGAAGATTGTAAGATAGGGTTGCAATCACAATTTTGGGGATGGATATGGAGGGTTTCATCAGCGAGACGCAACTGATATCGTTATGACTGCAGTGATAAGGTTTCGGCACGTACATATTGAGTTACGGTGCATGATTTGCGGCTTCGCAGCTTTGCAGGACATCATGTGTACAGTACTTTTGCTCGATGATGTATGTTTAAACCTTTGTGTGTGTGTTAGGGGTCTCGATAGCGGAGGAAAGGAACACTCATCTGGAGGTTTGGATGTGGTTACGTTGATAGGCTTTACTTAAGCATTGCCAAGATGTCAGATGGATATGAGTATTATTTTGTAGGGAGTTCCTTGTTTGTTATACGACGAATACGCTGAATTGAATGCTGGGAATGGGCGGAATTCTTCGGTTCTTTGGCTTAAAGTATTAACGTTCATGGCTACTTAGTCAGTACCTCTCAATCTCTAAACGACCTCACGCCATTCAACTGTTGGTTGCAGCTTTCATTGATGTTTTGTATTTTACTAAATATATCTTTCCCACCCATTCAATCATTTGCTCATGATGAAAGCCCCAGGAAGTCGATATTGGCATTGGTCAATATAGCGACGGGAAGGTTCAAGGAACCAGATCAATCAATCACGAGACAAAATATATACCGAGGAACTGGATGCACTACAGATACCTAGCTAGTACAGTGTAGTTCGAAATTTCACGGGAAGGAATCCGAGAGAATCCTTCGCGACGTGTCTGTACAGTACCAAGATTTTGAGCGGATTTTTTACTTTGCATGGTAATTTACATCTAACAGTTGGAACAGTCAGAACTAAGAGTTAAATGTTAAGTTTGTGGAATCCGGAAAGATAGAGGGCTTAGAACCTGGAACTAACACGAGATAGAACATCTGGCAATGGAAGGAAGTTATGGAACGCGATGACCGAGGAGGGGCTCGAGCACCTTATTTTGTTTGTTTGTTTGTTTGCTTGTTTGTTTGTTTGCTATCTCACGGTTCTACAATTCATTCCATGGTACGCGTCTGAACTTTGAAAATATTGTTGTCTGAGATTGCAATATATACCGACGATCGATCATGATGCACTCACGTATAGTGAGTACTGTACACTGTACAGCCACGATAGTGCACAGTATAATTTCAAGAAAGGAGATGATACGGTTGTCACGGCTAATTCGAGGAGCAGTGCTGGGATAAGGTGACACAAATAAAGATCAGAATATTTTTAGGAAGGTTTAGAGTGAGAGAAGAAGGTTCGGCTGGATCGAGTAAAGCGAGCGAAATGAAGGGGTAGATATTCGTGGACTTGTAAATTGGCGGTGATGAACTTGGTCAGATATCTTAGGGTATGGAATAAGATTTTCGATGAGGGGATGGACCTGGTAACCCGAAGAATCGCTCTGTAAGTTATACTGAGTATGGACGGTCTGCACAATCTATGAAGTTTAGCTACGCTCGTTGTATGCTGCTCTTTTCTTCTTTCGCTTCGGAAATCTTTTTACCAATGTCATTCGGAAATTTAAAACGCCCATTCATTTCTTTTTGACGTTTGGACGCCCCAATCCCAGCAGGGAATCCAGCTTGATACTGAGGCCATAGTCACTTGATTTCGTGAAGTTCCCGCGTTTTATATTCAATTATCAGAGTCGCTATCGCTAGCCGTGGGGAAGCAAGCGGGCGGAAGGATCTGACCGCTCCTCTCCTCGCCGCTGGAGGCTGGATCATTCCACACAACGCCCCTCTCCTGTACATCAACGATTCCACACCGACAGCAAGGACAATCCTATTTGTACATGACCTTACGTGAAAGATTCTATTTGCAGCGTACGAATCTATTTTCGACAGATCGGATGATAACTGCCTGCTTGCGCGATTCTGGATACTCTCCATAATTCCCACGAACTCAATCGAATGCAAGGGGATATTTATTTTCAGCTTTGACAGAGGGGAATTTTTTGTATTCTCCCAACCGGCCTATCCTTGCTGCAGCACGCCTCTCGATTGCTTTGGGATCACAACCCACGAGGCTGACATTGCGTTGACGGCATGTGTTTGCTGTGTCACATAAATAGAGGTGCATTACAAGTTGGGTGCGGCGCGGCGGGTACAGTTGGGTCAGTACAGAGTTGGGCCACCTTCATGACTATGGCCTGAATAAAAGGCGTGTTTGCATATACGTACGTATGTACAAATTGCAATCATGCCACAAGTATTCAATGTCACAGAATAACTGTTGTATAACGGGTTTATGTCCGTTATCCGTGAGAGCAATATGCTGTGCACAATATTTACTCTATATATGTACAATATGTCTTGTCTAACATTGGAAAAAAAAGAGAGGAGACGAAAGACATACATACGAAGTACAAGGAGAAACAACTATTTCGGATCTGAACATGAACAATTAAAAAATGGAATGTCCAAAGAATTCGCCAAGGATTTTCCCTTTCTCGCTCGACAATATAAATGCCTGTATGTATGGTGGTTCTTTGCAAATCCGGTGAGCAGCCATTCGTTTGCTATATTGCTATGATCAAGACCTGGTCTATGTCCCTTAGAATCCTCTTCTTGTGGTCTTTCGTGCACTGGATCAAGTAAGGATCTTCCATGGATATCGCAAACAAGGTCGATTCATTGGTGAGAGCTTGTGCCTGCATACCAGGAATATTAAGACCCTTGAATCAAAACCCTTGTGCTTCCAGAATGGACGTGGAGATCTCTAGGCAAATCAAGAATCAATATTGATAATTTTGATTCATGACGATTAAAAGATACATAATGGGTTAACAACCGTACCTTACCTCAATGGAGGAAAAATGGACAAAGAGAGACAGCGAAAGAGAGGGACCCAGGGCCAGCGGTTACTGTGATCAGCGAAAGCAACGGGTCTCAATATCATTGATGAGAATCATCAGATGAACCTCTTGGGTCATTCCAATCCTTCTGCTTTCTCTCCACATGTTCACTGAACCGCTTTCTCCAGTCTTTCGAATTGCTCTTAATTGTGCAATATAATTTGCTCGATTCGACTGTTCGTCTGTTCGTCATCTCATATGCCAAGTAAGTCATAACGAAATCGAGTTACCTTACTTTCCTATGTCCATATCGATCCATAAGATCCATAGAACCATACGCATACCGTACCAAACTTTTGAGCTACCTGGTCGATTCAGGTCCGGGGTTGCACACACCATACGCGGCAAGAACCCAATAACCTTTATATCTGGAGTCCCGTCGTAAGGAGATTCGTTCGGATCGTGTTGCATGATGCATTAGTTGGAGACAACAAATCTGAAAGAGCCACTCCAGTCTTACCATCTTCTGAATCCTTCTGGACTTGATATTCAGTCATGGCGTCCAATATGAAGGAACGAAACTTGAACATCACTCCCATCTACTCTCTCCCAGCTCCATCACACAATTCGACTTCGAATATCTTCTCACCGACTGCTCTTTCGAAACCGTCTTTCGATATTCGTCCCGAATCGTCACCGGCTCTTCCATCATCAAGTTTATATCGCAGGAATCACAAGGAAATGGCATTGTGCGGGGAATACTTTACAACAAATGAAGAGTTTCATGCTCTTCCACCCGCTCTAAAACGAAAGGTATATATATCACTTTCGCTGTTATACTTTACCACGGTCATCACAATTTAAAAAACAAGGTTGGGGGTTTCATTTTGTATTTCAAGGTTGAGCTATTGAAAAAAGTAAAGAGATGTAGTTTAGCCCGTGCCAACGAGACGCCGTCGAAAGTTAGGTCTCTCATTAGTACATTTAGTGGTGTCTTTCCCGCGTGAATCTACGCTAGATCCTTCCAATTCATACTGGCGGCGGGATCAGCAAACGCTATGAACACATTTATATGCAGGTACAAGAGACGGTGGTTTTGCAATTCTTCTCATGCGGTTGTCGACGGTATTATTGTTAAAAGATGGGTGCTAACCGGGCCCTTTCGCAGTATTTCTCAACTCTGGAGCGTCTTCGATTCGCACAAAGCTCGAGGTCAAATGCCCTCAATGATCTTCCCACACGGAATACCCGTAGAACTTCTATTGCCGACCGACGTGGCTTGAAGATTTCAGAGCTCGAGCCCCGACGCAGACCTTCAAGACGATTAAAAAAGAAGAGGGAACATTCGATATCCAATAGTAATGATAAATCTTGGTTTTTAAGCAATTACGAAACATTTCCGGAGACAATCAAAAGAAAACAATTTTCGAGCGAAGAACAAGCATTATTAGCAAGCAGGATACGTGAAGCAGTTATATTGGATGCGGCGGACGAAAATCTCATAATACGAAGACGATCTCGTCGCATGGCGTCAGATCCACCGGTATTGTCTCCCAGCGTTAGAGGTTCTGTTTTCAGTGAAAAAACTAGCGGGACTCGAAGGAGAGCCTCGATGTCTAGTATGGCCGATACGTTTCTTGACAGTTTCCAATGGATCGACGATGAGTCTAAGTTAGATCTTCATTTGGATGATTATCATGCTTCAATATTTCCTTCTCTAAAAAGCGACCGGAAGCCCTCATTTCGACGGCAAATGTCGATTTCAAAGCTTCCTTTCGGGCGAAGCTCGATATCTTCCATCACACCTAAATCTCCAAATCCCACATCACCTAGCTTCAGCACACATTCCCGTTCTGCTACATCAATAACGGGACCAAGGCATGCCGCAAAACACAAAGTTAATTCATCGCTCTCGTCGATAGACCCTAATGCCACCTATTACCAAGACCCGGAAGCACGACTAAAGTTAAGGGTCTACTTAGCGTCACCGCAAAAATTCGATGAGATAATCGAGTTTGGATTCCCATCCATGGATGCGGCGATGGGTGCATCAGAGAAGGAAAATAAACCATCAAGATTAATATCGAAACGTTCGTCGAGAGATATGTTGAGGCGAAAGGCATCGAGTCCAGCATTTGAACATTCATTCTTTAATGACGATACTGCTTCACTATTCGAAGACGATAAATCGATGGCTGATTCTGACGCACCCATAACACCCCTGGAATATGAAAGCGGATATCCACTACAACGATCTCCATTTTATTATACTGGCAAGCCTCTTGCGGATTTTCAATCTGGGCCCAATAAACTACCTAGCAAACAACAAGACCCTTATACACAAGTTATGGCTGGAAATCGAGAACCTACGTTAAGAATGACGCTTACACGGCAGGATTTGAGAGATGAGAGCGCAATATATGGATGGCAATCGAAAGAGCCGCTTGTAATGGAGGATCTAGAGAACCATAGGTATCCGCGGGGACCTATGGGTGGAGCAGATGGTTGGGGGCCACCGGTCGAGAAAGAAAATGGGGTGGTAAAAAGGTTTTGGAAGAGGGTGAAGAGTCAGCGAAAGACTTCGTGATATGGTATCTAGAACAGAAGAAAAGGGAATCTTTGCAGATGGAGTTATTTAGCGGGCGAGCTTGTATCTTTAAAGAAGCGTTTGCTTTGTATTTACCTCTCTTTTGTTGGAGGCTCGCGTGCATGGCAGGCAGGTTTTGCATAGCGATCGAATGGATACCAGGGATTTGAAATCAAAAATTGAGAACAAAAGTCCTGAATTGAAAGATTGCATCGTTTGAAGTGATGTAAATGTTTGTGTATGTGCCATGCAATTCGCCTTCGTTACTTCGCCCATCAATTGGATTGCCGGTCAGGTTTGAAGTCGACATAATGTTCGAAATGGGTATAGCAAGGATCCATTCGCTGATGAAAGTTGAATTGTGCTTTGACTTATGGGAGGAAGTGAACAATTTATAATACCATCGATCACACCGTCATAGCGGCAAAGAGGCCAAGAGGCAAAGAAGGAATCATTAGTATTAGCCGCTGCTGTGATGTGACTGATGGTTGGTTAATTTTGTGTATGACAAAGAACATTCCTTCCTATTGACGTTCACGGCAACCGTCATCATTCCATTCGTATTCTGCAGTGAAGCCGACGCCAGATGATTGAAGTGAATATAAGAGAGTTGCCTGATATCGATGCTATGAATAATGTAAGTATTGAGAGGATTTATCACCATAGAAATTTGGTGTAAAGAATCAATGAATGCTCTCTATCCTCTGTTCTCCCTCTGCTTCTCCTGCTCTCAATCTCCATCTCCATCTCCATCTCCACAGAAATAAATCCATCATACCAGAAATAGATTTTAACCCCCAACCAATAACCAATAACCAATCCAACATCAACATTCACGCGCGGAAGGTGCTGGGTTTGGTGTGGGATCTGAGTGCTCTTGCTTGCTTTACCTATCGTTGATAGGTCCGAGTGGTGAGGCACAGGTGTGGCGCAAAAGTGCCCTGAAACGAGTAGCTGTACCCAGGCTCAGTATCATCATCATCATTGTTTCCAAAAGCCACGCAATCCATTTACAATCTTTGCTTCTTCCAACCCTTTCCATTATCAATTCTGTCAAAAGTAACACCATCTAAACTATCACCACCATCATCGAGTCGCCACTTGGTGATCCTTATCGAAGCTTCATGCGCTCCGGTATCACAACCAACCCGCGAAGATGAGGCTACGGAGCTCAGAGACAGGATGGCGGTGCCTCCTAATATCAACACTTCTCTATACTAGCGCGTGGGCAAAGAAAGATGCGCCTAGAGTTAGTTATGCCAAAGTAGAAAATGTCCCACACAATCTGCGGTACTTCGACGATTCCGATGTGTTACTGTATGAGGACAGAGACGATGCGGTTGTTTACAGATCAGTGGATGCAGGAGAGACGTGGAAGAAAATCACCGCCGTTCCTGAAGGCAAAATGCTGGAGATTTCGATGCATCCATTCGATTCGAAAAGGGCATACATTATAACGTCGGAGAAGAGTCATTGGGCAACAAATGATAGAGGAGAGCACTGGGAGGAATTCTATACGGATAATCAAGCTAGTGTATTCAGAGAGGCGCTGAGTTATCATGCAAAAGATCCAAATAGGATTATCTTCAATGCAATGGATTGTACGGGCATTTTCTGCGAAGAGTTGGTAAGAGGAGTGGTTATTTTCTGCTGGGCGATACAAATGCTAACTAATTTTACAACAGTCTATGTACACTACTAACGGATTTGACGAAACTACTAAGTTCCTACGTTCCGACACTGCGGGCTGCCGCTGGGCAGTCTCGTCACCGGAGTTTACAACTGGCCAGAAGGACCTTGACAAAGACAGGATTCTCTGTGTGGCTAAAGGCAGATATTCTGTATGGAGGACAGACTACCGACTTGTTGTCTCTGATGATTTCTTCACTTCAGACGGCGAAGATATACAAGAATTTGAGCCAGAACTGGAGCCAGGTCGAACGATCAAGGGAATTGTTTCTATCGCACCCCAGAAGAAGTTTCTGATCACAGCCGCGGGTGCTGACCGCACTGACGAGATGGCACTATACGTGTCTGATGATGCCATTAAATGGCACCGAGCAGAATTTCCACACGACCATAAATTGATCAAAGAAGCGTATACCGTCTTGGAAGGAACTAATTACAGTATCCAAATCGATGTCTTGAACACGCGCCCACTCAATGCTATGGGGGTCATGTTCACCAGTAATTCGAACGGAACGTATTTCACCCGAAATATCGAGCACACAAATCGAGATATGGGTGGCTATGTTGACTTCGAGAAGATGGCTGGAGTGCAAGGAATTGTGATGGTCAACGTGGTTGATAACTTTGAAAAAGTCGAGAAAAGTTTCATGGAAGTGAAGAAGAGAAAGTCCAAAATCAGTTTTGATGATGGACGAACTTGGCAACCTCTCAAGGTCAAGGACAAAGATCTTCATCTCCATTCCGTCACAGAGTTGGACAATTCTGGTCGGGTCTTCTCGAGTCCGGCTCCAGGTCTGGTAATGGGAAATGGTAATACAGGAGACTACTTGGGGGAATGGGATAAATCTAATCTTTATGTATCTGATGATGCGGGAGTTACGTGGCATCATGCCCTCGACGGACCACACAAGTACGAATTTGGAGATCAGGGATCCATTCTTGTGGCTGTACAGGATAGTAATACAAAGGTGGTTAAGTACTCACTAAACCACGGCAAAGATTGGAAGGAACTCGAACTCAAGGATAAAATCCTCCCGCTGCAATTGGTCACAACCTCCGATTCAACAAGTCTTAAATTCCTCATGATTGGAGTGGATGAGTCGGACAAGAAGCAGAATTACTATATGATTGCACTTAACTTTGACGAAATGCATGAAAGAGAATGTAAAAAGGATGATTTGGAGAAGTGGTACGCGAGGCTGGATGATGACGGTAACCCAGCTTGTCTTATGGGCCACACCCAATATTACATGCGTCGCAAAGCCGACGCAGAATGCTTCATGAAACAAGAATTCAAAGACCCAGTTGTTCAAACAGACGACTGCCCTTGTACAGACGCCGATTTCGAGTGCGATTATAACTTTATCAGGAGTGATGATCTTAAGGAATGCATACAAAAAGGTGCTTTGATCGTTCCGGAAGGTCAATGCAAAGCATTTGGTCCCGATGACACGTTCAAAGGATCTTCCGGATGGCGTCTAATTCCAGGAAATACTTGTAAGCGAGACAGTGGCAAGCAGAAGGATGATTTAGTCGAACATAAATGCTCGACTTCCGCAGCGCCTCCTGCTTCCGGCAAAGGAAACTCGACTGAATTCACATTCAAGGGCAAAGCATTCCTGGATAAACAATACCTTGAAAGAACTGGCGTTAGCACCCAGGTGGACGAAACAATCGTATTACAAACCGACCAGGAAACAGTCTGGCTCACTCACGATCATGGAAAAACGTGGAAGCAGATCCTGAAGGATGAGAAAATTGTTCGAATTTACGCCAATCAGTACTTTAATGATGTCGTATTCTTCTTGACAAAGACCGAAACTGTTTTTTACTCTGTCGACCGTGGAGAGAATATCAGAAGCTTCAAAGCTCCCCATCCACCAAGTCGTGAAGCTCTCGCAATGAACTTCCACCCTAGAAAAAAGGACTGGTTCATATGGATGGGTGAGAAGTGCGAAGGTACTGGTAACTGCCATACTGTAGCTTCGCTCACGGAAGACCGAGGAGATAGCACCTGGAAAACGCTCCAGCGATATGTCCGAAAGTGCGAGTTCATCAAAGAAGTCCCAAATCAACAACGTGATGATAAATTGATTTACTGCGAAGTCAAAGAACGTGAAAACAACGACGCTAACAATCCGTACCAGCTTGTCTCGAGCACAGACTTTTTTAGTGAGCCGGCCACAGTGCATTTCACCAATGTAGTTGATTTCGCTACGATGTCCGAGTTCATTGTTGTTGCTACAAAAGATAATGAGCACCAAACTCTAAAAGTCGATGCAAGTTTTGATGGTGTCAACTTTGCCGATGCGAAGTTCCCTCATGGTTTCGAAATTGATCATCAAGTCGGTTACACTGTGCTTGATAGCTCTACTCATTCTGTTTTTCTTCATGTTACAACGAACAATGAGAAGGGCAAGGAATTTGGAACCATCATTAAGAGTAATTCTAATGGTACTTCATACGTTCTAAGTTTGAATGCTGTGGATAGAGACAGCGCTGGTTATGTGGACTTCGAGAAGATGTTTGGAATCGAAGGAGTTGCCGTGGTCAATGTTGTTGCGAATGCAGGATCGAAGAACTACAAGAAGGAAAATAAGAAGCTCAAGACCATGATTACCCACAATGATGGTGCAGAATGGGCTCCAATAAAACCTCCTGCACAAGGTCCAGATGGAAAGAAGTGGGGATGCAGTGGTTCAGAGGAAAAATGCTCATTGAATATTCATGGTTATACCGAGAGAGTTGATAAAAGCCATACCTACTCTTCTCGATCAGCAATTGGTTTGATGATGGGCGTTGGAAATGTTGGCGAATTCCTCACAGATTACAAAGATGCCGACACCTTTATTACCACGGATGCTGGCATAAATTGGAAGTGGGTCAAAAAGGGAGCTTACATGTGGCAGTTTGGAGATCAAGGCTCAATCATCGTCATCGTGAAAGAACACGCATCGGTAAATGAAGTCCACTATTCTCTAGATGAGGGAGATACTTGGATTCCATATAAATTCTCCGACGCGGAAATGAAGGTTGAGGATCTCACCACGGTTCCAAGTGACAACGCTCGAAATTTTCTTCTTTGGGGTACAGTCGATGGTGCTCTCACAGCTATCAATCTTGATTTCTCGGGTTTGAGGGACAGGCAGTGTGATCTTGATGAGAACGACGTTGAGGGTGGAGATTATTATCTTTGGCAACCAAAACATCCTCTGCAAAATGATGACTGTCTCTTTGGACATGTCTCGCAATATCATCGAAAGAGAACTGATGCCGAATGCTACAATGGAAGGCTAATTCCTTCGCTTCATAATATTGCCAGAAATTGCAGCTGTACTAGGCGAGATTTTGAGTGGTAAGTTCTATTTTCTGATATCCAATTTATAAAAGCTAACCCAAAATCAGTGATCTTAACTACGAACGCCAAGGCGATGGATCATGTGTTCTCGTTAAAGGTTACTCGCCACCAGACCATTCCGAAATCTGTCGCATCGATGAAAACGTCGTGGAATATTTTAAACCTACAGGATACCGTCGTCTTCCCCTCACAACATGCCAAGGTGGTAGAGAACTGGATGTTAGTGATGAAGCACATTCTTGCGCGGGTCATGAAGATGAATTCAATAGGAAACATGCGGCTTCAGGTTGGGCCATCTTCTTTGCGATTATTATTCCTATTGGCATTGCGGCTGCGGTTGGTACTTGGGTTTGGAGAAACTGGACTGGTAAATTCGGTCAGATTAGGTTGGGTGAACAAGGTACGGTTTTATCTCTCCCTTCACGTCCCTCCACTTACTTTTTTCATCTTTCCTCCCCCGTTCCACTAAGAATTCCCCGCTAACATACCTCACAGCATCATTCAATGACGAAGCTCCATACATTAAATACCCAGTAATGGCCGTAGCAGCAGCAGTAGCAGTCGCGCAAGCAATCCCACTCCTTGCATCGTCACTATGGCGCTCAGCTTCAGGGGCTTTGGGGAGAAATGTGCCGAATAGGAGATTCACGACTAGAGACAGTTTTGCGAGAGGCAGAGGAGATTACGCGGTTGTGGATGAGGACGAGGGGGAGTTGCTTGGGGAGGATAGCGATGAGGAGGTTTAGTTCTTTGAGAAGAGGTGCGTGGAAAGAAAATGGAGTGGAAAATCGAAGAGTAGTATTGTTAGCGTTGTAAGATGGGGGCTTTTTAAGGAAGCTCAGGGGGAATAGTGCAGTGAAGGAGGGGGGAGAAAAGGAATTGTACGAGTTAGATATAGGCATAGGAGTAGGAATAGGAATTGGAATTGGGTATTTTAGACGATTGGAATTCATATGAATGTGCAAGGAGAGGAATGGAGATAGACGCCAGGAAGGAAACTAAAAGAAAGAAGGAAGGGAGGGAGAGATTGTATATTATGAACGCGAACGAGCGAGCGAGCAAATGAATGAATAGCAATGAAAAACGAGGATTATAAATTTAGTATTGTTTTTTAACGTATAGTATTGCATTGCTTTTTCAACATGGCTAGCCTTTTCTCTCTACTTTGTTGAATGAAGTCTTTCTCGTAATCAGATGGCAGGGTAGGGTAGGGCAGGAACAGACAATGATCGAGGAGGAAAGCAAAGAGAACACATCGTACAACTCACATTCTATAGCACAACATGACACATCGAAGTTCGCAGTCATCCATGCATGCATTCATTCATTCATTCGTTCGTATTAAATAAATTAACTTTTCATTCCCGATGATTCTCTCTCATCTACCTAATAACTGGCAGATGGCCCACTCATCCACCATGTCATATATCAATGCATATCCAACGCATATTCACCAATGACTGCCATTCATTAGCTTCAACACGAGAAACATGCTCAGTAAATGACAACAGCAAACGACCGATCCGACTACGAGATTTCATGCATGCATCAATCCATATCAAGCAATGGAGATGTAAAATGAAGTAATGAGATCAGCAAATCTGGAATCCTCTACAGAAATTGCCAACCATTTTCGAGACCTTTGTAGCTTCTTTCTTTTCAAGTTCCGCCATACCTGTAATTACCGCCACATCAATTGCCTAGAAGCCTACCATAGGTTCCATATTTAAATTCCCATTCACTCCTTCATCCACTTCCCGCAACGCCGACCTTGGTATCTTTTTGGTTCATGTCAACCCCTTCATCTTCACCCTGTTGAGAGTCGGCTTTGTTCAGAGGTGGTAAATTTGACTTGGTTGCCAATCAAATCATCAAATTGCCATTTTCCTCAGAATTACCTATTCTTCCATGTAAATAACAACGCCGTCGTGGATCCTCATAACTCAATAGCAGTCTTTTTAACAAAGGAAAATCGGTAAAGGAAATTGTATGCATTTGCAGAAAAAGACCGTGTATGTGATATCCATTTCAAAATATGTGAAGTTAAAATTTGAGTAACTTTTTATCGTAAAACCGGCTGAGAAAGTGAGCCAACGATGCTCTGAGCATTGTAAACACCGAGCGGCCAATCAATGAAGATCAGGTTCAACTTAAAAAAGTTTCTCTTCATGCCGGAAGCATTTCTCAGGAGATTAACCAGATCAAAAAGAGGAATGCTTGCTGTAATTTGAAGTTGAGCGTCTACTATAGTAGATCTGGCCAACTTCAGTAGCACCAATAATGGTTGGGGTACCCCGTGTTGACGCCTTCTGCTTTGCAAGCAATTGGGTTTCAACATCTGTAATATCAAGATTAAAGAGAATAACTGTCATTGAAATAGCTGCACGGTCTAATGCGTGTGTATCCACCCCAGTTGGCTGAAGATTGTTATGAGACGACGCATTCGCCTTCCTGAACATGGCGTACACAATACCATGATCACGAGATCTGGTCTGTTGTACGGGACAGAGTGGCATTAAAATACCGAACTTTAACTGAGCTCCCTCTTCTTGAGTTCGTGGTGCCTCTTCTTGAGTCCAGGTGTAGCGTAACTCATTAGTGCGCAAGCCTTTCAAGAAAGCTGTTTTCAAAGTCAAACTGTTGTTAAGCTCAGACTCATAGCCGTAAGGTAGACCATAAGATGCTAAGATTTTCAGTTTGAGACCGTCCGGTCCCAAAAGATCTCTATCCGACATACCAGGGTACGGACAATCTACTTGAACAGCATATACTTGATCAAAACCAAATTTTGTGCCACTGAAGGTGCATGAGAAAACTGCTTCTGACATATTTGACAAAGGAGCGTTGGGAGGAGTAACTTCATCACCTTGATTAGGTCCACCAATCCTGCTGGAAAGAGTGGTTCCAATTGAGGTTGAGCTCATTGATGAAAATGGTCTGGAGAGCAAGGTGCTTGGCGTTGCAGGCTCTGGTTCTGATAGCTCTTGTTGATACGTGCTTCCTACCATGCTATCATTTTCCATATACAAACGACCAAAGCTATTATTCAAAGATATTCCACTGGTTGATGGACCAAGGTTACGATAGATTGTATTTGAGAAGACAAACTTCGGTTGCTTGGGAGTCGCTGGACCATCAAGGTCAAATTGGTGGCTGTAACTGTCTTCAGAATGGAAAGTGTCATTCAAAGTGTCATTCAAAGTGTCATTAAAAGTGTCATTCGGAGTGTTGTTTCGCGGCAAATCCATTGATGTCAGGTCGCTTGTCGAATAAGGACGGCTATTAGGGTCCTCCGAACCTGGGAAATTCTGAGGTCGGGGAGGGGTCAGATACTGGCGGAAAGCCTCTGGCGAATTTTGGGTAGGAAATGCGGACTCCGCAGAAATGCTTCGGTAATGTCCGGGAGCGGCCATATAAAGTATTTCAGAATCACGAATCGAAGATTCAGGAGACACGTTCCCAGAAACATCCTCTCCCTCTCTTAAGGAATCTGTTTGCTTCGCCAAAGGATTAGGTTGTTGAAATTGAAGTCCCATGGGGAAGTAAGCAGGCTGAGTGACCAGGGGAGATATTTGCCTCTGAAGCTGAAGTGGATTTGGAAGCAAATTGATTTTTGTATCCCTCCTTGATGATGCAACAGGAGAACGACGCAAATCTGGGTCGGCCATACGCTCACTATGTAAACAAATATCCTTGACAGAAAGAGCTGCAAATTCAGCTAGCTCTTTTCGGTCTCCTCGAGCGAACTCATTTCTAGGGGTTTTGCTAAAAATTGAAAAGACTCCAATAATTTCACCAGAATCTGAGATCAGAGGTGCTCCAGCAAAGAATCGGATGTGAGGTGGACCAGTAACCCATGGACTTCTCGCAAAACGCCAATCCTAAACCATCATTAGCATTAAGGTTGATATGTAACAGGAAGCAGAGTAACAAACCTGATGTGTGTCCAAGATGATGAAGACGTCCTCTGAATAGAGAGCATGGGCTGAAATGCTTGTGGTGCGCTCCAACGTCATGAGATTGTACCCAACTTCAACTTTCAAAATCTCATGACGTTCATCAAAAATACTGACTGAAGCACTATTGAGGCGAAATCGTTTTGCTGCTGCTTCCATCAAAGCAATGGTCTTTCCACCTAATTCCGGAGTCCAGGGCACATTTATGGTATAGTGCTTTGCGATTCTCGTTTCTTCGTCATGTGGATATATGGCTGGCAGAAAATCAAACCTTGCGTTACGTGGAGGTGGAGCTGGGGGCTTTGAGATATTGAAAGAACCCTACAAATAGATTAACTCGATCCAAATAGGATGCGGAGGGGCCCTCAATGATTCGAAAATCGGATAAGTAAAAGTGATTACTTACGCTGGAGTATGACTTGATGTAGTTGATCCATTCAGCAACAGTAGCATCATCACCTGTTGGTGCTGATGCTATGGCAACACATTCATATTGCTCTTCAATGTTCTTCATCACATTGAAGTCGCGAGAAGTTTCATCATAGAACGATGATGAATCAGCTATTGCTGACTCTTCCTCATCACCAGCATTAGTAGTTTGCCAATCAGACTCTGATACCTCAGAAATTGACTCAGTCAATCTGGCCGCAGCCCTGGCTCTGGCTCTTCCAATTTGTGTATTTGCAAGTGGGCTCGATGGCACTTTATAAAGTGCGTTTGGCTCTCTTCGGGGAATGAGTCTTTGGCCTGGTAGAGGACGAATGAAATCTGGTGTTGGCAAGACACCCATTTCATCAATTGGATCGATTGGCTCATGGTCTACCGGTGGTGGGGAACGATCTTCACTGCGACTATATAAGGTCTTTCTTCGACTGAGAAGATCCTCAATACTTCTTGCACCATCAGATCTTGAGTCTTTCTTAAAAAGTCGAAAGAAACCACCAGATTTCTTTGTACTGGTGGAATTATCGCTGACGCCAGTGTGAAAGTTACTACTGTCAAATGATCCTGTTGTTTGCAGTGATGGGGTTGATGGTAGTGGAGTTTGAGAAGATTGGTGAACTTGTGCATTGGCATATCCACTGAAGACACTTGATGATGAGCCAGGTGTCGATGGGGTAGGTATAGAATTTTGTGTTGAAGCTCCTGGTATTGTCGCACCTCTTGCATGAGACTTCGGCTTCCTTGGTTTTGGTGCTGCTTGGTCTGTTTGAGTTAAAATTCGAACATTTGGAGGGAATATTTTCGGAGAACAGTGAGAGGATGAGAAAGTGTGGAAGCCAAGTGATTTTGATAAGAGAAAATTGACAGTTTTATGGTGGGGTTGTGTTCGAGTATGGAATTTGCGAGTATTGCGGTGCTCGGGGAATAATGGTGATCAGAATTGTGAAAAGAGAAGCAATTTATGACTGGGCACTAAGCAGAGCCGTATTTCAAGTGACTATAGGTGCCAAAAGCATAATATAATGACAAAATAAACTTACATGTCATCGGTCCAACTCCTAACATCTTGGTAGAATTTTAAATGAACTTTTTCTGTGAGTGGTGAATCTGCAGAGTGTTAGCTATCTTGTCAAGTGATAACAGATACGCTGCAGATACCAGGTGGTAAGAGCATGCTTCATTTGGTATGTAAACTTACCGTGGCTCTGGGTCTTATTGTTTCTGTAGGAATTTGTAGGAAATTGTTGGGGACTTGATTGTGTCAAAGGTGGTAGATTGTAGTAGATCTACCAAAGTAAACCACAGAGATTAGTGTCAAGAATACTTCTCATTCATGCTTGTTATCTTCTGGAAGGATTACCGCAGTTATAATGAAATAATGTAACTCACAGTTTCAACTTCTGAGAATAAGGCGCAACTTGAGGGATTCTCGAACAGCTTTGACTTGACAACTTCAAGAGAAATTGTACAAAATTATGGTGTAATATTGTAATGCATGAACTTATAGAATCATCCCGTGCTATGACTGGGGATCTGATAAAATTAACAATTGATTCTCATAAGCTGTAAAATAGTTGTGTGTTGAGGAGAGGAAGATCGAAGTTTGAAATTGAGGAATTCAAATTGTTGGAGAAGAGGAGTTCGACGCTAAGGTGGATAGTGGGGAGAGAAGGTGAATCTCGGAATGTTCCTATTGGAATATTGGATGGATGGCTTACCTTTTTCTTGAACTCTCTATCTATTGAGATCTGTTCCTCAGCAGTGAATTACTCTTGCTTTGAGCTGACTAAAAGAGGATGTAGATTAGGTTTGGTGATCAAGTCAAGAAACAATAGTCTGAAATTATGTTAGCAATAAGTTTGGACGTGTTGTAATAGAATATATCCCCCAAAGACAGAAGAAAGGATGAATGAAATGTTTATTTGGCTATTCTTTGAGAAACTCATAGAAGAGATATATAATCAAGGCGGCAGGATATTCAAACTCATCTGTATGATGAAGAGAGAGGATGAACACTTCAAGAAATACTTACTTTGAGTGGATGCAGCTTCTCAAAGGATACTTTATCAACAATCTTTCATACCATAGTTCCCTTGGAAAGTATTTTGTGAAGTCTTCAAGTGGGAGCAAACAATAAGCAGCGTTGCTATAGTGGTGTTCTCGTCTGAAGAGTAGGAGAACAACTCGGCTCGGAGAATCTTCAAGGCCGAGCTTGTTGATGATTTTGTTAATGAATGATTCAATCTTCACTTTAAAGCACCCAACTGATTCTGTTGATTGTGTTGAATTTCAAAATTCGTGGTGATTTACAACCTTTCCCAATCACCCTGAGAGAAAGAGAGCAAAGACTTCTTCTAGATACGCCAAATTTCTCGGACCACAAGTCAAGTCAATTGAACCATTTGACACAATGGCTTGTAAGGAATGAAGATTTATATCTCCTCAATATCGGTTTAGGAAATGGGGAAAGGCTCCAATAACTCTGATAAGGCTCCGAGCAAGAATCGTGATGCTTCAAGTACCTAGACAAGAGATCAATTTCCAGTACGAATGTCGATCAGACCCTACTCCAATATTGCTGAGTTCAATGCATGGAAAATGCAAGTCCCTAATCCTTATCTTAAAATAAGCAAAATGGAACAGTATAATGCTTTTTTGGAAGTTCAAAGAGTCAGATCTCATGTAACGCCGTTTGGTTCCTAACTCGAGAATCTGACTGCAGTGCTACTTGGGTTCTTGAAGAGTTTGCCGACTGCTATTTATTGCTGCATCATGTGTTTAGTACCAGCAGTGTAATGTGGGAAGAACTCTGAGGGGTGATTCTGAGTAACGTGGGGTTATGGAAATGTTATGCATACAAGATGGTACAAGTACTCGCGAGTGGGTTTGAAGGGTATTTTATGAAACGATGAATATGAAGTCGAATTGAACGTTGAAGTCTCGCAGTATTAATGTATCGAGTGCAGAGATGATGTTCTTCTTGATGGGATTCAATGCAAATAGAGAGGCTTTGGATATTGAAACGAATGTGTGAAAGTAGAAAAGTCTAGAATTTCGACGGTTTGAGAAGTTGACGAAAAGTTGATGAAGGGGAAATGGAAGAAGCAAACGAGCACAAGAGCGATATGCATATGATGGATGATTAAGAACTTTCGAGCAAGTAAGACTTCTTTCTTTCTGCATGCATTTCATGAATAACGCCGAGAATACCAGGTTGTATGAATGTCAAGACTTGGTTTTTGTTTACTTTGCGATTCTTGTGGTCGATAAAAGGAAGGATCCCATATCATCGTGACTGCTTCATTTGGGAGTCTAGAGGGCAATATATCATGAGCATCAGCATCAGCGTCAGCGTCAGCATCAGATTAGAATCGGCATAAAACCTTAAAATTTCATGGTACTCCGATCAACTATTGTTTCTTCCCCATTTCCCTGATTCAAGCTTTTTCTGTCAATACGATTGAAAGTATTATTAGTCCTATAGGTATATAAGGAAGAGATAACTTCGTTGAGAGGGATGTTTGCCGGTCATTGATCACATAGTGAGACTGGAGTTGAGTGCATCCTCTTTTTGTATCCCTTGCCTCGCGGATCATTCTCCACCAACCCCATACCGGATACCGTCCATATCTCTACACAAATTGTAGCTCGGACGACCTACTATTGATTTGGGTAAAGATGTCTCACGATACCTGGTCCGCTTGACTTGGGTATAAGCTTTCCTCTACCTACCTAGGTAGGTAGCTAGGTAGGTAGCTAGGTAGGTAGGTAATTGCTGATAAGAGCGGAGAGAAGGGCAGAAGATTAGATTTGGTGACAGGTTTTCCAATGGATGTTTAACACCTCCCTAGGTAGATAGGTAGGTCGTTCTAATTACCGTGCGAGCGTGCTTAATTAGACAATTAGTTAAGTTAACTAATTAGTTGGTTCTAATTATAATTTTTAATAGTCGAAAACCAATGAAATCCATTTATTAATGGAGACTTTCCATAAAATTATTATTTAATCCAATCATGACATTCGATTATATTGACAGCTGAAAGGGACAAACAATGATCCATGAAGGGGTGAAAGGTGGTACAAAATGATGTCTTGGCGTGCTTGGATCTGCAGCTTCCATTTTACGATAATGTGCCTCTTGAAATAACCTCAACGTCCAGCTTCCACCGCTCCTTCTGTACAACGTCTCTTAGGAATGCTCTCATCCATATGCCATCCGTTGGATTGGATTTAATCGTTCGTTCGTGCTTTCTTGCCATGTCAGCTCTCTATTGATTTGTGTGTGCATTTTTCTGTCCGTTCAATCAGCCTAGGGTTATGAATCGTTTTCAATATGTATCCATGTCTCATGGCAGTTTGACATCTCACATTTTGACTATCATCAAGATTACGAAGTATTTCAATATGTGGGTTTTTGGCGGCTTCAATATCTGGCTCGTACATTCTTTCTGAATTGATAAATCCATCCTTACCCCTCTCATTAGCAGCAGTCATGTCGCCTTGCGCCGGATACTGTACAATATCACTTGGTGCATAATCTGCATTTTGGTCTCGAGTATTCCATGGAACGGAACGAACGTTGTGTTGTTCAAGATGAAAAATCTTCCGAGGAGAACTTTACTCAACGCTACTTCGGAGGTCACCGAATCAACAGCTTGCTTTAATCCAGAATTGTTTCAGTGCCATGTTTCTCTCAAAGTAGCCGTTTCATTCCTTGCTCCTCTCTCATTACTACTTTTCATTTTGTCAGCTGGCACAACAGCGAATCCTCCTCTTTGTGGACATGCTTATATGCTGTAGGAACTTAAGCAGAAGATCCACTACACGTCGAACGAACCCACCTTGTGTTTGTACTTCCACCATAGGGCTCACACAAATATCTGCCCTCTCAACATCTGTTTCTCAGCCCTCCGATCATCGCCCATCATTTGTACAACTCATCTTATCTGGACATACGATACTTCTCCATCTAGTCCATGCAGCCAGCCGTCTATCGGGCTCTTGAGCCAGAATGTCGGCACCTGCAATAACCCGGCATCTATCATGTGCCAAAGCAGCCTCATACTACTCCATGGACTGTGATTTCCACAGATAATTCTCACACAATGTTTCAGGTAGCTGTGGAAAGTTTCACACATCATAGGGCAGAGATGGTTCCATTAATTCCATGTCCAATCATGAACATCACTTAAGCAAGTGATGACGTATCATTACCACGCCAATTATCACCTACCTCAGTTTCTCTAAATTATGGATTCAGATCAACTACATCGATAAGGATACCAAGGCAGGTTGCCTTCATTTTCAATGGGACAGAACAAGAATTGGCTGAAGTCTGAATGGGAGTCTCTGCCAGATTAACTAAGCTGTATACAAAAACGCACACATAAGTTGTCTTTTTTGAGGCAAAGCATTGTTTGTTTGAATATTCGAGCTCATTTTCCCCCCAGGCTGTACTGCTGAAAGATCTTTTGACTGTGATTTCAAGAGACTCTATCAATGACTTGGCAAATCACGAGAGTATCAAACTTTCTCTCTAGTTGAGAGTTAACGGTGTGTTTCAATCTCTGCAGCAACCATTCAAGAAAAATCTATTCATACAAAATGACATTATGAACTCATTTACTCATGAAAATTAGATGATTACACACTGGCTTATTTATCCTTCCATTCTTTACTCGCTCTTCTATAACCTTATAACCCGAATCAAAAAGGTTTATATCAAGCAAGCCCCTTTTTCAAGCCCTTGCTCATCCCTTGGCTCATTCCACCAGATCCGATCAAACTGAAAAGCTAATTATCACAGTTCTTTCATTCTCAACATTTCTTATCATCAGCTCACCTTTTTTTCCCCCCCAAGGATTGATCAACAAGCAGAATCGACACTAAGTGGATCTTCTGACTATACTATACTAATGCACAAACTAGATACCAAGAGAGCGGGTGCCAAATTGTGTCCAAATTGTTTTCTTTTTCTACTTTGGAACCCAGATTACTTATCATTCAGGCTTGTGAGACATCACCGATAAATTTTGAGTGGATGTCATAAAAAAGAACGGAAACCAATGTTTATAATAATTGATAATATCCTTTGATGATGAATTAAATTGCCGAAAAAAATATGTTGCTTAAGCTATTACACATATTTTTGATATCATACCGAAAAATACAATCTGAATTTTTTACTGTCTAACAATTTTAACTTTCATGAAGCTATTCCGCCGCTGGAGCAGCAGTCTGTTCAGCGGAGCTTCCTCCCGTCGCTGAAGCACCCGGAGGTCCAGATGATGGAGCTACATTATCATACGAAATAGCCATATACTTCCCAGGATAGTATTTAGCCACCCACATTTCTGCAAGCATACTCCTTGAAATGTCTTTCAGTAGTAATTGATCGGGAAACCCGAAGTACCTTCTGCAGTTTTCTTGAGATGATCTTCACATGCAGTCATCATAGGGTTGATATCGATAATCTTATTTGAACCATCATCTATCTCCGACGGAGCCGAGAGGGAAGATTTAACGTCGCTGGCTTTCATGGACATTATTTGGGCACCCGTACATGCTGTTTCTGCTGCCTGCGAAACTGTGCCTTGATTGGCTTGAGTAGCATTTTGTAGGGCTGCTGTTCCGTTCAAGACTTGATTGAGGATCGAATTTGGCAAATTTTTCAACACCCAGTTTGACGCCGTTGGACACCTCGCCAGCGATGTCGACTCTTGACTATTCGTATCATTGGTAAAATACTGGACATCCAAGTTTATCGAATCGGAAGCCAGCGGCATGCTTTTAATTTGCGTTTTGACGTAATCTACTGGACTTTCCATATTTACATGCACGCTTCTGATTTTTGCGCGAAGCGGCTGGATCTTCTCTTCGGATTTTATCTTCTTCTCTGCGTATTCGGATGCGCCATTTTCGATGCGGGAGTCGAGTTTCTCGATTAAGTTGCTGACTTTGCTGGTGCCGATGCCGAGGTTTATTGGTCCTGTGCGGGTCATTTCGCGACCGCGTTTGGCCGTTAACAGGGTGTTCAGTTTTTCTTGGGAGCCATCGACGGGAGCTTGGAAGGCGGATATTTGGGATACAATTTGGATAGCTTCATTTTTGACTATGTTGGCCATTACTAGTGATGGATCATAGGGGATTGAGGAAGGCATTTTGGAGGATGATTCTCTGGATTGTTCTTTGGATTGACAGAGGGAGAAAAAATAGGAAAGCGAATTGCTTCGATGGTGTAGATATGGAGTCGTTAAGCTACGACGTTTTATTTATTCGTTCTCTATTTCGTTTTTCCATTTATATCAACATCAATACCCTTGCCCTTACAATCGTCAAGAATAAATCTACCACATTCCATCCTTCTACCTCACGCTTCTCTTTTACGCCATTTTTCCGCTTTACACAGTTCACAGTTCACAGTTCACAATTCCAATACTCCGTTTCGTCTCTCCCTCTCCCAATCCCCAATCCCCAATCCCATCCCAAACCCCGCAAACCAACACCCTCCCCCCTCTCCAAAAAAGCAAATCAATTTCCCTACCAGCCAAATATATACCCCAAAAAACCTTCTCTCAATATACTCTCACTTCCATCCACCACATAAATCCCAATCTCCCCTCCCCATTCCCTCCAATCCCCATTCAAATCCAAATTCCCATCATACAAGCCCCCGCCTTTTATGCTAAAATCCCGGGTGAATGATAAAATCCCCTTTTTCCCTTCCAATTCTCTCGACCTTCCTTTGACGGTCGGTTCATTGACCAACGCACCTAGTATCCAAAAACCAGATGATACCATGCCATCCCACCACAAACCCCATAAATCATTTTCCATAAATCATTTTCAATTTTCCATTTTCAATTCCCCAAAGCCAAAAAAATCCAACTGACCTTTCATTGCAAGGAGATAAGGAAACCGATCCTACGGTCCTAAATCCCGAGATGTGATGAATACCACCACACGACATGACACGACACGACATATCACACCCATCACACAATATGCACCCCGGAGAATTTTGCCTCCAGATACTAGGTAGGCTCCTACGGTGATGTGACATGCGTTATCGTTTCTAAATATGATATTGTGATCTGGGGTGCATAGGCTAAATAGAATCTGGATGGGGTAGAATGTCATTCTTGCGTTGCATGGGGTATCTAGTGATGGATGGGTGTTTAGTAGCGGGGGTGTGATTTTGCAACGGGTATGTATGTATTTATAATTGGGAGAGAGATGGAGATTTCAATCTGGATTTAGATTGTGGATTGGAATGCTATGTACAATAGAGTAGGTAGAATAAAAGCGGAAATGTAAACTATGAACTTCGTATCTGCCCACTAATTCTCCTGGTCTTCCTCGTGCATCCCTTCATCTATTTCCAGGGATTTATAGACACTATGTAATTTGTTAGTCAGGTAACCTCATCGCATACAAAGCAGAAAGTAAAATCACAACACAAACTTACCTGCCAATAATATGAATTCCCCACCGCACACTTGTAAGGCGCGGCACACGAACCACCCGTCGAATAATTGAAACTCAGACCTCCGCATTGTGCGTACCGCGGAAGCGCTTTGAGAGCCGGAAACGCGAGGATTTTCTGGCTTGCGTGTTCGGCTGCGATGACAATGAGGGAGGATGGATTCGTGGAGGGCATGCCGGGGAAAATTGATGCATCTGTATTTGTTAGTTGTCGTTTAATCCTGAGGAGAATTGGGGATTTGCTCTGTAGAAAAGAGGAAAGAGACAGAGAGAAATAGAATACATACCAACCACATGAATATTATCAGTGCCATAAACAAGCGCGTTGAGATCAACCACAGAAGTACCTCCTGCCAATCCAGAATCCGTTCCCATCTTCGCAGTTCCTAGCCAATGGTTTGCTCTCCTCGCCCCGATATTCGCATATGTAAGCGGTATACTTGCCACGTACTGTGCGCCCGTCATCCCCGGTTTTGGATAGATAAATGTGAGATTCTTGACTGTTGAAAGTGCTGCTACCATATGATCAATAGCTGTCGCCACTGCTGCGAGATCATATGTATTTCCCCAAGGCATGGCGGAAACGGACATTGTGAGGCCCTTGCTGATTGTTGTACGTCCTCGTGGGCCGACTTGGCCACGGCCAAGATAAGAGGAGAGAGTCATAGCGGTGGGAACATCGCCTTCGACGCGGGCAGTCCACTGGATTGCGCGAGGAATCTCGTCGCCGGGAGTTACTTGGTCCCAGAATATAGGGCCGATGTCGGGAGCTGCTTGGGTGAGAGGACCGGTGCGTTTGGTAAGGTAGGAGGTAGCGTCTGCACTTATGGGTGTATTCCATGCTGCAACCCAATCATAATACGAAATATTCGGATGTGAGATTTGTGTATCGGTATTGAGATGATCGTCGAGGTTATAGCCGACTGGCAGGTTGTACCAGTAGCTGGAGTTAATCATTGTTGGCCCGTCGGTGGAGGTAAGGACTACATTTAGCTGATCTGTGGGACCTATTCCACTTCTGAAAAGGAGCTTGGGAGTTCCAAAAGCACCGGCTGATATTATGACTCGACCTGTGACTGGAGTCAGGCTGACTACTCCTTGTCTGCCTCCATTATTTGTGGCCTCCACTTCTATACCAGTTGCATGTCCTCCATCACGAACAATTCTCTTTACACTAGTATTCAGCCACATATGAAAGTTTGAGCGTTTGTTTGCATCCACTAGATAGGTTGCTAGTGGACCACCGCGCTCTCCATTGATATACATGTATGGTGCATATGCATATGTTCGGTTCTTCTGGGCTGGTACACTGTTCGCGGTAACATTCGTCCAGCCAGCATTCTTGAGACCACCTGCGACAACATTATATCCTGATTGAACGTATAATTTACCATCCATTGAAGGATGATCCGTGCCGGGAATCGTGCTGAAGACTCTCGAGGTGGCGGCTGCTACATCTTTTGATTGCCATCCAGGGGGGAAGTTGTAATCCCAATCTGATGGGTCTGGATTCCACCATAATCCTGCATTGACGGCAGTACCTCCACCTAAAACACATCCAGCCATTTGATCGATATCATCACAGGCGACGCCAACACTTCCGCCGTGCCAGATCCTATTGCATTCTCCCGGAACATCAAACCACGTAAGATTACTTCCAGAAAGCCAACCACTTTCCGGTCGAATCGCTAAACATTGTTAGCGTATATAATATCGAGATTATTCTAGTACTTACTCCCACCCCACCTGGCTGAAGAAGCGACCCCCTTTTCGATCAAGAGTACGGACTTTCCACTCTGCGCAAGTTTATCTGCCATCGGTACACCTCCAGCCTAGAGGAAATAATTTCAGTATGCAGTTTTCAAATGTTGGCACAAGAAAATGATGACTTGAGGATAGTCCAAGAACCCATAAGAAAATGGGGCCTTATGACTTCTCTCTTCAATGACAAAAACGTAATGGAAAAAGAAACTATACGTACTCCTCCGCCAACGACAATATAATCATAGGATGTGGAAGTCGGTATTGGTGATGTAGAGTAAGTGACAGTCGCAGTGGCTGTACCGGTGGTTGCTGTGATGGTGGCGGTCATCGAAGCCCAGTTTGAATAGGATGCCTGGGTTGCAGAAGCCACCTTGATGGAAAACTCGCCCATGCCATTATTGTGCTCTGCAGCTATCAGTAAGTATATAGAAAAAGAGCTTTCAAATTAAACTGTATTGTGTGCGCCGCACAATGCACGCAACTATTGTTAACAAACCAAAAGATGTCAAATTAAACAAAATTCTTACGATATAGAACCGCATTAGCAGGATCGGAAGGATTATCTGGAGCGCCAATGTTCTGAGCCCACCCGTACTCGAAGCCACCTGCCGATGTGCTAACATTGTATGCTGTTTGAGTTGGATCATCGAACTTGAAGCAATTTGTACATTTGTAAACGAGAACCCAGTGTGTGGAATTTATCGAGGTGTAAAGCTGCGTTACGCTTGCAGACCCGCCATATAGCACTGGTGTGGCATAGGAACTATTTAAGATTTATTAGCTTATCACATGCGATGGATGTGGATATAAAAGTACAGAAAAGAACTTACCCATAACGGAACGAAGTAATTATTTTTCCATTATAAGGCCAGGCAATCAACAGCAAATGTCCGGGCATTGCAGCACTAAGTTGTTGACCATGAACAACACCACTCCATCCTGTACCATTTGGAAGTGATCCAATCTTGTTTCAATTAGCTGTTGGACCATTGTAGCAATGTATAGAACTTACAATCAAGCCAATGTAATCATAGGAGTCTGTAGTCAGTGCACTGGGTGGCAATGCCATTCCAAAGGTGTAACCCCCTTGTGAAACCAAAGAGAACTCTCCATCACCCACGATCGTGCCATTAGCTTCGCTACTTGTATAGAATGTAATGCCAGTATTTGGCTCGGTATAATAGCCATGCGCTGCGAAATCTTGACTTGATACCTCACGAACAGCTAGAAATTGTTAGAATGTGTGTGCGAGTATTATAGTTTTGGGTATAACAACCATAAGAAGCAATGGCAATAATGCCGTAGAGTAGACCCGAGAGCCGCATATTGGTACCTTTTCACAAAACTTTCCTGGAAATGTACACAGGGAGAGATCTCAGAGAAAGTATTTTAACACGAGCAGACGATCCTGCCTATATACGGATCCAAGAAGAGCATTGCCTTCAAAAATGTCGTGATAAGTGATGGATGAATTGAACCAAATTCAGCGGGAAATAGAGAAGTATGCATTTTTGGGAGACAAAAGGAAGGAGCCAAGATTTCTCCAGTTTTTGAAGGATAGGCAGGCTATTATCCGTTTGGTCGTTTGAGCAATATTTCTTACTCTTGTAGATTATACGGATGGTCTTCCCGGAGAACGTGATACATGAAGGATGGAATTTCATTAAATCCCAATATATTTTGATATAAGTCGGCAGCGTACAGACTTCTGCCGGTATTCATCCTGTTCATCACATACTTTTGAAATGACCACGAGGTACTCTGCCGGCAAAAACTGTGGGGAAGGAGGCTTGACATCTTATAACTTGTGATATTTACAAGGAAATTCAACCTCATTGCCACAAGTGAAAAGAAGGATTGCAGTAGACTGACGTGCCAAGAAAATATCAAATTAACCGTTTGGTGCGCTGCATGTTGCCGAATGCTGGGGCATGAAACAACCATAACATATTTTGTACCACTCAGATCATACCAAGTAAATGGTTTCCGGGAGCACACATATACTGTATATGATATACAATTGGTAACGTGCAGGTTTACCGTCTAGATGAGACTTCAAATGAGCATCCATGTGAATGAAGGCACTATGCAGATCATATATATATATGTGAAGTATTGCTCTCCGAGAGCTTGTCCCATGAATGGAAATGAATCAAACGATTGGAATGACGCCCCGCTAGCCCTCCGGCAGCCACTGCCGTGGAGGCAGAACAATGGGGAAGTATTTGGAGAAATATTGCATCGTTTTGTTACCTACCGTATTATGCTATAATCAGTATTGTAGTATTGTATGAGAAACAATAGCAGAATTCCTCTGGGAAAAGCGGCAAAGACTAATTCCGGCATTTGATAAAACCACTTGGTATCCTCCTTGTCGAATAGGTCCATTCTGAAGGCGACTACAGCTCGATGCTTCAGATCCAGATGCTGGCCATCATGGTATCGATCTTCGGAAGCTTACAAATACAAATATCAAGATAAAGTATGATGTTTGTGGCATAACAAGAGGCGAAACTGTCTTGTTGATGTTACTCGAGTATACCTTGGGGAAGTTCTCCACTTCAGGTGAGGGTCTTGCCGGTTTTTCCTTTCCCCATTCCCGAATACGAAATTTACTTATCGATGCAAAGGCCAAAACCATATCGATCTTCTGTGTAGAAATTGATGACAATTCACCATTCAATATTTCTGGTTAAAAATTGGATGAGACGATTCGTTTCCTCTTGGTATACAAGTGGGGGTGATCTTGAAGATATTGGGCTCCTGACAGAATTATAATAACTGATTTAACCCAAGGTCTTCTTCATAATATCGCAGTTGTGGTAATTCTGGTGTACGTTTTTTTCCGGCTTTCGGCTACTTGTGGTCGGAACGTTCAATGAGAATAATTGGAAATGGATTTCTTTGATTGGTTCGATTGATTAAAATTCCTGACTAAGTGAGCATCGAGCCATCATCGTTATGGGTTCATCGTTTAATCCCGAATTTGAAGATTTGGAAACGCCCTTGGACTAACCTGAGTTGCCTCCATTGCCGTTCTCTTAAAAGGTCCATAATAGAGAAAGAGAAAGATATTAATTCTGGTGTTGCACACTCTTCTCCCCTCTTCTTTCTATCATAATAATTCTACACAATGTCTTCATTTGCTATGCGTAGATTCACATCTGGTCCTTCGGTATGTTCCATTCTCTAACCTCGGGCCCCGCGTTCGTGGTAAGAACAGAAGAAGAAAAGAAGAATAACAATGCTAATCGGTTGGCCATGATTGTAGTTCTCGAGGGCATTGAAGAATCAAACTAGATCTTTCTCATCGACGAGACCTGCAGGTAGATCTGCCCACAACTTTCAACATCCAGACCATTGGCTAATATTTAATCTGCAGCTCGAATCATTACACATGCGCCACTAAGAGCAAAGGAAGCTTCGCCTTTCGTGAGCAATAAATACCCGGTCGTTGTACGTATCTCGAATTCTTAGTGAAGGGCTGTGTCTGATTATATGGGCTAGGATCACGAATATGATGCTATTGTCATCGGTGCTGGAGGAGCAGGTTTGAGAGCAGCATTCGGTCTCGCCGAGGCTGGTTTCAACACTGCATGCATATCAAAGCTTTTCCCAACTCGATCACATACCGTAGCCGCGCAAGGAGGTATCAATGCTGCTCTGGGTAACATGCACGAGGACGACTGGAGATGGCACATGTACGATACCGTCAAGGGTTCAGATTGGTTGGGAGATCAAGATGCTATTCATTACATGACAAGAGAAGCGCCTGCATCTGTCATTGAGTTGGAGAACTACGGTTGCCCATTCTCAAGAACTGATGACGGCAAGATGTAAGAATGATTCTGGTAGCTCATTTGTGGTACTTTACTAACAATGTCTATCTAGTTATCAACGTGCTTTCGGTGGTCAATCACAAAAATTCGGAAAGGGTGGACAAGCATACAGATGTTGTGCAGCTGCTGACAGAACTGGACATGCACTTCTCCACACTCTCTACGGTCAATCCTTAAGACATAACACCAACTACTTCATCGAATACTTCGCCCTCGACTTGATCATGGAGGATGGAGAATGTAAGGGTGTTATTGCATACAACCAAGAAGATGGTACCCTCCACAGATTCCGCGCACACAACACTGTCTTGGCCACTGGTGGTTACGGACGTGCCTACTTCAGTTGTACATCCGCACACACTTGTACTGGTGATGGAATGGCTATGGTTGCTCGTGCCGGATTACCTAACCAGGATCTTGAATTCGTTCAATTCCATCCTACTGGTATTTATGGCGCTGGTTGCTTGATTACTGAGGGTGCTCGTGGTGAGGGTGGATATCTCCTTAACTCTCAGGGTGAAAGATTTATGGAACGTTACGCACCAACCGCCAAGGATTTGGCTTCCCGTGATGTTGTTTCTAGATCAATGACCATGGAAATCAGAGAGGGACGTGGTGTTGGCCCAGAAAAAGATCACATCTATCTCCAACTCAGTCATCTTCCACCTGATGTTCTCCACGAACGTCTCCCAGGTATCTCTGAGACCGCATCCATTTTCTCTGGTGTCGATGTTACAAAGCAACCTATCCCAGTTCTTCCAACAGTCCATTACAACATGGGTGGTATTCCAACCAAGTACACCGGTGAGGTTCTCACTGTTGATGCTGAGGGCAAGGACAAGGTCGTACCAGGTCTTTTCGCATGTGGTGAAGCTGCTTGTGTTTCCGTACACGGTGCCAACCGTCTCGGAGCCAACTCACTTCTTGATTTGATCGTTTTCGGTCGTGCTGTATCCCACACTATTCGCGACAACTTCGAACCAGGAATGCCACACAAGGAGATCAGCGCCGATGCTGGTGCCGAATCTATCAGCGTTCTTGACCAAATTAGAACTGCTGATGGTACCAAGAGCACACACGAAGTCCGTCTCGCCATGCAAAAGACTATGCAGACAGATGTCAGTGTGTTCAGAACTCAAGAGAGTTTGGATGAGGGTGTCACGAAGATCAATGCTGTTGATCAAACATTCAAGGATATCAAGACCCAAGATAGAAGTATGATCTGGAACTCGGATTTGGTTGAGACTTTGGAATTGAGAAACTTGTTGACTTGCGCGTAAGTTTTCCCTGAGTGTATTCTTGAACACCGGATTATATACTAACTTCATATAGTGTTCAAACCGCCGAGGCAGCTGCCGCCAGAAAGGAATCTCGTGGAGCACATGCTCGCGAAGATTACCCAGAGAGAGATGATAAGGAATGGATGAAGCATTCTTTGACCTTCCAAAAGAAGCCACAAGGAAAGACCGATTTGACCTACAGAGCTGTTGTAGGCCACACCTTGGATGAGAATGAGTGCAAGGCTGTCCCACCTTTCAAGCGTGTATACTAAATGTTCAAATTTTGCACATGGAGTAATGGCTTAAGGTCTGGCTAGGGGTTAAAGGGGTGCTTATTCGACAAGCGACCGAGAAAAGAAAAGGAAAAGGTCGGGAGAGCAGAAGAAGATGATTAAAGATGGAAATGGATATGACTCCAAGATCAGGAATGATCTATGAATCTTTGAGCTGGACATGAAAGGGGCGTGGATTGTAGCATAGCCGGTTGGGAATTGGAGTGGATTAGTATGATATCTGTTGTTGCGTGCGGTCTTTTGGCGTGCCAAGTTGTAGTACCCGTATATTAGGTGTTGTCGTGGTTGTTGAATAGAAATATCTTTATTTGCATTTCGCTATGGCTACTGGTCAATGTGCTTAACTGTTTGATGTTCTAAATCACAATCCCATTTGTTCATCGGTAGTTTAAGGGGTCGAGTGATAGATTCTTTTGACATTTGTGTGTGACTTCCTCTCCAATTTACAGGTCCTTTGTTGTAACAAAAGCCAAGAGTCAAGAGCACAGTCACATGTTAGATGGCGGATGATCGAACGAGGTACCTAGTTTCAACCGAGGAGATGGATGTGGTGGGGGAGCCATTCTGGAATGCGGGATTGTTCGGTAATGAATAAGGCTAGAGGGAAGAGAATCAATGGGGGATGATGTGCGGAGGGGGGAGCTAAATATCTAGTTAGCTAAACTTACCTTGATGATTTATTAATGCCGAAATCAATTAATCGTCGAGAGTATTAATGACGGCTACGATATTTATGTCAGGTATACGATCTTGTATCTTGTTATTTCGATTGATTAATTGATTGATTGTGTGGTATTGATTATTTGAAGAAGCTTGGAAGCACTTTTGTGTGTGGCTTAATTTATCTGGTTATATCGGATGATATAAGATTATAAGAGTATTCCATCTCATCGCATCATATCATTTTATCCAAACACATCGATAATTAGATATCACACCCTTATCATCTCAATACCGAAACACATCAATCACATCATGGCCTCGAGCAATGCAAGTGGGAAAGGAAAAGGAAAAACTCTCGATCCATCTTCCGCTTCTGCTCCTACTTCCCCTACAGCTGTACCTCCAGCGCGAACAACTTCAAATGACAAACCAAGCCGACAAGACGAACAGCCTACTCCTTCTCTTCTCAACCGTATTGGTGCTTCGGCAGCAGGATTGGGTCGGGATGTTTTTGCGGGAGGAGCTGGTGTTGGTGGAGAGTCATTGAGGAGAGATGCGCAGGGGTTACTTATCGCGGCTGGGAATGGGAAGGGGGGAAGTACGAGTGCGATTGCGGGTGGAAATGGAAATAGAAATGTAAATGGGGATGTAGGATATACGCAGGTGCACAGTGGAAATCCTAGGTTAATGGATGGTACTTCTTCAATTTCTGGGGTTGGTGGGGATACTCTTGGGATGAGGAGTGCGGGGAATATGGGGACTAGTAGGAGTGGTATTCCAGGAGCTGGAGGGAGTGCAGAGGTGAAGGGGAAGGCAGTAGGAGGGGATGAGAGAGCGAGATGGATACAGCAGAATGAGCATGCATTTTCCGGGTTTTTGGATAGTGTTCCTTCTCTTACTCCTGCGGGCGATTCGGGGCTTGGGGGTGATGATTCAGAATCTTCCAATGGGATGCATGAGAGCATTCCGCAAGTCGCGCTGGGCGATATATTTCAGTATGGCGCTCCTTCGAATATAGTGGGGAAACAAGCTCTCGAAAATTCATGGGCTCGATCTGCACAGCGAGCCAATAATCAGCGTGAGGGTTATTCTGAGCCTCGCGCTGTAAATACACGAGAACCAACGATGTACCATTTCGAGCCATTGCCAGCCTTTCATCCGGATAAAATGACAACGGCGGAATATCGTCGAGAAGGTGTGAATACGATTTCTCATAGAGATGCCGGGGACATGAATATCAATCACCACAATATATCCGTGCAAGAACAGGAAAGTAGAGATGGAGATGAAGTACGCGATTTGTTATCGAGAATCGGAGGGGTTTCTTTTGATGAGGAGATTTCTGGGATGGATCAGGGAATGAGCGAGGCGGGGATAGAGAGAGATGAAATTAAAGCTTATGAGGAGGAATGGATGGGGATGAGTTCTGTGGAACGGGAGAGGATTATACAGGCTACGAGGGATTTATTTCCGGAGGAGGTGAAGAATGGAGAGGGGGTGGTACATGGAGGGATTGATGTGGAAAATTCGCTTAATTTGTTTCCGAATCATGAGAGGGGGGCGGAGGAGAGGTGGAGAGGTGAGAGGGAGAGGGAAATGCAAAGAGAAGATGGAGAAGAAGATGATGATGATGATGAGTTCGAAGGCGAAGTATTGAATTTCCAGGGAATAGAGTGGAGAGCGAGGAAAGAAAAGAAAAATGGAGAGACGAATAAAGGGATAAAAGGAAAGGCGAAAAAAGAGTGGAAAAGTGATTGGGAGGGTGTACTTCAAGGGTATGCAGATGAAGTGTGGGGGGGGTTAATGCCGCTAGTTCGAGAAGCGCGAGAGGAATTGAAAGTCGAAGAGCAGAAGGGTGATGGGGGACAGGGGAAAGAGATGGGAAATTTGAAAGCGCTGAGGAGATTGGGTGCTGTGTTGGGACATTTGAGGGGGTTGAATGGGAGTGGGAAATAAGGATGGGAGTGTTAATATGGTTTCATAGAATTCTTGATGGGTAACTTCGGAATGACATTTCATAATTGGAGTTTATCTATTTGTTATATAGAGTTCTGATAACTTCCGGAAGGAAATCCGAGGATCAATCAACTCTCTTATGAGATTCAGAAAATCTATATGATCAAAATCTAACCCATCATCACAAGTCTCAAAATGTCACCTATACGATTACTCCAAAACGACAGTTATCCGCATACATTATTTCTAAGCCTGCCTAGATATTAGGATACCATAAGATAGGACTAATCGATAATCTTCACTCTCATACCCGGTCTAGATGTTTATGTACATGATTCTAGAAGATGTCAAATACATACATACACATATATACACAACCTCAATGATCAATCTACTTCCTAGGTATGTATAACCAATCCTCACTATAATATCAAATATGATCAACCCTTCAAATCGGTTTAATCACCACATATACATACGAAAGCAGAACATATAGCCGAATCTTCATCCAAGGATGCATCAATTATCCAAAAAGAGCAGAAAAGCTACATCAGAACATCTCACACATATTTACCAGTAAGTACTCAACACACCCAGAGAACTTCAATGCTTATCAAGTTTCATCAATGACAAGGTTTCATGACTACTTTGAGTAGGTATATAGAAATGAGGTATACATATTGGAGATCCCGCGAGATATTTCTCGGTCTATGTGCTACACACGATGAATCAGCACACGAAATTCACAATTCCAAAAGCGTACGTATAAAAATCAACGCATCAAATTAGACTATCAAAAACTACGCGTATTAATCATATACAAGTCCTTTCCCCCCTCATACTCCAAAAGACATATCCCATAGCCCCAGAAAAGAGCCGCAGAGGAGAGCCCCGTTTTGCATTCCTACCTCCGTTTGCACCTCCCGCTTCGTCTCCTGTTTGATTCGGACACTTCACCTATGCTCTTCTCTTCCTTTCCTTTCCCATTTTGACCGCACTCTCATCCGTACCCTGAGTGCAAATTTCTCGCCAGCGAACTCACTACCCGCTACCCGCAAAACGCTACGTTCATTTATCCCCTACCCCTCCCTATTCCGAACCCCTTTTGTAGCATAAAAAGAATATTGAAAAATTGGAAAACGAAAAGTCATGTCTTGCAAATTTTGATATCCAGTGAGTGAATATCCACCAGTAGACGAAACACCGCACTGTTTCATTTGTAAATAGAATAAATGGCTTGAACAAATGGGATGTGCTGCGTGCCCCCGACGTTAATGATAAAAGAAAATGATATTGAAAAACACCATCTTCACTCTATGATGAAGAATGAAAATGCAAAGCAAAGCATGCGAGCTAGAGAAGCAACCGGATTCCCTCCATTTTGATTAGAAGAAAGTCGTGTATCATATCGCTGAGGTCACCTCCCTCCATTGTCTGTTCTCTTTTTTTGCTGTTTTGTTTCTCTCGTTTTTCTCTTTCTCGTCAATCCTCCTTTCTTGTGTCCAAACTATGTAGGTATAGTACACTGCGTCTCATGTCTCATCAAGTCTCCGAGAAGGAGCCCAATTGCATTGCGTAAAAAAACACCGGTGCTGATTCACTGCACCCATCAGCCCACCCCCAGTAACACCTATATGAACTTTTGACCCTCCACCTTACTCTTTTTCGTGACCTGGACCCAGGCTCCAATCTCCTCAACAGCTTTTCTAGGCGCCTTTTTTCTCGTCAAAAGGAATCCTTGAACCTCAGCTGGACTGAACATATAGTCTTCGATATGTTCCGAAAACTGCTTTGCCAACATCTTAAGTTCCCCCTTTTCCAATATTTCTTCTTCACCATTTTTCTCAATATCAGCTATTGTGAGGGTCTTCTTTCCCGTGGGAGTGGTAGCTTCTGTTTCAGTCCCAGTCCCAGCACAAATTTCACTTACAATGGCGATAGGAGTGTCTGGTGGTGTAAGAGGACGGTTTCCCGAAAGTAAATTTGAAATTGAATTTGCATATGTCTTCTCCGATTCTGGGGTTGGGGTTTCTGAAGTTGGGGTGAGAAGAGGAATTTCTTCTTCTTCTCTTTCAATAGAAACTTGCGTTTTTTGGATAATGGGCTCGGTAGCTGGTGAGGTAGTAGCGATGAGTTTCTCCCGTGGCGGGTCTTTAGAGTACATTCTCTCGAAAATTTCTTTGATCTGATGACGAGTGGCGTTTGTGAATGCAACTTGGCAGTCTACGCGACCTGGTCGGATAAGAGCTTCGTCTAACTTTTCGGGGTGGTTGGTAGTCATCACCAAGACACGACCTTCATGAGAGGCTACACCATCAATAATCTATAAACGTAGTCAGATCCTCAGACTTCTGAATGCGTGAATAATTGTGGAAGCTTACATTCAAGAGACCAGATAATGAGATTCCCTTCTTTTCATCATCATCCTTCTTACTTTTCTTGCCTTTCTTGCTTCGCTTACCCTTGCTACGTCTACTCTTGCTCTTGCCCTTTCTTCGCGATTTTTTAGTGACCACTTCGTCTTCATCTTCACTGCTGCTGCTCTCAGAACTAGATTCATCCGACGACTCAACTTTATCTTCATTGACTCGCGTTAGACCTGCGGTATCGATATCCTCCAACAGTACAATACATCTAGGTGGCAAGTTGGTAAAGAGATTCCCAAGTTCCTCTTCCGTAAGTGTAGGCTCTAGCAAGCTAACAACGTAGATATTCAAACCAAAAACGCCAGCAAGGGCAAAGGTTAAAGAAGTTTTACCAGTTCCTGGAGGTCCATGAAAGAGATACCCTCTGCGATAAGGTATACCACGAATGGCATACCAACGAGCAGTTGAGGGATTCAAGTATTCGTTAATATCACGTAGTACCTTATTTTTCATAACCTCATCTAAAACAACAGTTCTCATTGGTCGACAAGGTCTTCTCGCCACCTCAATCCAAGAGCTTCGGCCTCCCCATGTTCGACGTTCCTTGTTTGCAGGTCGACGAATGACAGTTTTTGCACTGTGGTTTCTGTTTGAATAATCTTTGGCTTCTTGAAGAAATTCCTTGATAGGTATTGTGCTACGACCATAACAAGAGATGAGCAGTACTTGTTGGTCAGATATTGGGTTACCATATGAAGAGGACCCAAAGACCATTTTTTCCGATCGCTTAACCTTGAAGTATCTACCATTATGCCAAAAAGTATGACTAGATCCCATAGACGGCGTGAATTGTGGCTTAGTCTTGGAGTCTTGATCAGCAAAATTGAGCCATTGTATAATACCGGTTCCATCAAGCTGTGTTAAGGTAACTGAGTCCTCATTATCTAGGTCCCAATATCCCCGTCGTGCTGTTTCTGCCTGAAGAGAGCGGGAAGGTTTCATTTGGTACTTGTGTGCCAGGAATTCTATAACTTCGTCGTGAATTTCATCTCTGCTACTGATAGAAATATCAGACATCCAGTATGATCTCACAAATGACCATCCCCATGAATACAATGCATCGAAAGCCTTGTTTCCCAGCCATAAAGCAGCCCATAGAGAAACGAGGACCGTGATATCAAAACCAACGGTTTGTAAAACAATCTTGTGAATGTAGCCATATCCTGGAACGAGATTTTCAAGAAGTGTAGTTGGTAGGAGTCCGCCGAGTAAAGCTGCCGTTGTGCTTGTGTTAGAAGAAGACACAGATAAATTCTGGTGCAGAGCTTCTAAAACCGCATCGAGATCCATGTCGTTCAATCTTTTCTCTTTATTTGACGGAGGTCTTGTAGATTGAACGAACAAATGGATAATTTCTTTGAGGGAATGGGATGGCGGAGGGGAATGAAGAACGTGAACACTTCAAGAAATGGTGATGAGTGTTGTGTAGAAGTGATCTGCAAGTTGTATGGTGGGTCTTTGTTGGGCGTCAAGTATGTGTAATATTTGACAGGCAAGGTCAATAGTTTCTGTGTTAAGTTCTAAGAAACACAAATCAATATTCAGAGGAGGGAAAGAGCGCATATGCAGTGTCCACAATTGGACCACGCGGCGCGATACAAACGGCGTGAATGGCGTGTAGTTGCCTCTTCTGATTCACTGGCTTAAATAGAACCCATATTACAATGTGATGTGTATGAAATATGGTAAGTTTAATTTTAAAGACAACCGGTACCATGTCACTGGGATATCGTCTGGGAACTTCCTGCGAATAGGACAACGAAATCGAGAGCCGCACCCTTCTCTTTGAATACCAAGCAACGAATGAGCGACCACAGCGATCCCTTTTGTAGCTGGAGAGCTTAACTTTCAAATGTTACTAGTGGGGCATGGAAGATTTTAAGAGAAAGTTCTGACATAAAAGCAGGCAACAGGCGCGGAGTAACTTGCTGACGACCTTGTAGTTGTTCTAGGCCCTAGTGAGATATAAGGAACCCGATACAAATGTGTAAAAAGAAACAGACAGCAAGCCCATGCGATTTGCCGCACTAGCTTGATAAATTCCGATGCTGGTACCCGTCTGACAAAAACAGATGCAAGCGATTGTACCATCTGTGCGAGTAGTTGGACCCAAAAACCAGGCTGAAGACAGTTACGTCAAATATGTGGCAATGACTCAAAGGTGTGGAATATGCAAGGAGAGATGAAGAGGCGCTGGCCACGTCGTCCTGGAAAAATAGACCGGATGGAAAGACAATATTAGATACAGAGTATGAGAGAATTTACATGGAAGAGTCATAAAAACGTCAAAGTTCGCATCAGGTCCAAATGCTTGGGTTTTTGTTGAAGTCTCTTGTCAGCGTATCTTTGGTTGGAGAATACGAGCTTATTGAAATTATCGAACTAATTTCCAATATCTCAACAGTTGGATTTACCGAAAAGGTTGGTAGTATCAAAAACTGCTAGACCATGGCTTCTTGGGTTGCCTTTAATGCAGTTGGTGAAGTTGGTTCGTAGTGGTAATGCAGAAAATGCAGTTTACCGCCACAAAGAATCGATGGAAGAACAGAATTGGGAGGGCTAATCAGAATATCTCCCAACCCACTCTCAATGCATTCTTTATAGCACATCTTGTAACATTTCTTCTTTTGATTCGTTGTCGCTGCTGCTTGTATTCCCCACCATTTTCTGCAAGCAAACATACATTTGCCTCTTTGCCTTATTTGTGTCTCATTGGAAACCTTGGTATGTTCACATGATGACGGGATTGGAGAGATGAAGAGGATGGGAGGGTTGAAGAATAAAACTTCATTGGTTCCCACGTTTATCATAAACAGGCTGAACAGTCCATTGGTTCTTTACCTACCGGGGTTACACGACGTATGTAGGAGGAGATTCGAGTTTGTGTGTTGTGAAGATTCTATGATACGTATACGACGAATGATGAGGGAGGGAGGGAGGTGAGACCTAGCAGGTACATACGAGACGAGATATCGGACATTGTAACCGCTAACGGCGAAATATTGATGAATTCCCGTGCATACGTAAGCAGAATGTGGATTGTACTCAGCCCTTCACTTCAATAGCTTCATCAATCATTGATCTGTCAGCCTTATCATCAAAAACGTCCAATCCCGGATATCAATATCACTCATTGTATGGTCCATCTTATCTGTTCTCTATTTATGCATACCATTCTACCTTAACTGAGTGCTCTGTCTTATAGCAGCCTATCGATTGATCCAATTCGTGAGCTCGTATATTACTTCTGTGCCGATAAATCTGGTAGCTGTAGCTCTATTGTGGAGAGCTCCTCGTATAAACAAGTTGCGGCTCAACCGACTATCGTTACATCAGTGTCTTAGATTTCGATTACATAAAGACAACGTTGCCCGTAGAGTACGCAATCGGCATTTGCGGCTTTGAGCTGCTCAATACTTTTTGAGAAAACCCTCGTTCAAGATGATGTCCGCTACGAATGAAGATGATCCCTTTCTCCAAGTACAAGCGTAAGTCTTTCTAGCCTTCTTCTGGGTCTCATTACCCTGCAGCTTTACCCCTCTGGGGATTGTTAGTTTTTCCGCAGTCTGCCTTACCCCTCATACATCACACCCACTCTCTTCGCGCAAGAAGGCCTGGCCCTGCAATCTTCTTCTGCGACCATATGTATGCAATGCATACACATTCAGCCCTTTACTCTCCTCACTTTCCAATCATTTCGCGTGAACTTATCTTATGAACTCACGCGCATACTTCATCCGGCGCATACGCTTCAGAACTGCGCATACTCTACTGTTCAATATACTCCCAATCGGCATAATTCATTACAATTCCCTCACACCCTCAACTAACACAACCCTCCAGCGATGTACACCACCAACTATCCCTCACACGCCCCCTCTTCACCTCCTACCTGCGTATCCACTCTTTGACCAAATCTCCGCATCTAACCCCTGAACTTCTCTCCGCCCGCTCCGACCTAACCACCTCTCTCTCCCTCTTAACCGACGACCTGCAGGACCTTCGCGATTCCATATCCGCAATTCAAGCCGATCCCTACAAATATGGATTACAGATCGAAGAAGTATCTCGTCGGGTACGGATGATAGAGGAGATTGGAGGTGAGGTAGATGACATGCGGGAAGAGCTTGAAAAGACTATGGGTGCTGCATCCAATTCCGGGGCTGGGGGGAATGCATATAATGATGAAAATACCGGCTCACCTCTGGACGATGACTACGCCGCGGAATTCGAGCATCAACAACAAATGCAAATGCTAAAGCAACAAGATGAGCAACTCGACAGCGTATTTCATACCGTAGGGAACCTCCGTCAACAAGCCGACGACATGGGCAGAGAGTTAGAAGAACAAACAGGAATGTTACAAGAAGTAGAAACGGTAACCGATCGAGTGAGCGGGAGACTTCAAGGAGGAATGAAGCGGATGAATAAATTAGTCAAAGAAAACGAGGATGGACTGAGTAGTTGTTGTATTGGGGTGTTAATTTTCGTGCTGATTTTGTTGTTGGTGCTTGTGCTTATTTTGTGAAGGAGGCGGGCAGTCCAACGGCAGGCGGGAAAGGGAAGAGTACTTCTCCCATTGAATTCATCTCATCTAGCTTTTCGTTTCCTATCTGTCTTCTTTTTTGTAATCAGAACAAGCATCGGAGTTCAGGCGTTAGACAGAGGTGTAGTGTAATACACAGAGGACTCAAGCTGATCAGAAAAGATCAGATCAGAAAGGTCGGAAAGGCAAGGCGAGGAATTGAAAATAATAAACTGAAATTTGGAAAGCAAACAGCAAGCTCAACAGTCTCCAGAAGCTCAAAACGAGCGCATACATATAAAGAGAAATCAGAGATAAAGAGTAGAACAAACACAGTATAATAACTTGCGTTTTAAACAAAATAACGAATCTTAAATTCAACCAAGTGCTTAATATCGAGGTAGGTTGATATCCTATTTTTGTACTTCCACTCCCATTTCCGTTGCTAGTGCTCTGTGCTCTTGTGCCCTGCACATTCGTAGCCGTCTTCACAGCGGATCCAAAAGTCAGCATACCCATCACATGTATATGCAACATTCACATCCATATCCTCCAACCAAACCAAATTAAGCCTCCAAAAGAACACAATCAGCCTTACATGTCTACTTTTTATTTATAACTTATTCTCATTGATTTACCTTCATGCTAGTACTGATGAATTGCACTACCAATGCACTACTCCTTCCTAAAAGTTTTGCAATCCCAAGCCCGTTCCATGCACACATGTAGACATACATACATGCTTATATTCCTGTTTATTTTCCTATCAAAAGCACCCCATCCTACTACCGGCATCCACAACACTCATCTTCTGCTTCAAGTCCTTTTCCTCCCTGTCCCATAGCCACAACCAATATCAACCATCCAGAGATATCACACTAATTCAGCCACGCCAATCCCAACCTAATAAAATGGATCTGCACAATCCGACCATTATTCTTCCATCCGTAACCTCAAGAGAGAAGACTAGCCTGGTCATCGATAAAAGAATGATCGCTCGTTTCTGGATCACCATACAATTCCTTTTTTGGCACTGTCGAGGTCGATGACGAAACAAGTCCGACAATCGCAGTTGTAGAGGTCCCGCTCACGGAACGATTAGCATCCGTGTCGAAACCGAAATCGAGACCCGACATGGAATTGCTCTGAAAATGTATTTCGTCAACGAATGAACTCTGAGCAGACGAGACCAAACGAGACTAAACAAGAAAGAGTAATGTGTAGGCATAGGGATGAACAAACATGCTTGCAGGCGAGAGAATTAACGGACAGGAAGATGAAGAGGACGAAGATTATGAAGATAAGGTACGCGTGAGCCAACAATTCTAATCAGGACAAATAACAACTCCTCACTCCCCCAGCAAGGCTCCTTGAAAGCAGAAACAAAGCGGCATGGTACTAACAACAATCATCGCTGACTTCTGGAAGATCCTACCGAGTTTTGTCGATCGTGATTAGGTCTTCGCTCTCGACGATCTCCATCTTGAAGTTTCAAGGAGTCTAGCCTCTTCTGATTGTCCTCTGTCATCGGATCCACATCATCTGCTCGTAAAGGGGTTGTTTTTGTTCTTGAAGGAGAAGCTGGACCTGTAGGTAAGGCGGCTCCATTAGTCTTCGACCTTCCTGCTTGCTCCTCCAAAGCCTTCCATTTGTTTCCTCTGGCTTGTTCTCTAGCTTCAGCATTGTTCTGATGCTCAGTGTAATCGTGAGAGCAATCATCAAAAAGTTGAGGGTTGATCTCCATAAATAGCTTCATTGCGTTGTAAACCATGCCGTGGATCGTTCTAAATTAAATAGATTAGCCTCTGTCAGCTTTTCATAGAGATTCTGAAAGTTTCTCACCTGTTCCAATGACCTTTGGAATTCTCATATAATGGCGCGAACATAATTGGTAAGATTATCTCAACATTATCGCTGACCAGGTTGCAAAAGTATTCGTTATTCCAGAAGTATAACGCACGTTCTGCAACTTGAAAATGTGGACTCGCAACTGATTTTGCCAGTTGATGGAAAAGAGGCTCCTGAACTTTAGCGAATTCTGCTGGGTCCATTACCTCGAAAATATCCTCCACTTCGTTTAAGAACATGACTTCTTTCGTGCTGTTCACCTTAGGCCAATAGCGGAGCAAGCCCAAAACAACCTAAAATTGTGAGTAAATCGAATCTTTGATAGTGGTGCTAGACATACCTCTTCTGTTAGAGCTGCATCCTTTTCTAGGAATTGAACAATGCAGTATGCAAGCTGAGGATGATACATGCTCAGACTCTTGACTTTATGTAATGGTATTAAGACTCTCGTCAAAAACAGTTTGTGCTCTTCCTTTAATGGCAGAGCAAAACCGTTAATGATAGACCCAAGAATCTCCAATAGCTCAGCAATACCATTAAAACGTTCCGTCTCATAGACGAATTGAAAGAATACGTTGTTAATAGATCTTCTAATGTATGACCGGAGGTTGAGAAATTTTCCATATATTCTGTGAAGGGTTGTCTTTAAGAAATCTCGCTCGCGGGGATCTTCAGAATCAAAGAGTTCAAGTAACTGTAATACAAAACTGTGATCTATGAATGCCTTCGCAATATTGGTGTTAAAGTCTTGACTCTCAATAAATCTCAAGAAGAATTCGTATACAACTTGGATATGCGGCCAAGCAACTTCAAGAACTGGTTCATCTTCCTCGGGGTCGAACGCTTCACCTTGGGGGTTCATAGGCGGTGGTATGGGACGGAAAAGATTTTTACTGAACATCTCGACGACCTTTGGATACATAGCCTCAGTGATGACTTGTCTATTGTTGGCAACGTAATCAAGAAGTTCATGGAGAGCTAGTCTTTTGATTTCCTTGGACTTCATATCCGCGCTTGCATCGTTGAAATCAAATATGACATTGCATTGATCAATCTTTTGCATAAAGAGATCTTGGCGGCGGTTAGGAGGTACCTCGTGGAAGCCTGGCAGTTTTTCCAATTCGCGGAGAGGAGAAATATCAAATCTCGAAGAGTGTTGTCGCTTTGGTGTTCTGATGCCTTCTGGGACATCTTTTGGAGTTGTTTGTAACCGGTCGAACATTGATGACTTCGCACCAGCCTTGGGGGGAGCGAGATCATGCGGCATTGTTTCTGCGGCACCTGGAGGAGGGATGTGCTGAGAGAAGGACATTAGTACACAGAAGATGATCCAAGCGTGTGGCATAACTTACTGGTGCACTTGGACTGATAACGACACTAGGAGGAAGTGCCCCGTGACGATTTGGTGTCCCAGGACTGGGCGAACCTCCTCCTGTATTGAATCGATCCGGAGCGGACATTGCACCAAGAGCTGCTGGGTTCAACGGCGGTTGCACAACTACACTACTTGAGGATGTACCGTCGTTAGGAGGCAGTGGTTTATTCCGCAAGTCATTAAGTGTAGTACTCGAGGATGAGGGTGTGACTGCAGGCGATTGTCCCGCTCCCTGTGAATTGGATTGCGAAGGTGAGGATGTGCCATCTTTTGATGATTCCCCCTTCTTAGATTTTGTTTTGTTTGGATCTTTTGAGCGCGAAAGCTGCTCATGCTGAATGGGTTAGCAGATGATCACTTTCAAAATGATACGGTTGCTATATGGAGAGTATTCAGCATCAAAATGACTTACAACCCTCTGTCTGAAACCCTTCATCTTGGACAACTACTCTTAGGAAGATGTAAAAGACACAAAATCTCGATTATTTGATACTCTTTGGATATTGCCGGTTTGCGAAACCTCTTGTTCTTATCCACCAACAATTCCAATTTTAAAGTAAAAAGGTCGCGTCACTTAAGATTGCCGTTGTGAATGTGCCGATCCTGTTCTTGATGAGGCTCTAAAGACTGCGGTGAATTACTCGATAGCAGTGGCTTAACCCCCGTTTGTCGCTGAATGGCATCAAATACAAAAATGGATATTCAAGTTCAACGATTCGTTGATACGCAAATGGAAACCTCCAATAGCACCCTACTGGCGTAGCCTGAATTCCTTGGCTGTAAATTGATAGTGCGATGTTGGCAGGTTTTCATAAAAGATAATGGGAACTGCCAATGGTTTCTATTTGATCTGCCGAAATTCTGTATCCCAAAGGTTCGTGAGGGGCTAACCCCGGTTGTCGACTTGTTGCGCAAGTGTAGGTAAACAAGTTCTACCAGAACGATATCTGTCAGTGCGAGTTGGGAGAAGATAGGGAGAGTAGGATAGGTTTAAACACACAAACGAGCCAACAATGACGATTGACATACACGGTCGATCGTACAGCGGCAGCGGCTGTTGAAGTAGGTCGAGGCTAATCCCGGCGGTGAATATGGTACTCCTCTACGCCGAAGCACAAGCTATCAAATTATTGAAGAAGGCCAACGCGTTTGGGCGCTTTTCTATGGACAGCAAATAAATTGGCAGATGGATAATAATTGGTCGGGTATTAAGATCTTGGAATGAGTTGTTAGACTCCTTCAAGTAGAATGATTAATAAGGAGAGTTTTATTTATTTGACCTTCATTTCAAAGAGTCTTAAACAACACAGCAGCATCAACAAGTGCGAGTGGTCCCCTCAGTAGATTGATTGAATTAGCGCAAGTTAGTGATGACCTAAATTCTAAGGCAATTAAACCAAATCTAATTGACTTTGGGGCTTTCACATTTTCACGCTTTCACTACCTAGGTAGGTACTACGTAGGTTCGGAGATTTCTTTGCTGCTGTCCGCGCCCCGGTGACGTGAAAGATTCGAATTACGGCTCAAGGTTAAGCCATCATCCAAGCTTTATTATAGAGGGAAAAATTCATCTAAAAGTCGACAACGGCCAAACGAGAAGATAGGATATCTGTCTGGGTATTGATTGGTCCAAGCCAAAATTAAACATTCCCTTCCCCATATTGAATACTAGAACCTCGGTGGCCCGAAGAAAAGTCATCTACCAAATTCACGGGTTTTGATAGAAGACATAAAGGATTCTCTAGTACAGGGTCACTGGCTCGTTGTGGTTATTCGCATAAACTATTTAAGAAGTCCAAGAGAAGGGTAATAACAGGATGGTCGAATATCGGCATTGAATCAAAAACAATTCAAGGATCCAAAATAAAAATAAAGACCCATTTTGCTTTACAATCCCGGTAACTTTTCCTCTACTTACAAAAATATGGAAGATTACGAAGATATGGATGATGTGGATTTTGAGGAGGAGGTTGAGGTTGAAGGGGAGGATGGTGAAGAATATGAAGAGGCAGAAGGCATGGAAGTGATTGAAGGAAACGACGAAGAGGAGGATGGAGATTTTGACTACGAAGAAGAAGACCAATCTGCTCCGGTGTATACAATTCCTCCAAGGGAAATTGTCGCTGTCGAGCATCCATTGATTGTTAAGAATCTTGAAAATGGTATCAAGACTTTTGGACGGCAACCACAATGGAATAAGGTACGTGGAAACTATTTTTCATACGTTAAATAACTTTGGCATGCTTCTATTCCATGACGAGTAGATCTCTTCTCATGATAGCTATAAAATCATAATCTTCAGTCGACAATGGACTAATAACTTCAACAGATCCTTGAGGGCACTGAAGATGAATGTATTCCGCTTTTTCTTCGAATCAAGGATCCCACATGCGAACCAATTTTATCTTACAATAGCATCACCAACAATGTTCTCCTCAAGATCACTGTACCAAAACGTACTGGTAGAAAGCGCAAGCGTGGATCTCAGGGCCCTTATACTAACGATGGGCATTCAACATCTCAGAATACCAATGAAAAGAATTCGTTCGGTGAAAATCAATCCCACTCTTTGAATGACAACCCCAATAGTATTCTGAGAAAGCTTCGAGACAATGTTGGTAAATATACTGTCGAGGCTGCAGGAGCCATAGAACAGAGTCATCGCTATAGAGGTAATGACCCATTTCTTCCCTTATGTTTACAATACATTAACAAGATCCAGGACTTTCCGATTATCATCAATCTACATCTAGTGCACCTTTTATGTCACATTTCAAAGAGACTGCATTCTCTGCCAATTGTAAGACCTCATACAAGTCATATTTACATGATATCGCTAACTTTAATCAGGGGGCAAGATGCGAGAATTCAAGCTTGGTACTGACAAAGGCTGGAAGCCAAATGAAGAAATTGTTCCTCCACCCACATTCACTCACCATCCATTACCATTCAATTGGGGATATCGACAAAACCCTTTAATCTCAACCGAAGTGGATGCCGAGACAGGAGAGACAAGCATAGTGAACCGTTCGAAAATGCCAAAGCTCGAGATGCAGTATGTACATTGCGACGAAGACGAAGACGTCCCCACAAAGCCATTTCGTGAAGTTCCGGATGATCCTGTTCTCAAAGACTTCGTAGCCGCACTTCAATTAGCCATGAACGAACGTCCAATCTGGACTCGTCGTGCATTGCAAAATCGTCTCGCCAACGAGCCAGGATACTATTTGATGAAACCTGCACTTCAGTATGTGGGTTACCAATTCCGAAGCGGTCCTTGGCGTGATGCACTCATAAGATATGGTGTTGATCCCCGCAAAGATCCATCTTGTCGGATTTATCAAACAATTTTCTTCAAGTTATACGAAGAAGATGAGCGTGCTCCCGATGGTCAATGGAAAGATATGCGAAGTCAATACACAAGACATCAAGTTTTCGGCACGGGAGATTGTCCTTCACATATGTTCAATGGCACTTCTTTAACTCTCGACGGTAAAGTGTGGCAAATTTGCGATATTACAGATCCTCTTCTTGCTCACCTTATACAGAATGCTCCAATGGCTAAACAATACGATAACAACCATGATGGCTATTACAACAATGGAACTCTCGCCAAGATCCGAGCCATCATGAAAACAAAGTTGATTGCCATTCGCAGTAAAAAAGTAATTCCCGAAAATGCATTCGATGTAGCGCTCAGCATACCTGATTTCGTAGAGGGAAAAGATGGAAAGAAAGTCCATGTGCCAGTACCAGATATGCGATTGACAGAAGAAGAGATCGAAAAATTAAGAGAAAAGGGTATTATTAGTGGAATGAGTGGAAAGGGAGTGAGACATCTTGATTCAAGGACAAAGAGGAAGCAATATAGAAAGGGCGGAAAGTTACCAATAAAAGCTAAGAGAGCGAAGCAATATGGAATGATGAAGGGACCGTCAACATCAAAACCTAAAACTTCGACCGCGCCAGCGAAACCGAAAAATAAGAAGACTGCTGAGCCTTCTGAAAAGGATGAAGATGCCATGCCAGATACTGCTGCTGTGCGTAAACAGGGAGATATCTCGACGGAAGATACCATCAAGATGATGGATGCAGAGGGAGAAGAAGATGAGATCGAAGTCGACGCTGAGAGAGAAGATGACGATGAAGAAGCAGAAGAAAACGAAGAGGAAGAATTAGTCGATGCGGAACTGGGATCTGAAGACGAAAGTACAGACTCGGAAGATGAATCGGAGGCGGAAAAGGAAAAGGAAATGTTTATTAAGAATTACGAGGCGAGGATGGGGGCTGGGAATAGTTCAAGTAATTAGTGTGTAGGCTACCTAGGTATCTAGATAGGTTTCATCAGTCAGATTGATACTGGGGAGGACATGGCATGAATTCAAGTGCTCTCTACCGTATAAGCTAATATCACATCGTTAATTCAAGCAATCGAGTTATACTACTTGGTCGGACTTCACGTAGATCGCATTAACAATTCACTGTCATTTTCTATTGTCGACGAGAGTCATTCGATAGAGCGACGCGTACGATGTTAAAGACATCACAAAGACGAGCAATCTGTAATCAAGGGGTCCCTCATGAACGAGTCAATGACCAACAGAGAGCCCCTTAGCGAGTTTGCTCCTTACAGATAAAATGTCAGGAGCATCCGGCAAACCTGATACCATCCCTAAGACTAGATCACATGGCTAAATGCTCTAAATCATCAATGTGATAAAACAAAATAGGTAGCCCTGACGCATCCACAGCTTTCTCGTTATGACTTTGAAACGGAACTCTAATTATCCTCCCGCATCCAACACTCGCAAGCCTACTCTACTACCTTGCATGTCCGGCACTCTTAGTGAAAAGAAGAAAGAAGGGAGAAAAGATTCTTCATATTCGTCACATGGTTGATTTTATACTTTGTTAAGTGGCCCCGTATGTTCAGGAATCGGAATAGGATGATCCATTTCCAAACACCTGGAAAAGTTTCGCCAATGGATAGGAAATCATTTTGTTACATCCATTCAATCATTGCTCACGCGATGCTTCCAGGTGCTCAAATCACTTGATTTCGAGGTCTTTGTGAGAGGACTACTCCAAGAGTTTTGCTATTATGCAAATGCAGATGTGTTAGGAAATTATATTGAGACGCTCTTGTGATATTCAGTGATAACGCTCCGCTGGGCCACTGCCGTGGGGAATTTTTCGCTTCGCTCTAGCTCAGAAGGGGATGGAGAAGAAAAGGAGAAATGATTTAATAGATCAGATAGATCGAGCGTAGCGACGATGGGGGTTTGGGGGCTTGTCCCCATAAAAGGTATAGAAATTCAGGTATGTTGATGTTTAATAGCTATTGGACAGGATAAGATGAAGAGGGCTTTCGTGGACACTTGTTATGGCGAAGAATGAGTAGGCTGGGTTTATGAAGTGAGGGAGTGGAGTATCGTGTTCTTAGGGTTAAAAACTACTGCTTTGACTTATAGACGAAGGGGAAAAGGAGAGATAAACTGATATAAAGATATATTGATCGTACTACAATCATCTCTTCATCATTGAGCGTATAGATCAGGAGTCACAGATAAAATCGGTTCACAACTCGATAGCTCGTACCTAGAGGCTGGCACATGTTTGCAAAATAGTTGGGATAAATCTAGGTTCTAGTTTCTGGTAGCATGAGTAATAGGTCTCAAGGCCGATTGGACTCCAATTTTCTCGCATATTCCAGATTTTCTTTTTGCTTGAGACCTTCCTTATAGTTGGGGTATGGAGGGGCGAAGCTGAATCAGTATAACAAAGAAGACGAACTAGACACGCGAGACACGTACTTAGAGATGATGGGGAATATTATATAAGCAGCAACACATGTTTCTTTGCTTACCTAATGAGACAACTCAAGTTCTTTCATGCCCGCATTTGGGGTCATCATCGATTGAATGAATGAGTGAATATCTTGTGTCAGAAGGATTCAATTCAGGAACGACGGGAACTATAAGAACTTTTCCACTTCCAAAGTTGTCTATATTGTTCAAAGAAGAGTGCCTAGATCTTAAAGATGATAATAATCATCAGCTTCTTATTTATCTTATTTACAATTAGAATATAAAATATAACCCTTTTGGGGAATTCGAATTGCCTTATAATTATCAATTTATGGCCATCCATCCATATGCATGATACCAGTACTCGATCGTATAAAGAAAATAGATTTTGAAAGCCTTAATTTTGTCATCAGATTGGAAGGAAAACCTTAAATTTCGTACCTCTTGATTTAACAGCAGCGCGGGCCTCACCTCAAAGATTGTGGTGCATCTCATAGGTACTCTCGCACTGGCACTGTACCAGGTAATCAATCTCATAACGAAGGTTCAACCCCACGAATTTCGATAAATAAACGTACAACCTCACTCAGCCTACAACCTTCAATCCCAAAAACCTTGCCCTTACCATACCACCACCCCTTCGACCACCCACCATCCCCCCCTCCAACACGAACAACAAACAATTCTTTTTAAAACCCCAATAACAAGATTGATTTTCAAATATTCAGTCTTGTCGCTTTCGTTATCTTGCCACCTATCAAGTGTTTTTATAGCTTGATTTATCTCGTACCTTGGGTAGTCTTACCGCACACACCGTCGATAATACTTGATTACAACCTTTTTACAACTCCACCACCATCACCTACCCTAGCACGTACAGGATACCTCAGCCTTCCTTGCATCACAGATCGGCCGTAAAGTCAAACTTACACATTCTGACGCGATCGAGTTATCCTTTCAATATCGACTGCCTTTTCCAAATAAGCCTGCAAGAGGAAGAGGATATAATCTCCTCCGCACAGCTCGTAAAAGATGGTAGAAGGGGAACCGAACTCTCCAACTTGGAAGTTCACTCAGTTAGTATACTCCTGCCATTATACTCTTATTTATCTGCCACTCGGGAAATCATGGATTGGGGGTTCTCAATGTGTTTGGTGGATTGATTGCATCACCACTGTGAAGTCAATGCTAACAAATTGTTATCAGATGTTTTGGTGATAAAGGCGATGTCGAAGATATAACAGAAGGTATGCCAATTTATTTATCCGTGTCTTGATGGCGCTTTTCGCTTTCTGTGGATAGTGCAAACTTCTTTCTATGATTGCTAACAAGATGGGTTACAGCGGATATCATATCGACAGTCGAATTCGATCACACCGGAAATTATCTTGCTACAGGAGACAAAGGTGGACGTGTTGTTCTTTTTGAAAGGAATGAGACGGTACGAATTGCAATCTCTGGTCTAGACCGTGCAAGTCGCCGAAATGCTGACGCTCTCATAGAAAAAAACATGCGAGTACAAATTCCACACAGAGTTTCAATCTCACGAGCCCGAGTTCGATTACCTCAAGTCATTAGAGATAGAAGAGAAGATCAACAAGATCAAGTGGTGCAAACGACAAAATGCCTCTCATTACCTACTCTCAACGAACGATAAGACTATAAAGTTATGGAAAGTGTTTGAGAAGTCACTGAAAGTTGTTGCAGAGAACAACCTTTCCCATGATTTGACTCCAGGAAATCCTGCAGGAGGTGGTGGAGGTGTTCGATCCATATCAAACGTTCACTTCAACAGTGCTCACGACCTGAAATTACCCCGCCTTACTCATCACGACACTGTTGTTGCCGCAGTACCACGTCGAACATATGCAAATGCACATGCATACCATATCAACAGCATTTCAGTGAACAGTGACGGGGAAACATTCATTAGCAGTGATGATTTGCGAATAAACTTATGGAACTTGAATATTCAAGACCAAAGCTTCAATATCGTAGATATCAAGCCCGCCAACATGGAGGAGCTTACTGAGGTCATCACTGCTGCAGAGTTCCACCCCCAAAGCTGTAACTGGTTCATGTATGCAAGTTCAAAAGGAACAATCAAGCTTGCAGATATGAGAGAGAGCGCTCTCTGCGACCAACACGCAAAGCGTAAGTTTCATGTCATTGTCCTTTGAATTCGACCTAGCTTACACCATCTTTAGAATTTGAACAGGAGGAAGATCCATCTGCTCGATCGTTTTTCTCGGAAATCATTTCATCCATTTCTGACGTCCGATTCTCTCATGATGGTCGATACATCCTTTCACGTGATTATCTCACTGTCAAAATCTGGGATGTTAACATGGAGAGACAACCTGTCAAGACAATTCCCATCCACGAGCATCTTCGACCACGTCTTTGTGATACTTATGAAAATGATAGTATCTTTGACAAGTTTGAGGTGGTGTTCTCTGGTGACGCTAAGAATGTTATGACTGGTAGTTATAACAATAACTTTATGATCTATCCATCGGATCCCGATAAGGAAGTGGAGGTGGTTCTCCAAGCCGATAAATCAGCTTTCAAGGCCAAGAAGGTTGGTGTTCCAACACCAATCAACCCATCCGGTAGCCCAACAGCTGCGAATGGTAAAAAGGGTAACTCGAGGGCAGGTAGTCCAGCTGCTGGTGTTGGTGGTCAAGGTGGAAGGATGAAGAAAGAAACAGACGCAGACCAAATCGACTTCAATAAAAAGATATTACACATGAGTTGGCACCCTTTCGAAGACAGCATTGCCATTGCTGCAACGAACAACGTAAGTGGTATATACACGATTTTCCTAAGCATCTACTGACTATCTATTCAGCTTTTCGTTTTCTCCGCATTGTAAAAATTGGCAACACGCGGAAGCTGTCTTCAGGTCATATTCCATTTGCGTTTTAAGTGTGTACTGGCTACAGCAACCAGCCCAGCGTTGTCCTTGAGACCTATTCATATTCGTGGCATAGTTAATTTTATGTCACGAAGAAAATATTATCATTGAGTAGCGAGACTGCTACACTTCATAAGTGTTGCAATAGAGGGTGACGCAGAAATAAGCGGGGGCTGGTGAGTTATCTTTTGGAGACAGTTTCTTTCTCCAATTACCTGAAGCTCTTACAATAGTTTTCAGGTTAAGTTGTTCAAGGCAATGGTGTGAGATGTGCCTAGAAGCAACTTTTCCATGATCGAAGTAGCCTAGTGTAGCCTAGTCTAAATCACAAATGAATAATGCATGAAGTTCTGAATTATATTTATGTTTGTTAAATCGATGGCTAGACGGGTTCCTTTCAGTCCATGATCAAAGCATGCCCTTCCTGTCCTCCAGTCAAAGTGCTCGACGACAGCAGGGTGAAAGCGCACAGAGCCGAGTCCATATGTCACGTGATAATCTCCGCTAAACCCACCTGCATAACGGATCAATCCTTACCAAAAAAAAGTTCGTCAAGAAATTTAATCCACAGAAGCTTCAGACCTCCAACCTTCAACCACCGACAATCCACACGACACCAAGTCTCAATCCCGTATGTATGTCCCTGAATCACTTCAATCACCCTGAATATTCTCTCTATTGATCTCTCCTGCGCAATTGATTTTCTATCGCGCATGCGCTAACAATTGACCATCAGACATCACCTCAACTCCCCAAAAACTCAGCACCCGCACCGACCCTAGAAACTCTCATCAAAATGCATCTTATGTACACCCTCGATGCGGCCGGAAAGCGCAAGTACACTTTGAAGAAGGTGATTGGAGGCGAGGTTACCAAGAGTGCGCATCCAGCCAGATTCAGCCCGGATGACAAGTATTCGAGACATAGAGTTACGTTGAAGAAGAGATATGGATTGCTTTTGGTGCAACAGAGTGAGTGGTCTTTTTTATTAACTTGTTGTGTTTTGTGTTTTGTGTTTGGAATTGGGATTGGGATTGGAGATTTTTGGGGAAAGGGGAAGAGAAGGAGGAGGATGGGAGATGGGAGATGGGATTGCAATTGCGGGCAGAAATGGGTGAAAGGAGTAATTGCTAATCCGTGCGCAATCAGAGGATCTCAAAGTTTTGGGCCAATAAATATCTCTCACCTCTTCTCGAGGTACAGATGGGGGGCTACTTGACATGAGTAGCACACGAATCGAGGGAAGAAGGGGAAGAATGGCAAATTCGTGCAATAACGCGCGCTGTGTTCAATCGTCAAAATGTGTAGGAAGAGAAAGGCAAGGCTGAATTGAATAATTGGCTGCGAGAAAGCTCAGGCTAGTGGGTGGAATGGAATGGGTGGTTGAAAGGGAATGTGCGGAGTATACTGGCGTTTCTGGACGAGGGATTCTTATATCTATCTGTTGGTTCTTCGTGTGTAGGAGAAAGAGAGAAATCTCGATTTCTGGTGGTTGTAGGGGATGAAGGAATTGCCATTTGCTTGCAAGTCCATACTCTTCTTTTCTCGCTATAGAGATGAGATTGTTTTTCTAGCACCGAATCGAGGAAATTCACAATTTCAAAAGCATGTTTGGCTATGAGTTTAAGAAAAATGTGTTTGGTGCAAGTACTTGAGTCGATTTTGGGGGGAATCAATTTTGAGATTACTTTTACTAATTCTATTCTACCTAATGTCGTTTCCTTGAATTGACATTCTTGCCCGCTCCAACTTTTGGTCTTCCACCGGCTCTTCCACGATCTCCCGTCAAGATACTAGGTAGATAATCTTCATCCATAAGATCCTTTTCCTTGCGCCTCTTTTCCGTCGCCATTTCCCTCACGTATTCTTTTTGATCCTCCGCCAATATCAAATCATTACCCCATCCTCCTTTACCACCCCCTTTGATATTCTTTCCATTCGCTGTCCCGGCAACTGGTTTGGGGACACTGTATACATTTCCTCTGTTATTCCACTGCATATTTTTCTTGAGATGGATTTTTACCACTCCGTCTTTATCGGTTGAGCAGGAGGTACGGAGGAGAGTGGGTTTGCCACAGCGGGAACAGAATTGTCGGGTCATTTCTCGAGTGATGGAGAAACAGGCGTGACATCTTAGAACCCAGGTTTTGAGCTGGCGGATGCGTTGGAGAGAGGGGGAGAGAAGGTTGAGGTTCATGCGTAACATTACGTTTTGCATGGCGTAATCGGTGGTGATGGTTGCTACTTGGATGGTTTTGGATTCTTCTTGGGGGGAGAAGGAGGAGTTTGTGTCTTTTTGTTGATGCTTTTTTAGATTGGAGGGGGTGATCCAGCCTTCGCCGTCAGATTCGGCGTCGGATTCAGAGGCGGGAACTTCTTCTATTGTTTCTGGAATAGTCTCGGGCTCCGTTGTGGAAGTTGGTTCTTGGGTTTGTTCCTCTGTGACTCCGTCTTTGGTCGATTCTTCTGTGACTACATCCTCTGCTGGTTTCTCTGCGCTCTTTGCATCATCGGCTGTTGATATATGGGTAGCCTCCAATGCTTCCTCAATGGGCTGTGTCTCCACTTTAGATTCTTCTGTTGCTTGAGGTATTGATGTTCCCCATGCGCCTCTGGTTTCGATTGCTGGTTGCGCCGCTGCATCTGTAGTCGTTTGTGGTGCCTCTGTGGCATCGGCAGGTCTTTCGCCACTTAATGATGCGGGAGGTGCTCCGTTCAATCTCTTTTGTCCTGGTACACTTCGTAATCTCCAATCTCCATGATTTCGTTCACATTCAAGCTCATATGCTAAAGCCATCAAATGAATATCTTGTCTGCTGAGTACTTCCAAATCACCTGTTTTCCGCGCGAATTCAGTTATAACTTTAATACTGGCTGATCTAGGCGCTCTTAATTTGAGAAAAGGTAATAATATAGTCTCGAATCTGGCTCTTGTAACGGCATCTTTGATTTCGTCGATAACGAGGGGAATAGTATAAAGGTGTTCTGCTTGGCCAAGAAGCGTAGAGACCGAAGGGTCATTCTTAATAATTGGTCCTGCGTCAATGATAAGACTATGTATGGGTTTGGTAGTATTTGTAGCCATTTTGAAGTCTACAATCTCGAGGATACTGATTCTCTGTGTAATGCAATGCAATTGCCATGGCGGGGTGTGCGATAAAGATTATCGAAAAAAATAAAATACTGCCGGGCGGTATCGATAAGCGAAAAAGATATCTAAGCACGTGATGTAATTCCCTTCTCTAGTGTTTGAGCGGAAAATTTTATTCATCTTGAAAATTTATTCAACAAGATTTCCTCAGCTTCAACTCCAATTTTTGATATTTTTGATATTCATAGACCGTGGAGTATTTCTCTATTTAACTACGAACTCAAAAAATTTAATTTTGAATCCAAATTCAACAATTTCGATTCCCAAACCCCACATTTTCAACCTTCAAAATGTTCTCCAACAACTGGCGCGTTAAGCAAGACACTCCTCAAAGCCCAAGCGGCGAAGAGAGAGTTTCTCCTTGGTCATCTTCAAGAAATCGTGGAGTTGGCGGTAAGGATGGTGGTGATCGACCATCTCCAGGCCAGGGGAGATTTTCTCGAAACGAGGCAGGTGACTCGCCAAGAAAATCTTCACAACTCACAGAGTCGGACAAGGCTATTGAGGAAGGTCGTCGCATTTACGTTGGTAACTTAAGTTATGATACCACTCCAGAGGATATTGAAACCATTTTCCAAGATGTTCCACGTGAATCTCGAACTGTTCATATGTCCATCGATTCCGTGACAAAGCGCAACCCTGGTTACTGCTTCGTTACTTTCACCACCAAGGATATGGCTGAGGAGGCTTTGAATCGTTATGATGGTCAAGAATTCAAGAACCGTACACTTAGAGTTAAGCCTGGTGTGAGATCAGACCGTGAGTGAATCTCCAAGCATTGAATTTTTACCTTTCACCAAATTTATACCACAACTCCGTAAAACTATCACTAACAGAAATACAGGCAGCACTCGCCCACAAGGAAGCTCGTCAGAGACACCTCTCTACACAAACGACCGCTGGAAGAGCTCTGACAGAGAAACTTCTCAGCGTCCAGAACGTCAAGTAGACACTTCTTCCCAGGATGGTCGAAGACTTTACGTTGGAGGACTACCAAGAATTGATGATCAAGAAACAGCAAACCGCAAGATCAGAGAAATCTTTGAAGGTTTTGATGTTGAAGTTGTTAGCAAGTTGATCTCTCCACACCCTTCCAAGGTTGAGGAAGGTGGCAACCACTATTACTGTTTCGTTGATCTTGCCAACAATACTCAAGTCAATGATGCAGTTAAGATGTTCGATGGCAACGAGTGGGGTCTTAAAGTCAGTCGTGCATCCGGAGGAGCCTCAGGAAAAGTTGTTGAGAAGCAAAGAATCTATGTCGGTGGTTTACCAGATTTCGGAGATGAGGCAGCAACCGAGGCAGAGATTAGAGAGCTTTTCAGCGAGTATACTGTTAAGTGGGTCAGCAAGTTGTGCTCTCCAAGAGAGCCAAGAGAGGGCAACAGCCATTTCTGCTTCGTCGAATTACAAGATAGTCAAGAAGCTGATGGAGCTATTGTCAATTTGGATTGGTCTGAGAAATGGGGTGGAAAGATCAGAGTCAAGCCTAGTTTGTCCAACGCTCAATCCAAACAAGGAGAGACCCCAACCAGAGGATGGAGAGGAAAGAGCGACAGAGAGTAAGTATGGTATGGTATCATCTAATCAGATATACCGATCTTAAATAGTTTGCAAACCTCGCACTTCAGTTATGACATGTATTAGCGATTTGCATACATTAGACGACTGCTAATGGGACATTTGATGTCATATCCACGTTTCTTGAGTAACAAGATTTGTCAATGGCTACGATACACTTGCATAAATATTAGTTTCATACCCAGCTGCGGCTGTGATTTGCTGGATGCAAATAGGCTAGCAGGCGATACCCAATCTGAATACAAATACATTTAAATTACTTTCCCGGACTATGTGTTCTGAATATTCCAACGTGATAGAAGAGCAACACTGTCTCATGCATGTTTAAAAAGGTACCTTTATAGTTCCTTCACATTCTTGAACATCATTTCCTTGCCGAGTGTTGATTTCATCCAGTCTTCACATGAGTAACTTTGAAACCTTATATAGTGGGAATACAAATCTCTTACCAAGTCATTTTCTTTCCACAACTCTAATTTTCTAATACTCCAAGTTGTTCCAAGGAAGAACATTCTATTCTCAACTTTCAAGGTGCCGGGTGCCTCACTGAATTGTTACGGGAAGAAAAGAGTTAAGCGACTTCTTTGCCTTGTAGAGGTAATGGAAGGTTATTTCCCTATACACACACACACACATATATATAGATGTGGCAACCCATCTCAATGATCAACTATCCTTTTTATTTCTCCATAGCATATTCGCACTCCAAATATCAGTATTATTTCTAACTATGTATTCATACTCTCAACATTTTTGTACTCGCCAAGCGGAAATGATTATTACGAACCGGTTTTCACCTTCACATTTCTCCAATCGGCAGGGCATTTAATAAGTGCGATTATTTTCTTTCTCTTTTTTGAATATAGCGCTCCTCAAACTCTTGGGTTTTCACCAGGTTCAAGATCAAGCCCAAAGGCGGAGGCACTTTGAAAAAGAATCTCCATCAACTAACGAATCCGGATTTGGTTGTCAGAGTATTGTAAACAGCAATGAACCTCGACTACGATATCCTGCTGGTCGCAGTTTAGTCCAAGTGAATCGAACTATCCTGTATACGAAATTGGTCTTCTAGATGACAACGATCTTTCAAAGTTGCATTTTAAAGGGATCGTAGCTGAGTATTTTCAACACCTTGCATCGGAGTCCACAGATAATATAGAGTAAAGCTACCCGCAGCTTGGCTCACCACCATTAGGACAGTCTCCATCAGCGTGTGCATTTGCAAACTCATTTGCCAATACACCTCGTTCTTTGGCAAAATTGAGGAACTTAAGAGACAGTACGGTCAGAAATCAATTGCCCCAAGGCAACTACTTAACAGATCCAGCCTTTGGATTTTTGCCTGCTATGTCCAATAATTCCATTACAAAAAAACGGTGGGAAGTCACTTATTTCGAAATTGCAGATCTGCTGCCTGACTTTTCTCTGGACACATCTAGAAATTCCTTCATAAGTCTATCATATCACGACAGTTACCTCCCGGGTTTACCATCCAAAGCTTCGCCTCTCACTTATGAATGTCGGGAAATCCAGTCCCTGGCTGGGGGAGTTCCTTGATTCTGCAGTCACAGAAACGTCAGACGACCGACCAATTGCTATTATTGTATAACTAGTTCTGAGCAGATCTCTCGATGATCGATGAGTACGAGCTAGTATTGACCGAGATACATGCTCCTAAGTTATGCCTGTTATTATTTTCATCTGGGAAATGGTGCATTAGAGTAATTTCTGAGAAAGATCGATGATTCGCTTGTTTTTGATCAGTGATTGGCATTATTTAGCGATGTACAGGTAACTTCTTTCGTGTGTATTTGAAAAATACTACAGCAGTGCAAACCTTCAGCTTAGAAATAAGATATTTCTCCTGCAGCAGGATTCGAAATATACAAGGCTTTATTGCGTATGCGATACTAGAAAATCATGATATTCCTCTTAACCTCTAAGGTTTAATGTAATCAGTCAACAAACGTACTGTGTACAAACCAGTAGAGAATTATTAAATTCCTCGCCACAAAACATAGCCCTAGGCTACCAAACAAGCCCCTCTGTAACATCCAGGCGCATTTCGTGACGATATCCCAACTGTTGATCTGTAGTCCAAAATAGACATACCCAGCGCTCTTAATTGGATTAGATCAACATAGATTCTTCAACACAACCTCGCTTCGGTAAATGCATAGAATACTGAAACTGTGTCACTCTGCTGCCATTCTGTGGGATAACATCACATGGGAATGTTGTTTTAACGATACGGAAATGAGGTAGAGATCACAAATTATTACACACTTGTAGATTTTTTGGGGGCTGGTTTGGGATAGGAGAGCCTTTGTGTGGGGTGAGCAAAATTTAGGAAATTCTTCGATTGGTATGGTAGGTGGGTATGTGAATTTGAGGTGGGGGTTATTTTTTCACACCATCTTCGTTGTCTCTAGAGTATTTGGGTTGGTTTGGAGGGTATTCATTAGTATGAGTATGAGAATCATCGAGGGAATTATGGTTAGGGTTATAGTTCCTATTCTGTCGGAGTGTCAGATATCTCATATTATCAAAATCATAATTCATGCCTGCTTCATAAATTGGCTTGAAAAGGGCCAGGTGGTAGTAGTGATTTCTGATGCAGTCATTATATGTCATGCTTCCTAATTCATATTTCGTAACACGTGTCTTAAAACCTCATATGTATGCATCTGACTCAACTTGAAAGAATACTTCGTGCTGCAAATATTTGAGATAGCCATCATTTCGCAAATTGAACTGTGATGTGACCCTTTTTTCCCGTCTTGACTCCCATCCGGATTTTTTCGTTCATATCTACCCCCCCCCCCCCCCACCCCCAGACTTTGTTTTTCTCCTCTTCGCCTATCATAAATTCAAAGCCTTAGTTAACCTCCGCCCCCCCATTCGCAACGCCCAAAGCATCCCAAACCAAGCCAGATAGCTCCCTCAGACCCATCCCCAACCTCTCCGCATAAATTTCGCCTAAGCCACTAGCATCCTTTCCCCTAGCCCATGCTTTTAACGTTCTCCCTACCTCTCCATCTCCCCTCTTCTCCTGAATACTCTCCACATCCGTAATATCCACCTCCAACCCCCTCATGACTCCACTCTGTTCTCCCCAGGATCTATTTCCTGTCTCTCTCAATCCATACATAACCAACTGACACGTACTAATCCAGTCGATATTCTTTAGTCTCCCTTGCCTTCCTTCGTTCAGGTTGTCCATCTCCCATTTTCCAAACTCTTCAGGATCCAAGCTTGCAAGAAATTTACACAATCTTTGTAATGCCAGTATTCTAGTGACACGTTGCGGATGATATGGACTTGGGTAATTAATGGGATCTGCATGAATGATTAAGAAAATTAGTACGATAAGCGCAGAGATATAGTCCGCTTTCTCTAGATAAATAAGATAGATTTCATTAAGGACTGTTGGTAAAGGTTGTTGCGCGTAACGTTGTAAGAGGATAAAATCATTTAAATTCCCTAGAGCTTTTTCCAAAAACTCGAGACGTCGGTCAATATTCGGGTAGATTTTATGAACACTTGAGATCGTGACTTCGATATGTCGTAATACATGGAGTAAAGAGAAGAGCCTGGTGATTGTCTCTGGATTTTCGTCTGCTACTCTAGCCTTTGCAAACTTATAAGTTTCTTGAAAAGCGACGAGCTTATCAAGTACAGGCGTTGAAACCATGGGATGATCGACGAGATTACCATATACACTTTGGAATACCGTGCAGCGAGAACAAAGGCATTGAAAAAACCAAGTTTTTGCCAAGGCTTCTCGACGAACTTCTCGTCGTTGTGTTTCGTCGATATAGGATATGAATATCTGCTCTCCTTTGGCGATAGGGGAGAGAGCTAGGAGTGTAGCACGCTTTCCATCGAATGTTACAGCTGCGTTTGGATGACAGCGATGGTTGGCGCGTGCCAGCAAGGGATCAAGACAAAGTCCAATTGGACCATTGCCAATATTAGATTCGACACGAAACGCATTAGTAGAGAGCTGCAGATCCGTTTTAGTAAGGATAAAATCAAAAACAGAGGATTGTTGTTACCCGACAGAGAGACTCAATAGCATGTTTGATAAATTCTGGTTTCCGTTGAAGAAGATTCACTACAGCATGGGCTTGTAATGATATATTATCCCATTTTGATTGGACACTTCTGAGGTCGTCCTCGTGAGATGCAAGGTCCATTAAAAGTGAATCTTTTGCCAGTGCTTCTGGGTTGCTAACCAATTGAATGGTACCACGCACAGCTGTAGGAAGCATCTTGTTCCAAGAGTTCCCAAGACTTTGCGATTGGATAGCCTTGCATTGTTTCTCATGATGTGAGCGGTCTAGATGTTCGCATTTTTTACTGCAGTAATTCACTGCCTTGCAGCCAATACAGTTCAAGGTTGCTTTTTTCAACCGACAATTTGAATGAGCACAGGCAGTATTCGTTACGGCTTGAGCGCTGATCTGTGATCTAGAATATTCAAATGCCTTTCTTGATTTGAAAAGGTCACATTCTGCTCCGTGGGAACCCTCGGAATCCAGTGACAACTTTTCGCAATCATCACAACAAAATTTGACAACACCGCAACTCGAGCAGGGCTGTAGCTCCACTCCTTCTCCTGCTTCTAGAAAACAATTGGCGCACACTCGATGCAGTGCCTGATTCTCGGCAATCAACAAAAGGGGTTTTTGTATGAAAATGATAGAATCTCCAGAATTTAAATCGACTGTTGAAAAGAGGCCATTTCCCAGGTCTTTTGCCGTGCCAATTATTGTATAGTTTATGTCCATTTGACTGGATTGTGTCTTTTATGGGGTATGGTTAACGTTCTTGATGGACTTGGATGTGCTTTTTGAATGATGGTGGAATCTAGCTGACCCATTTTGACTTGACCTCTAATCTAGTCTAGATACGGTTTGGTGCTTCCGATCTAAACCCCGCAACTGCATAGAGAAGGATCCTAAAGATATATACGAATGGTGTTGAACAGATTCACCGTCCATGAGCGACTTTTATTCTTTTACCATAGTAGACCACAATTCTCGGTCTTCAACTAAAGAGCCAATGCCCTAAGAAGTGATGAATATTCTTGAAAGGAATTAAGATTTGAATAAATTGTATTTATCTTATCGCTTAGATAACAAAACAAATGATTAGTTGACTGCAATATACAATACTACAACTCTGGAAATTATTATAAATTCCTCACCTCAACCGCTTGTAAAGGCATTTTGAGCTCTCAAAGTCGGCAAAAAGCCAATGTTAGAAGCAGAGTTGAAGCTTGGAAGGCCCCGCCATTCATCTGGGTATCATGAAAGTATCCTTCAATGCTCCTGTCTGATTATTCCTGAAGTGTACCAATGAGTATTTAGCAACTACCTCTTCTTTAGCATCACACTGACACCTGTTGGTATCTTCTAATCAAAGTTAACCCGGCGCAGTTGTAAAAGAGCAAGAGCTGATTGAGATATTCAAACATATACATAAAGGAAGTCATATTCAGTTCATTAGCCAACACGTGAAATGATCTAACCAAGTACTTCATGGACTTCCTTGAAATGCAATGACCTTGCGGATACATCACCCAGAACTCAATCTACCCTTTGTATTAGGCAAAATCAGATGTATTTTTTTGCAATGAAAAAACGGCCTGGCTTTACAGTGATACTTGCTGCCCAGTTCAGGATCTAGAAATGGAACATCCAACTGCTGCCCACATAACTCACGATTGTGGGAGTAATCTCAGGAAAGATATGGTGGCTCATGAGCTGTTCAAAAGATAAAGTATTCGAAAACAGATTGCAGTTGCAGACATGAGATATGCATTCCAGTCTTATCTTCGTCTTCAAGAGACACATCACAGCGGATGATAATGATGAAGATGACACAATAGATATGAAAAATGTGAGAAAAGAGGTAACACGTACTTCCTGTCGATAAACCGATTGTTTTCATTCTTTCAAGTACCTCCAGCTAGATGGGTAAGATACATAAGACAAGTACAGTCGGTCAGTCAATGTTTTATATTATCGAGACTCCATTATCATGGATTGATTTATGAATTAATTGTAATCATGCGGGGGTGGACTGAGCTCTAAAACGCCAGGGTAGCGCTAAACCAATTCTGTACAAGTTTATCGAAGAAACAAAAATCGAAATAATATTTTTGGCCATCGATCTCAATATCACAACAATCTTCATTTTTTGCCCCTCATTCAATAGAAATCTCTCATAAACCCGATTTCTTCTAACAAAGCCGCAAATATGTAAGTTCGCATGTAGCAATCTCATTATTCTGAACTCAAAACTAATGATTGCTGAAGGCATTTCGTCCGTCGTGCCGCTCTCAGAGCTGCTTCCAACGCCTCTTTCGTCTCTAAACCTCGCACCATCAACACCACTTCCCCATTCGTTGTCAGAGCTTCAAACGAGAGAATATCAACAGCAGTATTCCGAAGATTTGCAAGTGATGATGCACATGCTAGAGAAGAGAACGCAGATGCACAAGAGGAAGGAGCCGTTCGATCAGCTATCAATTCTGCCGCAGAGACCGTCTCAGAGTATGCCTCAGAGGCCAAGGAAACCGTTGCTCAAGCAACTGGATTCGGATCCAGAAACGTTGGCTTTGGTAGCAGGGACAGAAACGCAGATCGTCCTTCCATTGAGCCTAACAATGGTGTCTACATTGGTAACTTGTTGTTCGACATTACCGAAGAGGATCTTAAGAAGGAATTCGAGCACTTCGGAACTATTACCGATGTCAGAGTCACTAGAGATGCTAGAGGTTTGAGCAAGGGGTAAACATTCAATATGTTGCTATTTTTCATAAACCATAACTAACAATATCTTCAGATTTGCCTACATTGACTTCGCAGATGTTCAGTCCGCAACTGCAGCCATTGAAGCCAAGAACCAAACTATCTTTGAGGGCCGCAGACTTGTTGTCAACTACGTCAACAGAACACCAAAGATCAGAGATCAAAACCCACCTTCCAAGTGCCTCTTCATCGGAAACCTCGCCTTCGAGATGTCTGATGCCGATTTGAACAGCTTGTTCCGCGAGGTTAGAAATGTCATTGACGTTCGTGTTGCTATTGATAGACGCACTGGACAGCCAAGAGGTTTCGCCCATGCAGACTTTGTTGATGTTGATAGTGCCATGAAGGCTCTTGAACAATTACAAGGAAAAGAGGTCTTCAACCGAAGACTGAGAGTTGATTACAGTCTTGGCGAGAGAAGCGCTGGAGGCCGTGAGCGCAACGATCGTGGATTCGGCAACAATGACCGCGGTGGACGTGGATCATACGGTGGTGGACGTGGAGGAGGATATGGTGGTGACCGTGGTGACCGCGGTGACCGCGGTGGAAGAGGCTCATCATTTTAAGGAGAAGGCTGAATATTAGGGTGTTATGTCGACTAACGGGCGAATCGATTAACGAATGATCGAATGAACACTTTGTATGATGAATTTGGGTAGGCGTTAGTCATCTACTAGAGGTGTATGGGAAGTCTCAAAAGTTGCTGAATCTTCTATGCAGCTCTACTTTTATGGACGCTTCCTCTTTTTCGCCTTGTATTATAACCCCCAGAAACTTATTCGGTCGTAATACAAAGGCTTTGATCTGATCAGGCATGACGAGTTGAAGATCTGAATCACAGCAAGAATTCATATAAATTCCACTCAGTGCATCTTACAGAGTGTAACTTTTTTATTCAAAATGTACAATTTTATACCTCTCGCCACCTGCTATATATGTAACTCAACACCTAATATCGTGGTACGTGATATGTCTTATGTGTACGATATATGCTGTCTACTTAATAATCGTTTTACGATTCAACTCCAAGGCCAAAGTTACTTTGATCTGATACATACCTACCTAGTCAGCTCAACTCGTTTGTATACAGATAAATCTCGAGAAAAACGATTGAAAAAACAAAACATGTGACCAACCCCTTACAAGTTACAACAGTACAGAGTTGCACTCTAATCGGTGTTTGTGTTGTTCAACCGAGGTGGTCCGATTGAACTTCTAATGTACCGCGACCCCACAGTTCATCCACGTTCTCATGCATGTTAAGTATTCTCCTGCATCCACTCGACCATATCAGTCACGAAAACAATTATTAAACATCCACCTGGTGATCTATCATAATTACAAAGAATCTTAATTCCTTTTTGTATAATATATTCCTGTCTAATTACATTCCCATCAAAAGTTATCTTTTGAATATCAGACCAGACTTTTAACATCAAGATCACTAAATAAAGTGACAAACGCAAACGGCAAAGAGTGACCCCATCATTACGAGTTACGAAAGATATAAATTCGATTTTAATCAGCCATGTCTTTCATGGGCGGTGCAGAATGCTCGGCAGCAGGAAACCCTCTTAGTCAATTCACCAAACATGTTCAGGATGACAAGAGTTTACAGAGAGATAGATTGGTCGGTAGAGCGCCTGGAGGCGGTATGCAGGGCATGCGCTCCGGTATGAATATGAACGGAAGTCAAGATCATGTAGGTAATTCAGGATAATATGCCTTTGTCAACGCAGTATATCTCGAGAGGATGTTATTATTTACTGATTCGCATATTGGCAGATGATGAACGATTTTATGCAACAAAATGGTCAACTCCCACCAGAAGCTTTCGCTATGCAACACGATCTTCATCAAAACGCACAAATGAGAAACGGGTCTCCGTCTCCAGCTGTTGGAGGATGGGCTCAGGAGTTCAATCCTGGAATGCCAGGAATGTCAGAGCAGGCAATGATGGAGGCCGCGTTCCAAGCTCCCAAAGGTACAGCATTCAGTCCTGCGGATTTTGCTAGATTTCAACAGATGGGCCAATCTAGCTCCGCGCGTTCTGCGAGTCCTATGACACAAAACATGTCGAATGGTTATTCATATCAAGGTCCTCAAATGGGCATGGGCATGGGCATGGGAATGATGGGCATGAACAGAATGGGTATGGGCATGAATATGATGAATCAACCACAGTATCAACAACCTGCGCAGGATTTACAACAAGATAAAGGAAAGGGGAAGATGGTTGAACTCGACGATCAAAATTGGGAAGAGCAATTCAAGCAGATTGATTTGCAAGGAAAGGAGCTCGAAGAGAGTTTGGCGGCGGAAGGAGAATTAAATGAAATGGATAGGTCAGTCCTTGAATCTGAAACTAATGAATTTGGGGATTTTGAATCTATTTGGAAGGGTATGCAAGCTGAAAATGCTGCGGCTAGGGAAATGGCCGGCGAACAAAGCCTAAACGGTATGCACATAAGCGAATTCGATCAATGGGACGGATTTGATGCTGTAGGAACACACCAATCGCCATTCCGCGATCCACAACTCGGAGATTATATGTTTGAAAACGAGAACCTGTTCAAAGACATCTCCAACCCATTCGATGAAGGTGTGCGGATAATGCACGAGGGAGGTAACTTATCCCTCGCTGCACTAGCTTTTGAGGCCGCCGTACAAAAAGATCCCCAGCACGTCGATGCATGGGTATTGTTAGGTTCAGCACAAGCCCAAAATGAAAAGGAAACCCCGGCAATTCGAGCCTTGGAACAGGCTTTGAAAGTTGATCCTATGAATCTTACAGCCCTTATGGGCCTAGCAGTTTCCTATACAAACGAAGGTTACGATAGTACCGCTTATCGTACACTTGAGCGTTGGCTCTCCATCAAATATCCATCTATCATTGAACCGGGCTCCCTGTCTTCTGAAAACGACATCGGCTTCACTGACCGGCATCAACTTCATGAAAAGGTTACTGATTTATTCATTCGCGCCGCTCAACTTTCACCAGATGGCGAACACATGGATCCAGATGTGCAAGTAGGTCTCGGAGTCCTTTTCTACGGTGCTGAAGAGTACGATAAAGCAGTCGATTGTTTCACCGCAGCTCTAGCCTCCACTGAATCTGGAACCTCGAATCAAAGAGACCAAGTTCATCTCTTATGGAATCGTCTCGGTGCCACCCTCGCGAATTCAGGCCGCAGCGAAGAGGCTATTGCCGCCTACGAAAAAGCGCTCACACTTCGCATCAATTTCGTACGAGCCCGCTACAACCTTGGTGTTTCTTGCATCAATATTGGATGTTTTGACGAAGCGGCTTCTCATCTTCTAGGTGCATTAGCTATGCATAAAATTGTAGAGAATGAAGGTAAAGAAAAGGCAAGAGATGTACTGGGTGGTGGAAGTGTCAGTGAGGCGGATCTTGAGAGGATGATCTCGCAAAATCAAAGCACTAATTTGTATGATACGTTGCGAAGAGTTTTCAGTCAGATGGGGAGAAGAGATTTATCGGAACGTGTTGTGGCGGGGATGGATGTGGAGAGTTTCAGAGGAGAGTTTGATTTTTGATTGTGATGTTTGTGGAGGAGTGATACTTGGGATGAGTATGAGCGGTCAGATGTACATGATGGATGAATTAGCAGAAGTCGATTCTCGTTGAGTAAATACATGGGATGTAGTTGATTGGAATTGAAAATGAAACTGACGATATGATATGATATGATATATAATTGTGGATGTCAGAACGAAATAGCAAAATAATTTTTGGGGTGGAAGGCCCGTTGGCATAACATTGAATCGAACTGAATCGGTTAATTGTAGGATCGGAAATGGGTATTTAGGTAGCGAATGAATGAATGGATAATATTTGAAGGGATTCGATATTCAAAAATATTCATATTAGAGATATGATGAGATATTTAGAATGTAGTAAGAATGCAGCTCGATATGAAAAGGAAGGGGAGGGTTAATAGAGGTAGAGAGACAAGGATAGATACGGATTAAAATTTGATTATTGATTTCAAAATCGAATAGGCGGGAGGAGATGATGTTTATTCTACCAATAGGTAGGTATTATTATACACCCCCCGATCTTCTGTATTTGCAGAAACCTTGACAATCTCATCATCAATCATTCCCTCTCCAACGCTTGCTTGACCAGTTCCTCTCTCCGTTCTATTTCTCTCCTTCGTGTACTCTTTCCTCTTTCTCTCCCTACTTCATCTTTTGAACGTTCCGTTCCCTTTCCCCTTTCTCCTTCTCCTTCGCCTTCTCTCCCCAAAGCTTCCTGAACCAATTCCTCTCTGCTCTCTACTTCTCTTCTTCGTGTACTTTTTCTTCGTTCTCGTCTTTCTTGTTCTTTTGGACGTTCCTTTCCTCTACCTCTTTCTCCTTGCCTCTCTTGTCCATTATCCTGTGCATCTGCATTCTCATTTCCCTTTCCTCCTTCTCGATCTTCCTCTTTGCTCTGCTCACTTTGTGCTCTCTTCCTCTTAACATTATTATAATACTTGACTGAACGAGGCGGCACATAGTTGTCATCATCATCCACCGGAGACCCCTTAAATTCCCTTGAACGTTTCGAAATCGATCTCGTCTGTCTCTCGTTTCCGGTATCCATAGAATCACTTTCTACCGCCTCATCGCTTGTAATATTCCCAGATTCGGGTCTGGAAGCGAGAGCTTTATCCAAATCAACGGAAGGTCTTTGACGAGAATTGCGGGTATTTCTTCGTTGTCTTTTGGCGGGGCGAGATGGATTCTCTTTTTCACTATTTAGGGGCACCGAGACGTAAGTCTTTTGCGACCGAGTAGTTTGAGTCAGGCTCTCATTAATATCTCCAGGAGGCTCAGAACCCTCACGTTCGTTGCCAGAGGACAAATCAATTACTAGATTGCTTTGTTTATTTGCAAATTCCCTGACCAAAGGACTTGAATTTGGAACGGGAAGTATGCGGCCCCGCAATGCTCTCCCTAATGTAGATAGTTCTTCGCTACCGGGACCATTTGAGATAGTGCCGGGAGTAATGAAAGGCTTTTTTGGAACTCCCTTAGGACGGCCACGACGTGGGTGGGATTGAGCTGTACTTTGCATTTCTATATCTGAAGCGTCATCAAGATGACCAAGACCTCGGGCAGAGTGGGGTGCATTAGCAGCGGAACGATCTTGTTTATGTGGAGTGAAAAGATTGTGTCTTTTCGGAGGGGCTTTAGGACGGCCAGGACCTCGACGGGAATTAGATGGAAGCTGTTGTTCTTGGGTATGCTGTGAGGATTCTGATTGAGAAGAGTTGGGAATCTCCAATTGTTTTCGACTTCGGTGATGGTGTTGGGGTTGATCTAGGTGAGACGTAAACTGATTCCCATTTGAGTTTGCTGGAGAGATATTGAGTTGTTGAGCTGGGGAAAGCGCTTGAGATGAATCCAGGAGCGTATTTGAGGTAGCTTGTGAGACTTGCTGCAAATTTTGATGTTCTTCATTATTGCTGTTTTCATCAAGATTAATTGTTTGAGTAGCCTTCGAGTTGTTCCGTAGATATTGTCGCCCTTCATCATCTCTAGGTTCATTGGAACTACACTTTCCAGCGGCTTTTGACATAATCTGCAAATTTTGATGTTCGTCAATATTACCAACTTCGTTGGGAGTGTTGATTGCATTAGCTTTTGCGATTTGTAGCACTTGTTGGTGTACGTCATAATCATTGTGTCCATTGGGAGTGTTCATTTCAGATGCGATTTGTTGAGAGGGTGACTCCGAAATTTGTCTTTCGGTATCGTGCTCAACGTGCTGAATGTTATCGTCTTGTTTAGTACGGTGGACGTCACTATTCGTATCGTAACGACCAAGAATAGGAGATTCGATACGAGGTTTGGAAGGACTGGCGGGTTCTCTACTTGGTGAACGAGTAGGAGGTATCGAGAGAGATCCCGTGTCTTCATTTTGTTGAGCTTCCGTTTCTTTTCTGCGTTTGTATTTTTCAAGTTCTGCAAGCTTCGAAGTCTGGATCTCCATTTGATCATCTTCAGCTTTACTGTACCGGCGCTTCCGGTGCAATGACCTGCTACTTTGAAGAACTGAAAAATCTCTTGCTTTATTAAGCGGGCTGCATCTTTCATTAGATATCAATTTGGGCAGAACTTGTCCTTCTTGTACTTCGTCAGAAGGTGCAGGAGTGGCTATTACTCGAGCATCTGAGGTTGAAGCCTTGCGAGAGGCTTTCTCCATCTCCTTGACCCGAGTTCGTAGAGAATCAAGTTCTGTACGAAGATCGTCCACCACACTAGCTCCCTCCATCTCCTCGACTCGAGTGTTTAAAGAATCAAATTCTGAACGAAAATCATTCCCTATGCTAGCTTTCTCCATTTCATCAACTCGAGTGCGCAGAGAATTAAACTCCGGATGAAGATTATTCCTTCTATTGGGTTTCTTCATCTGCTCGACTGAAGTGTTTAGAGAATCAAGCTCTGCACGAAGATCATTCACTCCATCAGCTTTCTCGGTCACGCGGGTGAGATCATGCTGAAGAGTTTCAACAACACTTGTAGCTTCAAGACGAGCATCTTGAATCGTGTTCGTTTCACGGCGCATATTTTCCATGAAGATCTTAACGCACTGCATGTCATCCTCAAGGCGACCCACAGCAGCATCAATTCGATCAATATCTTTTCGTTGCTCACAAATCGCTGACATGATTTTTGCATCGCCCAGTATCGACGGTGAAGATGCTGCCGGAGTGAAAGGTTTTTCTACACTCTGGCGGGTTATTTCGCTGGGGCCCGGAGCTCCAGGTAGGATTGACGATGGTCGCCTGGACAGTGAGCTTGACTTATTTGAGGATTTCTTCAAGTCATGTGTTTTTGTGACAGATAACGTTGCTTTTCCCCCTGTTTGTTGCAATTTCATCGATATCTTCTTGGCACATATGAGTAACTGACCCCTATTTGCTATTAGTATGGACATTATCTTATAAGTGTAAACCTCTCATACTTTTTAAACAGATGACCTTCTGGTGCATTATCGCATAGCAGGCCAAATACTTCACGGCAATTTGCGCAGGCCAAATCTTGGAGAGAACTAAGACGAATGAGTATAGTTGTATTGAACTTGAGAACTTTAGATCGCATACCTATTTTCTATGATAGTTCCAACCTGTGCCGGACCGGTTGCTAACTTGATGGAACCAACTCCCTTTAATCCTGTGGCATCTCTTACGACTTTGGGTATATAATAAGTCTTTCCAAGACCTTCCCATGAATTATCAAAGATGCCGACCTTAAGTCCACACTTAAGACAATAGCATATAATGACTTCTGCGTCTGATGACATATTGGGCGCAGTGTACTGATCCGAGCCCGGACTTAATGCAAGAATTGAATAGAAGTCTCGAGGTTCAAAAAATGAGAGATAGTGTTGATCTTTTCATACCAGAAAATGCACTTGCAAAAAGCTAGAGTTGAAATAGATTTGGAGTTTACAGTCGTTGAATGATTGAATATAAAATAGAAATTTGATATCAATCAACCGTACTGGTCAGTGTTAAACGCGTGAGATCGCGAATTTTCGTGTTTTGCTGTGAGGTTATTAAAATGCAATTGTACTTGTACTGTTCGATTGATTCTTGTCACAAAATCATATTGAAGAGGGTGAGCGATAATGACAATGATCAATGTAATAAAGAGATATATTCGATGATCTCTTTACCTACATAGTAGGAATCTCTGAATATCTACTTCTCCCCAAGTCTATGTAATCAGAGTTGGTGAGTAGATCTTTTGGAACAGGTGCAGGTGCTAAGTGGTCAGTCTCACTAGACCATATTAGGTAAAGGCTTCGTTTCTGCCACTCACCGCCTAATTAGAATCCATAAAAGTTATCATTGACATTTATTAAAATCTTGCGAATGCGATACATCATATATTCAACTACGACAATCCTCGAAAATGACTGTCGCAGATATTCCTTTGGTATCGCAGCAATCCGCTGGTGATATTAACCCTAGAAAGCGCAAGCATGAAGAAGATGATGATGAGAAAGAAGCAGAATCCAATTCAATTGGCATGGAAACAGTATCATCAGAACTTCGTCAACCAGATTTACCAGAATTCAATTTGATACCTGCAAAGAATCCAGCTAAAGAAGAGCTTGGTGAGAAACCCTCATCCGAAGAATGGCAAACGGTAGAAAGACATCCAAAAAAGAAAGCCAAGAAAATACCCAAGGCTGGAAATGGAAATTATCCTGCTATTACTTTCGCAGCAAAGGAGTCTAGACTTTCAGGCCCAATTAAGATTGGAGATTTACAAAGCCTCGTTCTTTACCTTCTTGCAGATGGGATGGCCCCTCAATTTGTTTCTATCCGTCATCGACCACAATTCCGAAAAGTTGTCGTGCTTATGGTCCCTGGACTTGAAGAATCTATGTTTGGTACAAAGCCTGTATCTGATTCACATCGGTATTCTCCAGATGAATACCTCCCGCGCAAGTTAAAGTCTGAAACTTTGCCTGCAAATGTGAAGCTATTTGCGGATATGTTTGAATACATATGGCCAGTCAAAACGCCGGGAGATAAGAAATATGCGAAGATGCATTCTCCTTTACATGCTATGCTAACAGCACCTGTAACTAAAAGCCAAGAAAATAAAAATAATCATGGAAAAGGTCCAAAGAAAGCTAGAGAGCCTAATGGTTGGCAAAACACTCGCACACCAATTACACAATTCCTTACGTCGCCCGAAGATCTTCAAGAAAATGGTTATACCCTTCACCCTGCAACCTACGACGCTTTGGTCGATAGAAACAACTTGGCAGAACAGCGGAAGACTTGGGAGGTTGATGAGGCTCATGGATGGGTAGACACAAAAGTTAATAATTTTGATGAAGGATCAGTTGCAGATAATGAGTTTGAGCAAGGAAGTCTTACAGTCGGCAGGGAAATTTTTGCTATGGATTGTGAAATGTGCATGACTGGCAAGAATGAGTTCTCACTTACGCGCATAAGTATTGTTGGCTGGGATGGGTCAGTTGTTCTTGATGAGCTTGTAAAACCCGAGAAGCCAATCATCGATTATCTCACCCAGTAAGTCTTCATTCCGATTTATGATCATATTACTAACAATATGTAGATACTCTGGTATCACTGAAGAACTGCTTGCTCCAGTTACAACAACATTACAAAACATACAAAAGAGATTAGTCGAATTATTTCATCCACGAACAATTTTGATCGGCCATTCTCTGGATTCTGACCTTAAAGCTCTCAAACTTACACATCCATATATTATCGATACCGCAGTCATATATCCTCATCCTCGTGGTCGACCACTAAAATCCTCTCTCAAATGGCTTGCCCAGAAATATCTTGGTAAAGAGATACAAAAGGGACATGGAGCAACTGGTCACGATTCAACTGAGGATGCGAGAACGTGTCTTGATCTCGTAAAGCTTAAGTGTGAAAAGGGATCTGATTGGGGAGCAAATGATTCACAAGGTGAGAATATCTTCAAGCGATTAGCTCGAACTGGGGTAAAATATAAAAGCCAAGGAGGAACAGCTATACCGGCTTCTGTAGATGGAAAATCATCGGCAGCTGTTGATTGGGGTGATCCAAGAAGAGGACCCGGCAGTGCTGCAACTTTCTCGATTGGGTGTTCGAGTGATGAACAAATCATGGAAGGTGTCATTCGAGCTGTAAATGGGGATCCTGACGGAAAGACGATCCCAGGTGGTGGAGTAGATTTTGTATGGGGAAGATTCAGAGAGCTGGAGGATTTGAAAGAATGGAATAACCAACGACTTCCTCATGCACCAGAATCTAAAAGCTCAGCGGTAGATGGTAACGGTGCTGTAGCCATCGAAGCCAACGATAAAGATACTACCATGGAAGAACCAAATTCTATAAACCCAGCAACTGCCACCGAATCCACCACTGCCGAATCTAAACCCCCTACAGAAAATCCCTTGGAGGATACCACCACCGATATTTTCGCACCCGCCACTCTCACCCTAACCCAACGTATCCATAAAATCTACCAAGCCCTCCCTCCATGCACAGCCTTTATTATCTACAGCGGTTCCGGCGACCCCAAGGAAATGGTTCGATATCAGAAAATGAAACAACAATTTCAACACGAGTACAAGACGGTGAAGTGGGACCAGCTGAGCGTTAAGTGGACGGATGTTGAAGAACAGGCTATGAGTAAGGCGGCGGATAGAGCGAGGAATGGAGTCGGATTTATTGGGGTCAAGTAGGTGGGTTGGTGGGTGTTTTCGGCGATATTAGGGGGAGGGGAGGGGAGAATGAATACTTGGATGGATGGATGATGTACGATTATGGAGGAAGAGAGAGAAATACGTAGATGAACGACAAGGACGGGAATGAGAAAGGTATGGGATAGAGGAAATGTGGTGAGATACGATGTGTAAATCGAAATCGCATCTGAAATCGATACCAACGCCGATATTAAACTATGATACAGCAACAGGATCAAGGTATAGGAAACTGGCGTATGTATGCATGTATGTATGCATGTATGCGTGTATGTATGTATCTCAAGTCCCTGTCCTATATACATGAACCCCCAAATTCCCCAACAGTACGAGTATCATTAATCCAACCAACCAACCATCCATCAATCAATTCAGCCTTCCTCACCCCATCCCATAAAAAACAAAGACAAAAACAAGAACAAATATAAATATATACCTATATACATGCGAAACCAATCAATGCACAAAACCTCAGATACTATGCCATGCCATGCTCAAAGAAATCATCAGGTTCGCTCGCTCGTTCGTCTGTTTGTTTGTTTGCTGTCGTTCATCATATCATATCCGTGAGTGATACATATATACATATTTCGCTCAAATAATCATCGATGCGTCCCAAATCCCCAATCCGAAATCCGAATCCACCACCCCACATCCAGAATCCAGAATCCAGAATCAAAAAGAAGAAATAAAAAGAAAAAAAGATAGTCCAAAAGGAAGCATGAGCAGAATAATGTTTCTACACTATTCGACTTTCTATTAATCAAGTCTCTCATAACTTTCTTATTACTTAATATTGGTACTCACTCAAACTACCACTCCTATCTCTAATGCCCCTTGAACCCTCGCCTCCCTTTCCATTTCCGTTTCCATTCCCCACCACCTGCTGCGCCACCCATTCCAAGACCGTTTCGTAACAAAGTACATACTGCAGTAGATTCTGCACCATGCTTAATCTCTGTCCTCTAAAATCCTCAACCGTTTTCTCCACCAAATCGGTATCTTGATCAAAAACCCAATCCATATCCGCCTTCTTCCCCGGTCTTCCCCGCCCCATATAATCTCCGATACTAGAATCGTCGAATTCCATAGGTGTAGTACCATGTTTTTGTTCTTTGCGTTGACGTTTCAACATATCAATCACAGAATCAATTGTACAAAAGGTTCCCGTGCGACCACAGCCTGCGCTACAATGTACAAGCATTGGCCTTGTATTTTCTCCTTCTGGTTCACCCGACCGGGGGGTTTCGGTTACGGAAGCGGAGGCGCGTTGCATAGAATTGGCAAGGTGAATGAGAGCGAGTAAATGACTGGGTTTTGCCGGAGAAGCAAAATCTGGCCAGGAAGAATAATGTACTTGTGTAATTTCTCGCATTGGTGTAAAAGGATGGGCGGCATGAGAAAGTGTAAATTTACGGACGATGACATGAGCATCTTCTGTTGTAGGAGATGGGGGTGTAACTTGAGTAGTGCTTGCGCGCTTTCGTCCAGAATCTCGTCTGTCTGTAGAATTTCGATGCTTGGTGGCGTCAAGGTGAACTTTCTTTTCGGATACCAATTTAAGCTTGAGATGACCATATTCGTTACTAGACCAATATGAGTGGCATTTCAGTTGTCCCCCCTCTGCTTCCGCAGTCAACATGACAATGACTCGTACATCTTGGTCCCATATAACACTCCAGAAATCCTATAAGGTGTTAGTACCAAAAAAAGGGACATGAGGGTAGCGAAAGTACTGACTTCAAAGGTTGCAGGCAAGGGCCCTTGAGAAGCAATATAACGTTTGTTACTCCTCGATGCTTTGATATGACTTGCGTTAACATAATCACACGTGCCTTCCGTACGACCTTGTAGTTTCACTCTGGCATGCTCGAATGGCCAAATATTGTTGTATCTGTTTTTGCTGCCCTTCTCAACACCAGCTATTTGAACATCATTAGAATTATTAGAGGCTTCTGGCCCGTTTCCGTATCGAACTCCTTGTGTTAATGCTTTTGTCATCCTTGCCAACTCTGCTTGCTCAATATGAAGGAATCTGTCTGAAACAATCTTTCCATGGTCTTCTTTCTTTGCAGCCTTTGATAACCACCTAGGAACAACACTCATAGCAGATGGGTCTCTCGCCAGATCCTCCGGGACTGCAATATCTCTTTGACCAACACCATCCATCAGATCTTGATTTTGTCGAATGTTGCCAAAAAATGGGTTTGCTGCATTCTTTGTTGCTGGCATGGCACATCCACCAGCTACTGGCGCAACTCCAGGTAATGTCGTTCCAAGCGTAAGATTGATTCGGGATGGCTGCGAGGATTGTGTTGAACCCCGGTCAATTGACCTCGGAAAATTTTGAGCAAAGGTATCAAATCCACCCTTCAATATATATCTTGCTCCATTCCAGCCTTCATTAGTGAACTTTTTCAGGGTATTAATAGCTAGTGCTGCATCTTTTTTATCTGAAGATCTATTGTCGTACGCAACGATATATTTAGCTTGCTTCCATTTTGAAAATCTGGTTTTATCCTCCTCATTTGTGAAAGTATCTTGAAGCTTCTGAAGATTGAATGAAGGCCGTTTTAACAAGGTTGTAGGTATGCATAAATTGAGGGCATTTCCAATTCTTGATTGTGAGAAGATGCTAAAAGTTCGGCAGTCGAGTAGTAATAATTCTATCGAGGGACAACGATCCATCATTTCCTTCAACTGCACTGGCGTAATCATGGCTGGCCCATCTTCTAACATCGACGGGAGTGTGTCCGCTCGCTGGTGTTGACGCGGTTGTGGGACTCGTGGCGATGGAGGATCTGCTTTATTTTGAGGCAAAGAAAGTCTAGGGTGTCTTTCGTCTAGGTGTGAGAGGTTGTTCCTTTGCACGGGTGACATTGAACTTGAAAAACTGGCAGGTGACATTTGGCGTGGGAATTCGAAGAATGAAGGAGGGTTTGTGGAGGAAGCAGGTACTCGTTCGGACGAAGATACATATGCTGAATCCGCTCCACTATCAGCATCACCATCCCGTGATGGTGCATCCCTATTTCTTGGAATGGATCTCGGTGACGGAGGGCCATCGTGTGCATCGACTTTGGATGGTTTTTTGTCGTTCTTTGGGCGTAGTAAGGAAGGACCTGGAGACATTGAGAAATTTGCCAGGCCCCCATGACTCAGATTGAATCTGTTATTGGATTCAGATTGCTTTTTGAAAGCCTCAAACTCAGGATTTGAGTTTATAGGTATATGTTCTGGTGTGGCACCACCAAATGAGAACTAAAGAGATCCAAAATTAGAAATGGCTTCATCAAGGGTATAAATTGGATATTGGACTCACTATGGAAGACGTGGTAGGACTCCAATTTGCCTTGGGTAGGGCGGTGGTTTCTCTAGGATTACTTGACGGTTCAACAATGAGACCGAAGTAATTTGGACTGGCACTCCGCACTTGTTCGCCTTGAATACCTGGGGATCGTAAAGCGGAAGTAGGCGGCAGAGTCTGCCCTACGGATGCAGGTATTCTCCCTGTTGCTGGACTCATCGTTGGGCTCGTGGTAGATGGATTTGTAACGGTTCTATGTGATTGGGATTGCGAATGCGAATGCGAATGTGGATGTGACTGAGAAGACCTGGGTGAAGGTCTCGTTGCTGCTTTGACAACCATTTGAATGTGATGCGCAAAAGCTTTATCCTTTTGGTGGCAATATTATTCCTTCCTTCCGTGGGCGACTGACTCTGTTTACCAAATGACCAAATGTATATTACTCGGACGTAATTGCCATCGTTTCTATTTACTGCGACGTAGAGTGGAAATGCGGTTCTCGAAATGAGGCTGTAATTATCGAATTTGGTACGGCAGGGTAATCGTGGTACTCGTAAATTGACCGACGGTTTGAAGGTGGATCGTGGTTGAGTTTGCGCAGATGACAACGGATGACAGCAAATCTAATAATATAGTCGAAAGAAGGTTTTCTTGATTACTCTCTCAATGCTTGGTTGCTTTCTTAGTTGCTTGCTTGTTCGTATATCCTTTCCTGAAACAATATCCTTCTCCTTTGGGACGTGTGTAAGGTTAAGATTTCGAAATGGGCGAAAGAAATGGAAGAGATAGGGCTCTAGGATTCGATGACACGGGACTTGAGACTGGGATGATTGACTTTTTTTGGGGAAATAATCCGTAATAGGTAAAGAATTAAGGCAAAGGCAAAGGCAAATAGAGGGAAGGAGAGAAAGAAAGTGAAGTAAGTGAGTAAGTAAGCAAGTAAGCAAGAAAGAAAGAAAGAAAGAAAGAAAGAAGGCTGATGGTATCCAATTCAGGGTTTTTCTTTTTTTCTTCTTTTTTTCTGACTAGAGGGGTGCTGTCACTTTGAATGAGTGGTGGGTGGGTTTGAAAGTTGAGTTTTAAGTTAGATGTAGTATGTAGTATGTAGTAGGAAGTAGGAAGTATGTATGTAGGTAATATGTACGATGTGGTTGTAGTAGTTGTGTTGTGGTAAGTGGCCGTGAGTGAGTGAGCGAGTGGACCGGTGGATGGTGGATGGTGGATGTTGGATGGTGGTGGATGAGGTGGATGATACGTTATGAGGTGGTATGATATGATGATATAATATGATAGATTCTCGTTGGTCGTCAACACGTCGGTCGGTATTTCGCACTGTAATTGTGTTTCGATCTCTAATGCTTCCCTTCTCCTCTCATATGACTGCGTAAGTGCTTTCGTTGAATGCTTTGAAGTGCTTGGAAGATTAGAATTTGTGGTTAATTTGTTAATTTATTTGAGTAAAGGGACGCATGAGAAGGGTTGCGTGAGGGAGATCAGCAAGCTTATGCTACAAATTTGGAATAGAGGAGGGTCAGATATTGGACCTGCATGGGTCAAAACGATGATATTTAACTGGTTGGCTTCGTTGGATTTAGTTTTATTCGGGTTAATGTGATAAGTTATTTTTTTTATGCTTTTCTACATTTCTAGTGGTGACGGAAGTTTTGATGATGATGTTATTGAGTGTCGATCATTCAAGAAAAATTAAGGGTCGGACGGCTTAGATTCCGTTGAATGGGTAGCTGACAGGTAGACTGAGGTACAAGAAACACGAGGGAAGAGGGAAGAGGGATGGATGAATATTGTATAAAGTATTATTTTATTATGTAATATATATGATATAACTAGTTATATATATCATAAATAGAAAAGAGATGAGAATGAAGAATAGAAGAAAATAAAAAGGGGGGAGGGGGGGCTATAGACTACTACGTATCTCGTACTTAGTACCTACCTCCTACCTAGTACTTGATTTAGGAAAGATGACGATGGAGTGAAGACAACCCGCTTACCTAGTACCGACCTGCGAGCTAGGTAGATATTGGTCACAAAGTTAAATAAATCAATCACAATTGTTCTAGAAGGCTTAATGGTTTCGGATTTCTAATCTTTTATTTTCCTCTTCTTGGTACGGTATACTGTTATATATCTTTCAAATCTAGGTATTATGTATCTATCAGATCCAGAGTAGAAGTAGTAGTAGCAGTGGAGAAGGAGCGTGTACGATGTATATCTACAAAGTAGGTACGATGATGACATCTAGATGTGGCCATTCAACCCATCCAGGCTTATCGGTTGTACATCTACATATGGTAGGTTGTTCACTGTATGAGGATATATCCCATTATCCCAAGATCACATTGGACAATAATATTCCTATTCCTCAAAGTCAATACTTTCAAAGTCTTCATACCCAATATATATTCAAAGAATCAACAACAACTGTTCACCAATCCCAACATCCTGCTGATTACGATTACGATTACGATACAAAAGCTTTCTTTTCTTTGCTATCGTCCAGTACGTCATGTGTTTGACTTTACTAGGTCATCATAAATTAATAATAAACCCCCTTTATAGACCGAACAGGAGACCGAAGAGTGAATACATACAATACAATACATTCCAGGTCACAGAATATCAGATCAAAGGAGTTGAGATGGAGGCAAAACTCCATTAATACGAAGTAAATAACTTTCCAAGTATCGTATCCAAGTAATAAGACAAGAAACAAGTCTTAACTCCGATTGCCCTTGAACGCCCCCTCGTCTCTCAGTCTCTCAGTCTCTCTCTTTCTCTCTTTCTCTCTTTCTCTCTTTCTCTCCTCTTTCTCTTCCTTCCCTCAATCATATGATCTCCATAGCCAGCTTATTCATCTCATGATATCACAGGTATGTATTCGTACTCACCTCACTCATACATAGTAAATAATGATCAGCAGTTTCTCATTCCATATTCCCAGAAAATCCTCATCCAGAATTCCTCAATCATCAGATCCATCCATCACCTGTTCAATAATCATTCCAATTTCAATAGATACAATCTCACAATCTCACGAATAACCGATGATCCAAAAGTCTAGAACATCAACAATGAAGAAATACTCAAGTACAGCATACAAATGTCTTGTAACATCATCTATTCTGTGTGTAACACAACGTATCTACTCGTAACTAGGTAACTTAAACAATTGTATTGGAGATTAGCCTTGACTTTCCTTTCTATCTTTTCTAATCCCCAGAATTACTATATTAAAGGTTTTCGATCAAGAGACAAACTCATTAATTATTATCCGTGAAATATCCCCCTTCCTAAATTGAATGACGCTCCGCTGGGCCACTGCCGTGGAGGCTTCTTCGCTTCGCTCTGGATTTGATTAATACAATACAGGCAGTGATATCCAGTACGGCAGATATGCATATATAATACATAGTATTGCTTACTAAATCAACATCGAATTTTCTCTCCTCTTCTCGTCTCTTCTTCTCATCTTCTCTGCTCTCTGCTCTCTGCTCTCTGCTCTCTGCTCTCTGCTCTCTGCTCTCTGCTCTCTGCTCTCTGCTCTCTGCTCTCTGCTCTCTGCTCTCTGCTCTCTGCTCTCTGCTCTCTGCTCTCTGCTCTCTCCACAATCCAATCTCTCAGCCCTAGGTCTCAACGGCGAAGTGACGGTCAACCGCATACCAGTTCCAATCTATTGACGTCATTCGCACACACCTACCTTGGGTACCTACCTAGTACAGTCACATCACGTGTACCACCAGCATGTCTCGAGAATGTCTCACATCCCGCCTATCGGAATTTTTCTTTCTTTCTCCGATCGAATATTGAAAAATATGGGGTTTCGCTTTGCTTTTGCCTATCATGTACGATATTGCATTGGATACGATGGGCAAAACGTGAGTTCTTCAAAATTGGTGTACGCTGGGTGCACTATGTGGGATATGGTGTACAGTGGTTATATGGATAAGTGATATAAAACCCACTTTTACTAAAAACTTATTGTTTTTATATATTCTATTGCTACTTTAAGCAATTCAAATATATATTAAACTATCTCCCTTAAATTTCGATTTTCAAGTTCTCTTTTACTTATAAAAACTTATAAGACTTTTAAAGATTTTAAAGATTTTGATAGACTATCTAATAGAATTATTCAGGAATAGATTTACTTTAATATATTAATATATTGAAATCTACATTTACAATACTTTTTTTAGTTTTAGTTTATTATAATAATTTTCAAAAAGCGTAATGTTTTAATTGATTAAAGCTTCTGTATATAGGGAAAAGTATGGCCGCTTTTTGGTGTGTTTTACAATACTTACTCTTACAACCATTGTACAAGTAATGAATGAGTCGGGCTTACCCCCATGAAGAATAGGAGGGCCGAGTATCTTTTCCAAGACTTCATACTTATGCACTTTGCAGTATGTAATGCAATTAGGTGATGTGGGATTTAGTATCGAATTTTCTATTGGATTATGATCTTACAGATTTTATAGATCGATTAATATAGTCACGTAGTAGTAGCGATGAAGAAGATGTATATACTTACACGCATACCTCACCCCCTTGAATGCTTACCATTCCATTGTGCTTCTCTGCTATTATAGTACAGTGAGCATTCAATTTGCTTAAAAAAGTTAAGTTGGTGCTTGAGCATAAAAAGATTAGATAATATCTATCCAAGAACTACGAGGTACCTAGTATACATTTCATGATTCTTTAATGTAACTACACTGATCACGTGATATTCCATCAGACAACCTTACCAACCTTATCAAAAGATAATCCCTTACACAATTTTTCACCTGATAGCTTCATTTCTTCATCCCCTTATCTCCCACCTCCATATCAAAATACGCGGGGTGACTTCGCGAAAATGCATCTCAGATACGCTAAATCTAAGATAAACCATATCTCCGTTCATGCCTCCGCAATCTTCCTTATGGTGGGAGTGATCTGATTGGTTCTTGTCGCGCTTTTCAAGGGGATTAGGATGAACGTTCGGAAGACATGGGGCCATTTGCCTTGCGATAAGAATCGTGCGAAAAAACTTTATGGAGACGGACGGGAGAGGTGTTTCTTATGCTGGTGCTGCTGAGATGGCGAACAGTAATTTTGTCGGAAATAGTTTTCTTGATAAGGGATAAGGAATTAGACGTTTGCTTTTGCTATTATCGTATGAGATGTGTATATATATAATATGTAGGTTGGTAGGTAGGTAAGGTATTGAGTTCTCCTGTACATGCGTGTTCTGTTTCTTCATTTATATCTCTCCGTTTTCTCGTGCTTGCCATTATCAAGTCTCTCTATCTCTACAGATCCCTGGCGCGGAGTAGCTCTTCCTATACTTCTATCTCCAAGTAGTGGCTATCACCAATACATACTGTCTAGATAGCATTGGCACGGGATATCCAATTCATTCTTTCTTCTCACTCCCCTCCGACCACCCTTCTCTCAATCCACCCCATCTCCAAATTTCAAAATGTCCCTACACAAATCCCGCTCCCGAAGTTCGCTATCCGAAAACGGCGACGTGAAAGTAACCGCCGGCACCACGCAAAAGATCGACGACCCCGAATCCAAACTCGGTCTCGCTTACGAATCCGCATATGTGTTCGATCACCAAGCAGAGAGGGCTCTGTGTCGAAAGTTCGATTTTCGTTTGCTGCCCGTGCTAGCTTGCATGTACCTGTTCAACTCGCTTGACAAGGGAAATTTGGGAAATGCAAAAACGGATGGCATGGAAAAGGATTTGGGCTTCAAGAGTAATCAGTACAATATTATCTTGAGTGTGTTTTACATACCTTATGTGTTATGCGCACTTCCTATTGTAAGTTTTTCTGGGGGTTACTTTCGGTCGTATGTCTACTTTGGGGGGTTCGGCTGTTGGCCTAGTGTCAATATCTGAGTTGATTCAATGCTTCCGATATAACTTTAGATGTCCAGGTGGGATCTGAGCAGTCTATGGAAAGCTAATCACGCTTCAAAGGAGCTCTATCGTCGTCAATTCATTGACAAAATCCTAACATCCTATAGGCTATGCTCGGAAAGAGATATGGACCTGCAACAGTCCTACCCATCCTCATGATGTTCTTTGGGTCGTTCACTATTCTCGGAGGTAAATTATATTTTTTAGCATCCCAAGAGCACAAGCTAATCTTCTTCCACAGTCGCAGCCCAAAACTTTGGTGGTATGATGACTCTCAGATGGTTCCTCGGCATGTCCGAATCCGCCTTCTTCCCCCTCGTAATCTACTACCTCACCACCTTCTACCGTCGTGGAGAGCTCGCTCGTCGCCTCGCCATCTTCTACGCAGCTAGTAACATCGCCTCTGCATTCTCCGGTCTCCTCGCCGTCGGATGTTTCCAAATAACCAACACCCCTCTCTACCCCTGGCGATACCTTTTCCTCATCGAAGGCAGCGCCACCCTTCTCTTTGCCATCTTCGCCTTCTTCTACCTCCCCGCCTCCGCCTCCGCTGCCAAATTCCTCACCGAACCCGAACGCAGCCTCGCCTACCACCGCATCCAAGTCGACTCCTCCTCCATCGTCAACGAAGAATTCCACCTCCACGACTCCCTCGCCATCTTCAAGCAACCCTCCACCTACGCCTTCCTCGCCATCGAAATCTGTCTCGGCGTCCCCCTCCAATCTGTCAACCTTTTCCTCCCCCAAATCGTCGCCCGTCTCGGCTACTCCACCATCAAAACCAACCTCTACACCGTCGCTCCCAACGTCTCCGGCGCAGTCATGCTCCTCATCCTCGCCTTCTCTTCAGATTACACCCGCAGACGTGGTCCCTTCATCGCGCTCGGTTTCCTCTTCACCTTCATCGGCTTCCTCATCTACGTTTCCATCGATGTCACCTCCCAACTCCACGTCGCCTATTTCGCCACCTTCATGATGTGCTGGGGAACCGCCGCCCCGAGCGTCTTACTCAGCACGTGGTACAACAACAACATCCCGCACGAAGGTCGTCGTGTCGTCATGAGCAGCGTGGGTGTACCGCTCAGTAATCTCATGGGATTGATCTCCTCGAATATCTTTCTGAATAAAGATGCTCCCAAGTTCGTCTTCCCCTTCTCTCCCCAGATCCATCCCACTACGCAAAATAATAAAAGACTAACCCCCACCCCCAGATACATCCCCGCCCTCGCCACCACCGCCGCCTTTGGCGGCATGGGCGTCATCCTCAGCACTTCCCTCGCCCTCTACATGATGTTTGACAATCGTCGTCGCGACGCAAAACTCGGACGAAAATTGGATATTGGCGAGACGCCGACTGAGTTGTTGAGGGATGGGCCGAGCGTGGAGGAGTTTAGATGGTTTTTGTAGGGGTTTTCGTTCTTCATTACTATTTAAAAGCGGAGAAGGTTAAAAGAAGGGGGAAAAGGGTTAAGAGAGGGAAGGGGAAAATGTATAGCAAGCATTTTGGAAAAAGAGGGAGTTTGTTTACTTTTATTTGTTGCGTTTATGAGATACCTGGATACCTGGATACCTATACCTAGGTACCTACCTACCTACCTACCTATGAGTAGATATATGAGATAATAATGATACACATATACTATACATACATACATACTACACATGTACACACTACATACATACTTACTACTACCTAATTACTGAGCGACTGACCAACTAACTGACTGACTGACTAATTAGTATAAGAAAGGAAGAAAGTAAGAGTAAGAAGAGTGCGAAAGTATTCAAAAGGTAGGTTATCTATCAATCAATCAATCATCAAATATAATTGTCATTATTGATGCCATCTCATTCCACCCATCACCATGACTACCCAGCATTTCCAACTTCCAAGAAAACCCCCAACCTTTATTTTAATTTTTGAGAAACCCACCATCCATCCACACAATCCAATCACCCAAGAGCAGCCACTCGCTATAAAACAACGTTACCACACCAAACTTTTATGAATTTCTATACCACCACATCTTCACCCCACACTAACTACACTACATCGAATATACACCTCTCCCCTCCCCCTTCTCACCTCCCACAATCCCACCACACTTCAACCCTTTAAATCTCCTCTTCCTCCTCCTCCTCTCTACTAGCCCTCTTTCCCCTACTATCCAAAGTATTTAAGCTAATCCCATCACTATCCCCGTGGTCTCTTCCCTGCATGCCCAAAGCCTGTCTACCCATCTCATTATCCTTCAAAAATTCTCTCAATTTCTCCTTTCCAATCTCGACTCCTTGAGTACTAGCCGCGTTCATCATGCGGATGATTGGGCCCCAGAGATTAAGCGTGTAAGTGACATATCCAGCGATACCACAGAGAATGAGGAAGACGAAGTAAATTGGGTTGCGGAGGACTAGAGATAATTGTTAGTTCATGATGTGATTTAAATTCGAAAGGAAAGGGAGAAATAGAACATACCAGCAACAATTTCATTCCAACCCAAAGCCAACAAAAGACCATAGAAATACAACGGAACCTGAGCCACTCCACCAATAGCACTACGTTTAGCTTCAACATATACACCATCCGCAGTTTTCTTGAATCTAACGACGAGATCTTGACGTTTAGCTTCACTAAGAACCGTCATTTCCTCTTCGAGACTCTTTCCTTCTTCCTCATCCACACCGCCAATAGGAGTTAGATCTTCTTCATCCTTAGGATCGACACTAGCTGGGGTACTACCAAT